CAAAACTCTTGCCAAATCAAACGGATAAGGCAAATGAGTCATCTTCAGAATGTGAAACCTCTTATACCCGTTTTATATTGACAACAAATCCATGGATTCCTCCGTGAATTGAGTTCACGGCCAAATTTGGAGTATAAAACAGGAATTTGACGTCAAATAAATCCATGAAGTCCTTCGTAAACTTTTTTAAGCAATTAGAACTTGTTCGACTTTTTGTCAAATTGGACATCAAATTCGATAGTGCCCACCTTGTTTTCTTTTCCCTTATATTGAACAACTATTCAATTCAAAAGTATACAACTTTGATATAAATACATACTACAGTATTCAACAGCGTGGTTTCTTTTCATGAGTTTCGCTTCAAAATCAAAACCAGAATACATAAAAAACTCAAAACGATTCTATCAAGAATTTGATGTATGGTTGGCAGCACTGTACGCTATTAGTTAAGCCATCAATTTGTCCACTGATGATGAGAGCTTATATAGAAGGAGAAGCGTCGGCAATACTATTCGTGATGTCCAACGACCCCTCAAAACTTGACACCAGAGGTGCTTTCCAGTGCCTCGTTTGTGTTACTCGGAGTAACTTCGAACTACCCACTACCTGTCAATACCGTTCCAGTGCTCTAGAGTGTCATGCATCTGGGCTACTCATTTTTGAAATCCCCTGGCCCCTTTATTCGATGCTATACGCTCCGAAATGGTGGGGATAACGAAAATGACAATGTGTCAAGATTGTTAGGTTATTTTTTTTTTCATCGTTTTTGTTTTTTTTGCATTAAGCTCACATTAAACCGATACCAGACAATAGAGGATGGTAAAAAACTGAAAATGTTATGGCCGAGAGTCACAACGTACATTTGAGGTGTTCCTGAATAATAAAGACCACAAGAGAGTCCAAGAATTCATCTATAACTAGACACTTAAAATAATTTTAAATACCTACACTAAAATATGAATTCGACACACTTATCCAGAAGCTTTACAATAAAAATGCACACCTCGGACGTCTTGCGCCATCATCAGGCATCAATTGGATGTCTGACAATACTTCTGAAATAAAGTCAAAATGTGTTTACATTTTCATTGTTTGGCAGTGTGATCCACATTGTCAACGTCAAAGCAAAACATCACAAACAAGTTAGGTTTTTATCGTCGCGTTCCCGTGCGCATTTGCTAGAACAGTTCGGGAGCGTCACATTCCGGGTGCATAAAACTCTCAATTCAAAAGCACTGGAAAGCGGCTCAGAAGTCCCAGTGGTGCTTTGACAAGGTTGCCATGTTAAAGGATTTTTCCCCAAATTCTGGAGGATATCACACGTTTCGCCAATGGAAAGCAAAGCTCTTTGAAGCAAGTCTACCTCTTTCCATTCATTAACTATAATTTGGGGGATATTTCATTAGAACAGTATGGATTTCTGTGCATGTTCTGGAGAAATTCCGTCAGACCCCTCTGGCATTGTGCTTTGACAGGTTCGCCATATGAACAAACGAATAGTCATTGTATTTGTTAAGAACTGTTGAAAAGCCTAGTCTCAAACTGTGGTATCAGCAAAAGTTGTCAGTTTGAGATTAACAATTCTCCCAACCTCAGATACCCTGAGCATGCGCAGTAGCTTGAACTCTCCGATCATTGTGCCCTCAGCCAGGCGTAAAGTTTTGAGGTAGTTTTTTCCTCTTTTCGCCGGTTTTCCTGGTATATATGCTCCATGGATGTAAATTAAGTTGACCTTGAAGAAATCCATCTGAATAAATTTGTGAAGAAATTGTTGATATAAAAGGGGTATTAAAAAACCACTATACGTTCGGGCTTAAACCACCAATTTTACGTTAAATCATTATTACGCCTCCTCATGCAACGCCTGAATTTACAACCCCATACTTAACTTAATGCTGTCAATACGTTATTGCAATAATGAGGCTCTCATGGTAGGACATAAAACATCGACGTAAAATGTTAGTGTGAGTATTTGAACTAGATTTTGTTTAGGTCAGTAAATATCACGGGCATAAATTCACGTCACATGACGCACCAAAATGTAGCACTTTCAACACAATGACACTTCTGCACTCTGACCTCTGGTGATCCCTTCTACAAGTCCAACTGTCAGGTATCTCTTTCCTTTGAAATACGGTATGCTAACTTATAGACGCCCATTTTGATTATGACTTCACACATTGAATCTTGGAAGGCTTTTGCGTATGGCGAAAACAAAGTTTTCTTTAGCTTCAGTATATCTTGTAAGATGAGCTATGATTTCTATACTCTTTCTACATCAAACACGGTTTGTCCTAGTTTGCAGACTGCTTCCACGATGGTCTTCGTAGACACGTCCCTCTCCCTGATACGACAAATTCTAAAAAACTAAATCTGTATGCGTGTGGCACCACTAAAAGTGTTTTGTCTGTATGTCAATTGTTTCCAAACTTGGGTCGTGCTCTTATACCTACTGATATACAGGGGGTTTCCCAATATTCCGTGGACATAAAAGCACCATGACTCAAAGATTGGACATCATTTAGCTCAATGCAAAAGTGCTTTGTTTGCCCGTTAGGTGGCGTCAAAATTTGATCTTTTTATTTTCTTCATTTTTTATCTCCTATAAAACGGGTAGTTTTCGAGAAAAAAATGAGTTGCATCAAGAGCAAGGCGTCTTATTAATTCTTCAAAAGCAGTTAGAATGAATAAACAAGTTTGATATCACCTATTACAAATTTATTTAATACGGGCAATGGAGTGAATCTTTTATAAAAGGTGTTCATTATGTCCACCATGTTCGTTCTTGTAGATAACAGTATGGAGCAAAAAATGTAACACACAAACATTTTTATAAACCAGCTCCAAAAAACATTTTTTTTTTCGAAAACTGTGTGAGATGGCCTGTTTTTACAAGAAACAAAATGTGAAGTAAATTAAAGGGTTTTAGGTAAAAAAAATCAGAGTTAGGGATGGGAGTAGTATTCACCCATCTCGAATCCTTTCTGGTTTTTTATAAAAGTCAAACATTAGGACGTCTAACTTAACACATGTGTTCCAAATTTCATTGAAATTGGACTGTTGGTTCCCAAAATATCTGAGAAAATGTGTTTCAAAAAGAAAACTGATGCCCTCTAGCCGACAAAGTTTTGCATAGAAGTAAATTATGTCCAATCAACTTATTTTGAGCCTAAAAATACATGGTACTTCTTTGTTCACGGAATATTGGAAAAATACAGTTTCAAAACAAAATAGTGTCTTCCAAGACGAACCGTTAGTTTTACTAAGGGAAGAATGGTAGGGCATTTTTTACAGGCAGTAATTAGAAAATACTTCCTAAATTGCTTTGAGATTTTGTCAACGGATGTTCATAGAATACTTAGGAACTTTGGCAACATTAAACTTTTCACTTTTTCATGTTGTTTTTATTTCGTCAGTCAGTCGAATGAATAGCTTAATCGCAACATATCTATTATCTAATTTTCATATATTTTTACTTCCCACTCCAATGACACTGGCGAAGAAGTACTGTAATCGTGAAAAAATGAGGATAAGGACTTCCTGTGTCGTTTTGTTCCTCTCCATCCCATATCCGGATGAATGGGCATGTGCGTAATTACATATCTGCGTTCATTTGGGGCCTGATGAAGCCAACAAGCAGACACACGTATTGCTCTGGTTACCTATCCTTTTTTTTTGCTCGAGTCAACGTTCATTCTTTCTGCAAAAATGACCATTATTTTTTCTATTTGTGATAAGGTATTATGATTTTTCAGATGTTATATGTTATATGAGACCGCGAATCTCAAAAGAAGAAAAGAAATTGCTTTAGAATAAACTTGTCCAGGGAAAGGTTTGAGCTTTAGGGCCATATCGTCATTCATTCCTATACTTGTAGGACGCCCTTATGGCCTTCTTGATTCTCATAGTCTTTTCTCCCCTTCAGTATTTTTAGCTTTCTACTGTTCCGTGTCAGCGTCAGCGCTCTCCTAGTTTGAGGCTATGTTTGCTTTATGAACAATTTGATGCAAATAAATATTTGTAACACATCAAAATAGAGCGCTAACACGGAACAGTAGAAAACTATGAAAATCAAGGATCCCATAAAGGCGTCTTACAATTGTAGGAACGGCTGACGATATGACCCTTAGCAACTTCAAAAATATTGGTATTCAACCGCCTATTTTTATTCAGAATGGTCTGGGGAAGCTAAGAAAGTATTAATCTTTAAAAAACTTTTCCTTTAACTAGAAACAACCATGATAACTGTTTTGAAAACTAAAGAAAGCTGGCAATCACATTATGACAAACTATGTTTAAGAAACGTCATAAATTTATATGACTTCAGCTTAGCTATAGGTTTTAGCCTGAAAATGAGTCTTTTTAAAGCTCAAAAACTAAGTATTGTAATTTTTGAGGTTGACAACTGCCTAAAGTCAAGTTCAAGTTTTCCTTTACAAGAACCGGAAGAGTATACCTTAGGCATTTTAAAGTAATATTTAACCTAACAAACGACGAACTTTTGATTTTCGCTGACTTTATGAAAAACCATGTCACTCACTACCGTAGATCTGTCTGTCTGTCAGTGTAGCTAGTCACCACCCTTGATTCTTCTATAACTTGGAAAGTGCCCTTTGGGGATTGCGGGTTGTAGAAGGTACAAAATTTTCGATTGAGTTAGTTTAAAGGGATTTAAAGAATTTCTGATGCCTGATGATATGCAGATTCGTATAAAGACTGCTTTTCGAATAGGACTATGCAAAAAAAACGAACGAGAATACTTTTCCGAGCAGATGTCAGATGCCCTACTGCTCTGCCCCTTATTTTTTAAAGGCATATCCTTCTTCAAAGAAATAACGAGTCCTACGAGTTTGGAAACATCAATAAATTCTTCCATATGTCATATATGTCCACCTCTGTTATCTGTCAGCATTCTAATGCACCACTAAAGCCATGGTGTCTCACTGATATTGACAAAGAAAGTCAAAGTTACCGGAAGTAATCGTTGGTGATAATATTGCAGGAGTGTAGAGATGGGCGGTGTCAAGGAGAATGCATTCCACTGAGCACCAAAAGCGTGTAGTGATGTTCATAGACACATACAACACTACCTACTTTCCTACCTATCATTAGACAGGTGAGTAGTTCACCTAACAATGTGTGTCAGTTTGTTTCTAAAACATACTCAGAAGTTTCCTGAACAGATCATATTAATAAACTGGAAAAAAGTAAATTGAGCTATCAGCACGGGGAAATTCAATGAGTTTTTATTATTCTTGAAAAGTAGTTATTTGTTTTGCTGAATAATTTCGTATAGTTGTAATGCCATTTATTACATGATAAATCTAAGGACATGTTCTTTTACTGCCATAAAGATAATAGATTACTGTCTACCGGTTATAGTACTTCCTCGTTTTCAAAAATTTATATGATGCCAAGGATGCCAAGGTTTCTGAATTCTTTCACCATTCTCGATTAACAAGATGGCTGGGACACTAGACGTATGCTTCTAAGTTTTTAATATTCCAAACGAAGTCGATATAATTATTGAGTTATTCAGTTCAAAGCTCGTTCTACTTCTTTTATGGTAGGCTCTCATGCATTTACTTATTTCCAGTATGTATACTAGTTTCAGCTTTTCTATGCGTTTTGGAGATTTCTGTCAACAATTAGCCAGTGTAAGTGGCTTATCTGTCTTACTTAAATTGCACATTACTTATAAATCAAGATATGACAGAGTCTAAGACCACTCCCACTGGATGCAATTAATATCACTAATGAAGTAATCTCTGAACAATACTCCAAACATCACTACTTGCTGTCTATTTTCAGACTTGGCTTGATTTACCAACTTCTGCATAATTCCTTTAATCATTTCCTCAATCGGCCATACAAACTTCATGGCATGGAATATGGTCTTATTTACAAATACTCAATATCACTAGTTTTATTAAATACTTTTTTGAAGTCAGTATCACAATATATTAAAAGTTATTTATTCTCAGTTCGATTTTTAGTCGTTTTTTGTTAGTGAGATGAGGCGAGTCTGTGTTGACCGTATACCATGTCAACTGACAAATATTTTTTACAAAAAAAAAAACAAAGCCGTATTATATTTTATACTCCACAAATCAACTATCCATTGATTCTTTTACAACAGTACTACAAAACTTGTTAGGGAAGAATTCATGTTCGTAACACAAGGTTTGTAATACCTATACATTTTTAGAACCGCACGTTATAGGCCTACTCTATACAGTCCACATTTTGCACGCACACATTTCAGATATTTTTGAAATTTTGCACGTGAGATGCAAGTTATAGTCTAGAGTTTAGTTGTGTATGTGAATTTAGCAGCACTTTGTAGTGATATTTGTTTATAAAGTTTTATAACTACTATATTTGTCAAAATGTAGATAAACTTATATGTAGCAAGTGTTTTACTCCTCCAAAAATCTTAACTTGAAGTAATTTGACTTTTACTTTCCTTTAGCTTGACCTGAGATTCATATCAATTTGACCTCTTTTTTGCCTTAACGTGATCTTAACTGGACTTTAAATTGACCCTGGATTGATCCTAAGTTAAATTGGACTTGCCTTTAACTAAACCCCAACTGTTTTATTTAGAATTTTAGTTTTTTACATGAGGCTGCATTTTGACTCATATATATCTTTCAAAACATTCTGATTACTTTTTACTATTTGCTTGTCGCCAATTTGCTATTATAGCATGTTGGCATCATATGTATAAGTATAGTATGATAGGCAATCTACTGTTGGCTAACCGTCTAAAAAATGAATATTGTATAATTGACAATGGATTGTGTATACTACTTTCACTCTTACTTTTTATTCTGTCATCACTGTTTAATATTCGCTTCAGTCCATTTTTACACACATTTGTATTAAAGCTTTGCTAGTTCTTGTTTCTCACATCACACTATATTCCAATATTCCGTACTATTTATTTAAATTTGGGAAATTTATATCTATTCATTTTGAATTTTAAATATGTATCAATATGTATTCTTCGAAAGGTTCCCCAGTCGAACTCGACATTTTAAGTCTGTTGAAGTTTACATACTTTCAGTATTATACTTCAGGTAGTGCTGAAATTATCCTGCTTTTTATCCAAACTTTAAACTATCTATCATATAATAGCAGCACAACGACCTTTCAGTGAAAAATGTTTTATGAAGGTTTTTTCATTGAGTAATATTTATACATGTAGCAAAACATTAAAGTACTATGAGTCCTCTATAGATATCGCTTTGTCATAAGTACATACAGATCAAAGTATTGTTGCCAAATTTTATAGCACCCGTCACCTCCTAAAAAGCACTATAACCCTCTGGCAACACTTTTACGAACAACTATCAACCATGAAAGCGCCCTCTATCGTCTTCTTCTGCACTTTCCTCAGGACTTTAAGGAGTTCGTGGACGCCGAGAACCTGATGCCTCTGACGACGAGCGATTTCCGGAACCCGGTGTGCCTAGAGATGAAAGTGATGAGTAGGGCCCAACAGGAAGTAGCTAATGTGGGCAGTGCGGGCCAATACGGCACCACCGGAGCGGGGGACATGGACAACATGGGGCTGATGATGGGCTTCCCAGAGGTGGACGTGGACAGAAAACCGGCCAATGGGGGCACAGCAGGAGCTGATCTGCATTCCATGGATAGTTCTGATACCTTCGCTAGCTGTACCACCAATCCGTTCAATTCGCAAGGAGATCTTACCGGCGTGGAGGTAACGAAATTCCTTTCTTTCCTTTGACTTAACTTCGTTTCTTACTTTGTTCCTTCCTTTTCTTCTTCCTTTATTCCTTGGTTTCTTCATTTCTGCTCTCACTTCCTATGCCAAAACTTGCTACGAGGCATTGTAATCGCGAAAAGATTTATAGAGATATATGCTTTTCGATGTTATATGGTACACTCCACGATAAACCATGTCACTCATTTCCGTTGGTCTGTCCGCTAATTTTATAAGCGCCTATAACTTAAGAAGTACCGCTCAGATTTTTAAGAAATTGTCACACAAGGTTACTAATATAGAAAGGATGAAAAAACTTTGTAGCTTATGAAAATCGACTTGACAAAAACACGAAAAAAATAAAACTCGCCTAAACCCTGTTTTTTGGTGGTTCAGAGGCTCGTAATACTTTTTTGAGAGTTTTTTGTGGGTGCTGAAACTCGGGGGTTGTAGGGAGTAGGGAGATTGTATATGTAACGTCTTTAGCATTCTGCGATGCTTTTGCAAATTAATGATGACTTAGCTGTTTTTATATACACATATATATTTTTCTGAATTTTATGAACCTTAAATGTACCACCCATTTCGCCCAATCTTTAATTTGTGTTACTCCGTCAAGTTCTCTGAATATTTCGCCAAGTAGATTGACTGAGTACTTATCATGCATTGATAGAGACAAGGACTGACAAACCGACATAATATATGAAAAACACGGACTTGCGTAACGCCAATATCTTTAAGCAACAGACAACTTGTGAACCGAAGGTCAAACATTGTCATGAGTACTTCCAATGTTTAGGTAGTCGTAGATTTTGAAAATTTATTCAGAGACGGCGGAGATAAAATCGCTGAGATAGTGTTACAACGTTCAGAGATTTGTGCTCATTCTCAGACATTATCTGAAGGGGATGAAAATTGTAGGTTGCAAGCTGTATGCGGTGAATAGTTGTAAATTGGTGCATACGAGTATTTAGTGTCAGTGAAAGACCATTTATCGTTAAGAATTTGCTGATCTCACTGCTGGTACATAATAAGTCACATATATTTTCCCTACATCTGCCACGGACATATGATTTGTTTTATATATTTTGATATGCAGAGGTCGAAGATTCGTTGTACATAAGTGAACCAAATCATGATTCGATTTGGCCATTAAAAGCAATTTCACGCATCACTTTTCTTTGAAACCTTCAACGAAGGCGTAGAAAGTATAGATTCAATTTACTTGACGCCATTCTTTTTTCTTCCATTCTTCTTTTATTTTTTCCTTCTTTTCTTCTTATCCTCTTTTCTTCTTTTACTTTTTCTTTCTTTGTTTTATTTTCTTCTTCTTCATTCCTTCTTTTCTCTTTTTCCTCTTGTTTTCTTCTTTTCTGCATTCCAATCCCGCTTTGATTCGCTTTTTCGTCTTCTTTCTTCCATATTTCCTTTGTCCTATCTTCTATTTCTTTCCTTCTCTATTTCTATTTTTTTATTTTACTATTTCTTCCTATCCTTATACTCTAAATGTATTTGAACATTTTTGTGAGAGGCACAAATTAGCTAGCCAAGTCTCGTTTTCCATCATGGGACATTTTGGCGCAACAACAGACACTCTTAACACGTAACACGAGTTTACGTAGCGATGCTAAATTGAAGCATGCTTGTGTGTTCTGGTTTGAACAGTTTAAAATTTTCATAAACAAAATGCGTTTTTTTCCAATCCAATGGGTGGAAAGTTCTGAATCACTCACTAGACTCTATTTTTCTTGATGTGATGTCCTTTTTCCAGTGTAACGGTGGTGGTGATAAATCTGACAGCAACCTATACGTCAACCCCCTGGATAAGAGCGGTGAGAACAGCCCCGTGACCCAAACTGCGACCACCACAGTGTCAACTACACAATCAGGGGTGAAAAAATCAGCGTCAGGGGACACAGCGTTGCGCAGTTTGGGTACATCGCCCATGGATGAGGGGTTCAAGGGATTCGGGGCTCTAGATAGGGGCAGCAGAGTCAGTCTCAACGATTCGCCTGTTACCAAGCACCGGAAGACTAGGTTTCAGGTAATTATTAATGTTTTAAGATTTTTTTGATGTCACGCGTTTTTTAATCTCGTATTTGCAACCTAGCTGTCCCAAAGGACCTACAGGCCCTGGCGCCAATGCAACCTCTTGACTTTTCAGAAAAGTTTCAGCCTACTTATTTGTTGAACTGTTCGGGAGCTGGAATTCGGGGATGATGAAGATGCCGCACTGAGAAAATGTGATCAATTAAACAGTTGTTCTGAAAAATGTTCATTGCCCGACATAGTTACTCTGTAACTTAATTAACCGGCTTAACCAAACTGAATTTTCTGGAAATAGTTTAATTAAAAGTAATATGCTATTAAACTAATTTGCTTGGAAACAGCAAACCATGTACCCGTTTTATTAAACTGTCATTTAGGTTTGCTCATGTAGAAAAGGTACATTGAAAACAATTAATCATTTTAATAAAATCAGTTAAACTGTTTATTTGAATGGTGGCCTCGGTCATATTTAGGTAAATGTAGGGCATTTATACCAAACATCATCAACATAGGCTTAATGTGTGTTTCTTTTATATTGTATAATGCATATGTCGGAAGCAAAGCCTCCTGTTGGTGCAGACTTTGTGGTATTTGAAAATATCCTATATTACATACTTACGTAAATGTGTTGAATGCGGGTGAATGAAATATTGTTTCGTTATTCTAAAAGTACAATTTTTATACACATGATCAGGTGACCTCATTCAGTTTCAGGTACCCGTTTCTATACTTTCAGAATTTAGAATGGATTACTAGCTTGCACAAGCACGTGAAAATGACGTTTCAAGCTGGTCATGAAATGACGAGAAATTGCGAGTTGAATGACCTAAAAGTAACGTGAAAATAACCTCCTAATGTCACATATCGATGACGTGGCAGACGTTAATAAAATTACTAGTTTTAGCTTCTTCAAAAAATCGTATATTGCGTTATTAGTAGTATTACAGGCTGAGCGCCATATGGCTATGAATTGAGCACCGGTTCAGTGCCTTGCCTGGTCCCATCCCTCACTTTACCAGTTTACAAGACGTTTGGGGTGACATCAACACACTAATGTTGCGATTTTTACACCCTATGAGCTGTATGTAATACTACGGGTAGGTAGATAGAGAATTAGAGTCACGTCAGCCGGAAACTGTTTCCAAAATGACTACAAGCCTTGACACTCCGATATTTAAAAAGTTACGCGAGAGCTGGAAAAGTGTGGATCTTGAGAAAGTACAGATTTATACTGAAAAGCTATCATGCCTGAATATTTCAAAAACTGACAAGCTACTAGAATTTGATCGATATGAATTGACCAAAGAAGTTGCTAGAGATGACTATCGAGAATTAATAGAACTTTTAATATTATTCCTTGGCGGAAATACAGAGATTCGACCGCCAGGCGCCATGCATCAAGCTGGATGGATGGCCAAAGCAATCTACTCATTAAAAATAGCGTTACTAAGTTTGCAGCTCAAACTTTCCAATAAGGATAACCCAGCCAGCAAGAACGGCCCTTTTCGACGTGGAAAGGCCGTTAATTTGTAGGCGACGTGTCAGATAGAATCGACGTTACTTTCTGACGACGATTTCACGTGATCTACACATGTCGTTTTCATGCCTCTTTTCGACGTGGAAAGTCCGATAATTTGTGGGCGAAGTGTGAGATACAATCGACGTCACTGCCTGACGTAATAAATTTAATAGATATAATTAAATTTTCTTACTTGAAGAAGGTAAATGGTTCAATATTAAATAAATTGGTATAATCAATATAAGTATACGGTTTAATAAATTTAATGTGTTTTGGCTTAATTAAACTAGTTCCGTAGATTCAAGTAAACTGTTTTGAAAATCAGAGTTTAATTCAACTAATTAAACTTGTTAGCTGTCACATCCCAACTAACAATTATCACTCCTATTAGAGAAGAATCGCCGAACACCTCATGTTACTGTGTTTGACTCTGTGTATCGGCGCATCCGCCAAACCGGACGTGTTCAAGTTCAAAGGCAACATACTGATGCTGGTCGACCCCGAGTCTATCCTCCTGTAGATGAAGAGGAAATCCTTCGTGTGTTTCAGGAAGACCCTACTATATATCACAATACAAAGTATGGTTTACTGTGCATACTGCAAGATTATACCCTTATCACTACACACCTGTGCATGTGATTGAAGATGGCGATCCTGCAAGACAATTAGATGTCTGCAGGTACATGTTACATGCAGATACAGAATGATTATACAGTATTCCTTACACAGCATTGTATACTGTAAGAACATTGGCAAAACCCTCTTAGAACAGCTATACAAGCGGAATGGGCACACCTAATAGGACACTTCAGTCATTTAAGGGGTTGTATAGGGGCTGCTGGTAACAGTTAGACAACAAAAGTGTAAGCCTCTTGCAGCCGCTATAGGACATTTGCATCAGTGCAAGATTCAGTTTTTGTCAACTATACAACTATTCTGTTACGCGATTCTACTTTATTGAAACCAAACTATTTCTTATATATTGTATAGACGAAGTGAAGAATCTATAACTAACACAGAACAGTCATCTTGTTTACTTACATATCGGCCATTGTGAATTTCATACACAGGTATATGATAAACTTCTACACTGTGATATAGGGCTATTGAATTACTTGCGCAGCAAATTTTATTGTGATTATCGTGCAAAGTAGTTACGCAATTTCTACGGGCTTCGTATTTGATTCATATTTTGTTAATGATCAAAAGTATGTCTAGATTTTTAAGATGAAAAACTGAACTTATCTGCGTTAAATCTTCCACAAATCCTATATTTAGACACAATTACACTAATGTTTATCACTTTATGTCTGTAATTTCGAACTGAAACATAATTATTTAATATCAAATAGAGGAATAAATGTTTGCCCAATATGACGGGTGGTTGTGTAGTGTACAATCATGGCATCGTCCATGTTGTCTTTAGTTTATTAGAATATTTTGGTGTTGCCTGCAGGTGTCATACAACAATTTGAGAAATGTCAAAAATGAAATACCGACAGAGTCGAATGATTTACCTAGAATTTGTACCAGATCTATATCTTCAGTTTGAACAGTTGGTAAAACCTTTTTAACCAATATGCATGCGTTGTTTGTCTTAAAACATTGGTTATGGCATTTTAGCAAAAATATGACAGCAGAAAGTTAGGTTATGGTGAATTTGTATACCAACATATTTAGCATATGTACAGCCTTTAACAGTTACTAAACAACAGTTGTATAAGTACTTCCGTTGGGAACAATTTGTTGGCTAAAGTACTAAATTTGCACAGCAAAACCACAAGGCTCGGGTTTGTTTTATACACGTTACCATGGATGCCACAACACAACCATTTTGAATAACCTGCAAATATGCCGTATAAAATAGTTGTATAAACGTTTATGCAACAGATAAAAATTTGTCCTATAAGGTGTTGTGTAACTATGCATTCCACACAACATTAAGCCAGAATTTTGGTGTTGAGGCAACAACAATAGAGAGCTTTTATGGCTGAACGGTTCTTTTACCAAAAGCTTATAGCACTACTTTGTTAGTTGGGATAGTTCATTAAATTTTTCAATTGGCTTAATCCAAATGTTATTCGGTTTGATTACATTTCTTTTTCAGTGCGCATGAATACTTTATTTTATTGTAATATTAAAAATAATCGCATGAGCATTCCAAGATGGTGGCTGGGGCATTTTTTAAATGGAAATGGGAGTCATGTTACACCTTATTTTGGAGCTCCTTAAGGGTACTTCACAACCCTAGAATATAAAATCACTCTTTTATAAATGGCTGTCTAACAGGTTGTCATACTCTAAAATTTATAAATTTTTAATAACCAGGGTCGTCCAAGAACGAGATTTGGAGATTCCCTCGAAAACAATTCTCAGGAAAGCTTAGAAAAGAAGAAAAAGACTTCCTTTATGGCTACAAGAGGACTGACCTCAGCTACTAGGATATTGAATCAGCATCTATTTGGGTTCCAGAATTTAAGTATAAAATCAGGTAATCAAATATCAGATATACTATTATTTGGATTATGTTTAACAAGGTACAAACCGTTTTTGTTTTCAGCACGCTCTTATCCTCAGGTTTCAGCAAGTATAATATCGAGTTTTCATTAGGTTTGGTTTGGATAAACATTTCAAGTTTGCCATAGATTACGTTATATTAGATTTTATAAAATAGTACTGTTAGAGCACTCGCAGCGTATTTTGTTACTTATAGCTTAGATCATAGGGATATGAACATAATTTTTACGTTGAAACACTTAGCTTTAGATTTAGTTTTTCAGTTTGATCGGAATAATATCACCAAGCCATTCAAAGGAGAAAAAACTGTCGCATAACAAGAAACGGTAGATTCAAGCAAAATTGTTTTAGATTCTCTAACAACCCTCCTCATGAATCGGGTAAAAAAGGGCCTACATATCCATCAATAACTAAGATCTGAGGAGAACGGTGACTAGCTGTATCAAAGTCGACCCTTAAAGCTGAGCAGTCCAGGGTTAAAATACCCTTAAGGCTGAAAGACCATTGAGGTTAAGGGACACTTCAGTCCAAGACACCCTGAATTTTAAGAAACCCTTAATGCTAAGGGCTTTTTAAGGCTAAGAGACCCTTGAGGCTATGGAACAATTCAGTCCAAGGTATTTTTAATATTAAGAGGTTCTTAATGTTAAGGGTTCCTTAAGGCTAAGGAACACTCCAGTACAGGGCACCCTTAAGATTACGAGACCCTAAATGCCAACAGCTCCTTAACGCCTAAGGGGGTCCTTGAAATGCTCTAAATTTTCATCTAGTATATCCTTCAAATGCATGGAAGCACGAGCTATCGAATCTCCGCTAACATTGGGTACTATAGTAGTTTTTCTGTATATCACAGGCAAGAACAGCGGTAGCAAATCAACTCTGTCCGTTGACTCCTTGGATAGTCGTACCAGTCCCCAATTGGAACAGCACCGCCGCTCCAAGTCCATCTTGAAGAAGTCCGACAGTAGCGGAGGAAACAGGCACCATAATGCTGCAGATCCAGAGAGTGAAAGACTCATTCCTGATAATATGTCAGCATTTGAAGTCGATTATTCGCCTAACAAAAGGTTGTCTTCGCCTCCGACCAATCGGAGGATCACTTACAACCAAAAGGTAATTTTTTCTACGTTTTGTTGGTTATAGAGATCCCAAAATTGACGTTTACAGAGGATCAATCAATAACACAGCGTTTTTTAGGAGGCAAAGCTTGTTTTTTGAAGAAATAGAGTGCGTAGATCACGAGTCCTACATAAAATAAGGTTTTCTGTCAATTCTAATGATGATAGAAATGGAAAATTTATTCCGGGAAACTGCAAAGTTCGATGTTGAGGAAAATTTTGTAAAATTCTTGTATAAATAGGGGGCGGAATGACCATAACTCTGATAATGATGAAGAATTTCAAAAATCTATACGGCTCTGTTGTAGAACCATACCCATAGGGTAGGTCACAATGAATTTGTTTTATCAAAAAAACAAAAATAGCAACATCGTTCTAATCATTTGAATTTTGAATTTTTACGTATTTATACAGAGTGGCTCATCCATGTTGAGTTAGAATACTGCTCCACCCTGTATAATTACATGATCAAACGAACTTACCTGTAAGTGATGTTCGATCTTAATTATGTGAAGTCGACGACGAAGTAAATATTTAGAATACATATCGTAGTACCCTCTTAGTAGTATCCAACCGCCACGATTTCAAAGCGCGCACGCAGAGAAGGAAAGCAGCACCGCGCCCTTTCCTCCTACCTTTCCCCCCTCTGGCCGCCTATAAACCTTCATTTACTTCAAAGTCAAGTTGTTGCAACAATTGGGTGATACATAGGAAACGAGGGAGCTATTAACTTCGACGAGGACTTCACATAATTAAGATCGAACACCACTTACAGGTAAGTTCGTTTGATCATGTAATTATGTTCCGTCATCGTTGAAGTAAATATTTAGAATACATATCGTAGATGTTTAAAGCTAGTTGCAACAAAATAATACTAACGCTCTGCAATAGTACACTACACAAATTGTACGCAATGTATGTGGCAACTAAATGTACATTTCCATTGTAACAATTCAAGTTAAGGCTTTTAGCAACAGGTAATATGACGACCTGGTTCAAAACTTACCATATATTTCATGGTAATGAGCAAATAACGTAATAACAGACTTGGTTCACCTCAAATGCCGCTCGGGCAATGCTATTGTTTGGCATAAGGGATTTGTGACGTATCTCAGAAAACGCACTCCAGTCCGCCTTGAGCCTGAGACTACTATAATTTAGCAGGCGGAGAGATAGACGCATTTCATGTACTGTGGGTTGTCAATTGAGACACTCTCTACTAAAACCGACTTCATCCATCTGGGAGCCGAGGCACCATGATAAAGTTACTGTACAATGACAAATAAATACTTTGGACAGATATTTGAGCGTAAAATACGGTAAAACTTAAGTGGTTGCCATATGACTGACCCCGAGACTTTCAAGAACTGAGAAATCCCAATTTCAGTAATATTCAACCCAATCCGGATGTTGTCTGTTTCAATTAGTTTGCACACTCTGACCTGAGGTTCGAGCTAGCAGTGTTGCTGATTTCCGCATCCAAATATCTACAGAGCTTGCCAGCAACCCCTTTGGTTGGTTGAGAACAACCACAGTATCTATATTTCAGTTGAGATGGCCTCAGCCTGTAAATGCCCTTCAAAAACCATCTTATGTCTGCATCGTTAGTAACATTTTGGGTAAAAGACTACGAGCTTAAACAATTATATCTTGATTTGTTATCACCTGTAAAGTAAGAAATTTCAAGGTAGGAAACCAAACATGTTCTTCCCGACAAAGGTCCTACCGTAATCTAAGCCCACACTACATGATGGATTATCGATGTTGATTGGAATGACAGCATTCCAGTGACGATAACCAGGGTAAGCTTTAGAATTAGTGGGAGCGGCGTCCTGGGTCCCTCCAACAGATCCTTGCGTTAGTGAAGTTTCAGAAACACCGAATACTTGAACCACAATCAGGACGGTGACAGGTGCAGCTTCCACTCCGTTTCCACGATCCACTGACGCAAAAGCTCATATGTACCAGTATTACTCCTAGATTTTATATTTGACGCGAGGGCAGTAAGATTCTCTCTTTACACAATTGAGATAGTTTTCCCGCAACCTGGTCCAGACGTGGAAACCAGAAGCTCTCCATTCTATTGATGTAGGATGGGGTATAATATATGACAGCCTATCAATTCAATCATGCGGGATCTTCTCGGGTGACCAAAAACTAGAGACTCCTCCGTGGCCAACGAATGCCCCAGTCCGAGAAATTATACAACAAAAAATTGGATAACTCAACACCTCTGACCGCATCTGCCAGCTTCTTTGAGCCCCAGCCGAGGTAGACCTTAAGTTATATTATGTTAGTGGCATAATAGCGTTAAAATTCCCTTGAAAATTTCACAAGGCAAGAAATTTCACTCGTTGGTGAATAGTCGGCTGTAACGAAATGAGAGGCAAGCTGACACCAAGATCCCGATGTTCACCGCAAAGTTTCGGACTCTGTCTTGGTTGCTGTCCATTATTGCCCTTACTAGGTTTAGAAGTGTCTGCATCGTCCGCTCAAGTAAAGTTACTTTTCTGTCACAATTTAATACTGAGGTTGAAAGTGCTCATTTTGATAGTTGATTAATTTTTTTAACTGATCTAACTAAAATTTTAATTGGCTTAATTACATTTTTTTCTCAGTGTGAAACATTCGCTATGTCCCTGACTAGATTATCCATAATTTGAGTAGACACTTTCAGAAAAATTTTATGGGTTATGCTATTCCAGAATTTGATTATTACTTTCTTATCTCCTTCCAGGTAACGAAGAATCTTCCCAGCTACCAGCAAGAACTTGAGCGCACCCGTTTGCTAAAATCCCAACTATTCTTGCTGGACGACATCCTGAGCCGGGAACGTCAAGCGCAAGCGTACGCGCATGCGCAAGCGACTTGCAACGAGACCGGCAGCATGGAGGCGCGCCTGCGCAGTGCCCCGCACGCTGCCTCTGGGGATAACGGCGGCACCGGAAGCGCAGGAGAGGTGCCCCTGTACATTTGCCCGCCACCTCCGCCTATGGAAGGGTCGCCCACAGAAGAGACTAGGTTGTTGTACAGTGCAGGAGGGCAGAATCAGAATAGAAACAGGCAACAGCCGACGAACTCTATAGTCAAGGGACTCAATCCGTCCTCGTAGCAGTTACAGGTTTGTCAAACATTATCCAGAATACCAGCACTAATATTACATAGCTCAAGATCCATAATATTATAACAATGTAATATATCTTTATTAGTTCGGAAGTCCATCGTAAAAATAGCAATTGTATAACACCATAGACCTAAAACATAACGAACAAAGCTAATACATTTATTCACTTGTTTATACATAATTGCCCAATAGACTAATCAAAATTGTTGATGGTTGAAACAAAATCATTATTTACAAAACATGTCCTCTGGCCAATATTATCTAATAGGCCGCCACTGATGGCTCTGTCACACTTATGTGTCACTTATCGATATACAGAATTTTGGAATGTTATAGATTATATATTCTATCGTAATCCGTAATGGAAAAAGACAGTAACCTACTAAGATCGCTTGTACTAGTTGTACTGTCAACAGCATCCGTCAGCTGAAAATCTGCATACAGACACATATACGTAAACAGCAGAGTATAATGACGAACCCATTTATTGCTGTCTATATGTCGGTACCAACCTCTGTTTGTCGTCAAAATTGTGCAATTTTAGGGTGCGTTTACTTCTGAGCACGCACGCACTGATCCTCTTCGAATGCTCAAGTGTAAACGGCTATGCGCGCACGCTCAGCCTGTATCTTCATGTGCGCGAGCAACAGCGAACGCGATCCGCATGTTGTCGGTCTCAAAACGTTGCACAAAGGAATGAATGGGTTCGCGAATGTTCAGTGTTATCGAAAACGACAACGCGGCGCACAGGAATAAAAAGTTTATTGTATATATTTAGTCCAGTAAATGATGAAATGGAATAATACTAAAGTTCAAAAACTCTTGCAAGAGTTTGAGAAATTTTATCGGTACTGTGGGACGTTAGGCAAAAATCGAAAACAAAATGGTGCATGGAAACAACTAGTAATCAATTGTAGCATTGGAACTTTATACCGTTGCGAAGCACAGAAAAAAATTAAAAGTCTGATGAGATCATTTCGTCTCGAAAGAAAAGCAAAATGAATATTTTGAAACTCTGCAAAGATACTGCAAACTGATGTAAGAGTCTCCAGTTGCCTCAAAAAACGCAAGGTTATGGCTAAAGGTATTCTTGATGATATAGATTTTCGAAACTGTATATCAATTTTTATTACCGTTGGTGTTACCAACGTAAGCAGGTATTCAAAGTCAGCCTTGGTCATTCTTGTAAAATTTCTGAATTGATCATTCCGACTGTTTAATACTAATTCCTTTCGTTTCCGATTTTTTGTTATTTTAATTAAATTATACAGCATAATAAATGTTGCCGCGGCTATATGTCTATTCTCCATGTTAACCTGGTATGCGAACAACTGGATCAGCCCATGGGTTGGAAAATGAATTCCAGTTTAAACGTGCGTGCGTGCTCATATGTAAACGCACCTTTTGGGCCATATATCGTCAGTTATTCCTACAATAGTTGTAGGGCGCCTTTAAGGCCACCTTGATTTTCATAGTTTTCTACTCTTCCGTCTCAGGTTATGTTACAAGAATCTGTTTATACCCTATTTCACGAGCATCCATCACAGTAGAATGACAGCTGATTATCTAGAAATATTTCAAAATTCCCCATATCGACAAAACGTTACGGATTCATTTTGTACTTGCTAAAAGCTCTTTTATTTAGAAAAGTTCATTGGCATACAAAAAACAAACCAGTTTTACTAGATGTACACCAGTTTCATTATTGCTAACGTCGCAGACTTACACAAAAATGTCACTTGCTGATCAGCTGTTCACCCCAGTAGGCGACAGAGCGTGATGAATACTCGTTAAATAGGGTATATATCAAATTGTTTATGCTTTTGATTCATATCAGCTGTATTGCAATCCAAGAAGAAAACATAGCCGGAGGATAGGAGAGCGTTGATGCTGACACGGAACAGTAGAACTCCAGAAATATCCCAGCCTACAATTGTAGGATCGATTGACGATACGGCCCTTAGTACATAATTTTGACTCATTTCACTACCATTGCTTGCTAAAGTGATAACATTGGATCCACATAATAATAATACTTATTAAGCTTGTTGTGTGTTGACAAATTATGCAAGAAGAACCACACAATTATCTGCAAACACTCGCACATTCAAAAAAAAAACGTCAAGTATTTTGACTCTGTGCTTCACATGCAACGCCCTTATCAGTACATAAATGCAAATGTTAGGCACAAACTAGACCATATGAGAGAACAGTCAGTCAAATAGGTCGTTACAATTAGTCCCGAGACATTCTTTCCCTGCCCTACCGGTAGTGCATCTGGAAGCGTCGCTTCTACCCCATACCGATCTCAGGCGGACGTGGCACCGTGGTAGCGCGGTCAGGGCACAGAAAATACTAAGCTGTTGCGTGTGATCCCATGTCAGAACACTCAAAAAACGAAGTTTGAGCGATTTTCAAAAACTACAAAGCTTTTGCATCCTTGGAATAATAGTAAAATTGTGTAAAAATTTCATCGGAATCGGATCGGTACTTCTCAAGTTCTAGCCGGTTATAAGATAAGTGTACAGACCGACCGACAGACCGACGGAAATGAGTGACACGGTTTTTCGTGATGTACGATAAAAATACTTACTAGCCACTAGAAATGGGAACTAATAACACTAAAAGTGCGAATTTAATGACAAAAATTAAAAAAAACCAATTCACATTTCCACTTGTAGTATGCATTTTCATCTTGACTAAAGACTGAAATTTTGGAGACAAACGAATCGTAGTATTGCTCCTTCTTCTTAGACGGAATTCGTTGGTTTTAACAGATTATTTGCATAGCACGATTACTACAATGACATTATTTTTCAAGAAACTACAACAATTACATGAGAAACAAATATTCAGAAAAAGAAAACTTGCTTCTCTAAGAATTTTCATAGTCCACGAAATGTTCCTTTAATTTTCTTTTAAACATCATTAACAAGTAGACTTATTGTCATTACTTAGTTTATTAAATTCAAATAATCTATGACTATTGCTAATTTGTAAATGGGAATCTATATTTCCTCTTGTAGTATACTTGTGGTAATCATTAATCATTTCTATGTAATGTCCTAAATGTTGTGGCAAAAGATGTTTTATGTTAAATATAAAATACCAAATATATTATTTTTTTTATACTCAACCACTGCAATTCCTGTAACGTATACTTCATTTGGGTGCAGTTATTTCATTTTCAATATTATCCTCATAGATTTATGTATTTTACAGGACTTGTAATTTTGAGACTATGACAAATCCTATAAAAGTAATATATTTTTTAGGCAATCTTCATAGTGATCCTCAAACTTCAGTTTACTAGCACCATACAGAGTGAGTTCTTAGTGTGGGCTCGGTCGATAACGCTATTATAACTCATGGTATCAAAAAGCTTAATCACAGAACTTGTAGCGAACTACGCTCTTTGCATGGAAAATATTTTTATTTCTACAGGCTGATCAATAATTACGTCGTAACCCAAACATACAGTTTTGAATGAAAAGACTTACATTTTATTGCAGATTCGGATATGCCCTTCCAAACGAAGCAATTTCACATAACATGCTATACGGTTATGTTTTCATATTGTTTAGATAATGGACAATCTATCGAGAAAAAAAACACTAAACTTTGGCAATTCGCACCTCCGGAAATCTTAAAGAAACTTTGATAATCCGATTTTTGAACTGCCTAAGGTTAGTAGAACTGGGAAAAGTCTCCTTCTGTAGATTTTTCCACAAGCTCGATACCCTAGGGACAAAGGAACGGTCGTATCGGCCAGTTCTTTATGTACGAAGTTCGACACGGTTAGGATGGGAGGCCGAAGTCGGACGGGTATGTCTGGCAGGCACATCACGCGACGGCATCATGGAGGAGAGCTCTGAGGAGCAAAGCTCTTAGGCGTAGCGGTAGAAGAGATCAAGATCGCGCCGACGCCCCGCCGGCGCAGGTGCTAAAAGATCCCAAGACTGATGTCCATTAGAGAAAAGTCATGGATCAGTTGTGGAACCCTCCTCTGAACAGCATCGAGCATGGATAATAAAGTCGGGGCGGCAGCACCCCAAACATGTGAGCAATACCCAAGGCTATGTCTTATCTGGGCCTTGTTCAGAGTGAGAAGGTCATGTGGAGAAAAGTTCTTCTTAGCCCTGAATAAATAGCCTAGATTTTTCTCAGCAGCTGCCGCTACTGACGAGATGAGATCGTGTCAGATCAAGTCCTTCGTGATCTGGACCGACACTAGCCAAAATGAACGACTCGGCAATGATGTGGATTGGATTGATCGACCAGGAAAGAAGGTCGTTGATATGTAAGAGGCAGACCGATCACTGGGGAACACCCGTGTTGACGTTGTGGAATGAAGAGAACCCGTCGCTTACGACGGATTACCTTGCTGCAAGAGAGACAGTCAGCCACCCATCTGCAAAGCTTCTCTGGGAGGCCATAGGATGGACATTTGCATGAGAGGGAGCGTGCCACAAGTGACTGAACGCTTTCGTGATATCAAGAGCATCGACATGAGCCTCCAGAATTGCGTGACGAAAGCTAGGAGGTCCCCTGGGGATCGCTGGTGCCGCAAACCATACTGCTTGTCGCTAATCAAGCCGTGACAAGCGAGGTGCACCTGAAGCTCGCGACTCATGCACCTCTCCGTCGTCTTACTTATAACAGAAAGTAGAGCTGTAGGACTGTAGATGTAACAGTTGATAAAGTTGTGTTTTTTCGATAGATTGTCCAATATCTCAACATAGAAATAAAACCCTATGGTATGTTACATCAAATTACTTCGTTTGAATGGCCCATTTAATAAATGTATAAATGGATCACCACCTAATTATGAATCACCCTGTAGAAATAAAAAAATATTTCCCAAGTAAGGAGCATACTGTTGGCTACGACCTATGTAATTAACTTTTTAGATACTATGCGTAATAGCGGAGTTATCTACCGAGCTGGGACTAAAATCTCTGTATATACGAGTACCTAATCATTTGATCCAACTTTTTCGAGTATTTCCATTCATCCTATACATGTGAAAGAATGACAGAACTCTAATTACAATTTCTCCATTGATATTCCTGAATCACGTCGATTTTAATCCTATACTTACCTTGCATCACTCACCTTATTAACTAATAGATATTTATAATCTGGTTACTTCCCTAAATAGCGGAAGGAAGCAATAATATTGTACCTTTATCTAACAACCCATTGCTATCAAATCTATCTAACTTGCGTCCAGTCAGTTTATTACCTCTTTTTTTAAACTGCTAGAGAAAATAGTCCAGTACCAATTATGCCACTACTACAATGAACAATCGATAATTACACCACAACAATTTGGCTTTCGCGCTGGTCACAGTACCGCAACATCATTTCTTGGCATCACTGTTGATATAAACAGGGCATTGGATAGAAAAACTGCTACAGTACTGATTTCTCTCGACTTTTCCAAAGCTTTAGATACCATTGATCATGGATTGCTTGTGCTAAGCATACGATCGTTTTCAAAAAGTCAAAATTAGGAGTGTTCTGAGAGTAAACAGATTGTGTCAGGAGTTTCCTAGGGCTCAATTCTGGGGCTTGTACTTTTCATAATTCACACTGCCGATTTTCAGACTACTTTTTCACTGAACTGTGGCTGCTTATGTAGATGATACAGTTGATTCACTATCAGGAAAACTTATCAACTACAACAAATTTATTAAATTAAAATGTAGAGAGTGTTGTAATATATATGCTACTAACCACAACCTACCATTAAATCCCAGTAAGTGTAATTCAATGTTATTTCATCAAAAAAAGAAACTTATAATCATATGAAGTTGAATCTTAACATAAGTATATTAAACGTTTACAGATAAATAAAAATTCTGGGTGTACCGACTGATGAAAATTTGAGATTCTGTAATCAATCATATCAACATTATTATACAAAAATCTTATTCAAAATAAAAAAATTTTGTCCGAATCATCGGCCATGCCTACAATACACTACTGTGACATCTTATATTACAGCTGCCTGGACAGTGTGACGGAGGCACAAAGTGCAAAATTCTTGCTGTTGATGGACTAAGAAAATATGATCATATATCGCAAAATTTTAAAGAAATTCGTCGGTTGTATGTGGAAAAATAGTAAAATTACACTACCTCACTTTTTCACATAAATTGATAATGATTATAATAATTATTCTTTTAATGATGAATCCTTTTTTTACAGAATTTTGGATCACACACGACGTACCTAGATAGTCATTTGCAGACCGTGCAACTGCAGCCACAGACTGTAGCAGCTGTCGTCATTCGTTTGAAAAATTTCGAAAATTCTTCGCCTTTCTCGAAAATCCACCTTCAGGCAAATAGAAACTGAGATGACAGAGATCACCGGTCGGTGCATTTTTAAGTGCTTTGTTGTTTTCAGAGATTTAAGCGTCAGTTACTGAAGTTGTTAGTTTTTGCAACAAAATATATTCTAAAGCTACACCCTATTAACGAATTTTACAAATTCTACTTTATTAGTGCTAAGTTTCGTTTCCGCTATATGGTGTCAACGTGATAGTTCAAATTATTAAAAATACGTATTCGGAGTATCTCGGCAATCAGGCCTCAGTTATTTATGGAGGCTCATAACTTTTTTATACAGGGTGTTACTTAATAAACATGTGTCGTAAAAAAATCTGGTTTTCAAAATACAGGGTGTTAAATTTTACAAAATGTATTTATTTAATTTTTAATATTTAAATAATAGCTCAAAGATCCTAATGCCGATTTTGTTGAATTTTGGCAGTGATGTTCACTGCAATAAGACACTAATTTAGCACCAATTAGAAGATAATTCTGAGTTCCAGTGGCATCTCGGGAGGCATCCCAGGAATAATATTGACAGAAAAATGCACACCACTGACTTTTTTCAAAAAGAAGAATTCCTAAAATCAAATCAACTGTGATCATTAGCTTGTTGGTATGGAATGATGTTCTGTTTTTATGAAAATATTCTTGACTTTCCGTCATGGTTTACTATTTTTCTGTCAAAAGGTGTCTTTGTCGTATCCCTATCAAATACAAAGGGTGCAGGCACTTCTTCCAAGAGATTTTGGGCCATGTGCGCAGTTTTGTAGATGGTATCTTGAAAAACTTACAGTAAATCCTCAGTTTGATTCCGTATTATGTTTACCTCGAAGCACATTTTTTCAAAAATGCAATAATTAATTTTAATAATAATCATTACTGGGCTGAAAAAAAAGCATGCTGTTAATGAGACGAATTTTCAGGAACACTTTTAATGTTTGGATCGGTATCATAGGTAACTATTTGATTGGACTTTTTTGCGTTAAGATTTTAAAAATTACACAAATAAATATTGTACTTGGATACTACTACTATTTTATTTCTTAAGATTTTTTCGACATGCAATAGAGCTGTTTTTATTTATTTTTTTCAAAAATAGGGGATGATACGAAGAGATGCCAAGAGACAAAAAAGTTGTGCCATTAGCTGCTTAACCTGAAAAAAATATGTACTGTTTGAAAAAGTCAGTGGCTTACATTTTTTGTCAATATTATCAGTGAGGCTGCCCCGAGGCGCCACTTTAACTCATAATTAAGAGTCGTATCTTCTAATTTGCAATGTGTTTTAATGCAATGAACAACATTGCCAAAATCCTACAAAATCGGCATAAGGATCTTTGAGCTACTAATAAAAAACATTTTTTATTTAAAAAGAACTTTGACATACTGTATCTTGAATATCAGAGTTTTAAGAACACATGTTTATATGAACTTCTGGTTTAATTTGGTTCAGGAAAGCGCCTTTGTAAATACTGCCTATAATGATACTAACTTGTTAATAAAGTAACATCCTGTATATGATGTTAAATTACACCAAAATCATTTTTCTTTGATAACAGGGCTCTTATGATAAACTATTTTGGTCAAAATTACGGTTTTTGGCCATCATAATAGAAAATCTGGATTTTCTGCTCTCCGCAATTTTTATCATAGATTATTTCTTCTTCGATCTTTTAGTGTTCCTTTTATTGATAAAATTATAAATTAGCTTGAGATACTCTGCATACTCGAGATATAGACTCGTTTTAAAGACTTTGTAAAGCTTCTTGTAAAAAAATGTTTATCGAAGTTGAATATAAAAATGACAGTCTGTTGGCGTGTTGTTGCGAAAAAAACGGAAAACAAAAAAGGAAGTGAAAAAAGTCAATGATAGAGCAATACAAACATTGTTTCTTAGTTCATAAGTCTTACGATGATTTTTTGTTATGTTATTGAAACGGTGTAAAATATATAAAAAGAGAAAATAAATGAAATATGTACTGTTATTTTTTTATAAAAACAAGCAAGAATTGTTCTGTGAACTTCTTATTTCCCTCAACAACAGACTTCTGTCCAGATTTGATTTTCCATATATCGCAGTCGGTAGAAGGCTAAGCTACATCACATATCTGTCTATCCTCAAATCGCTAAGTTTATACGATTTTTTTTTCATAATTGTAAATCATTATATCGGGTGTAAACTGCATGAAACAAAACAATTTCGCAAATTTCCTAATGTGCATCTTCACACCAAGTTAACCAGTACCAATACCAATGACCTTGGCAAAACACGATTTTTTTGTTCAAGTTTTAAAGTACACTGATTTGTAAATTTACAAAAAACATACATTTTACATCCGTTGACTTTTGTTTGGTGTGAAATTGGACAAAATTGTAAATCACCTAGTCATTCCACGATCCCACATATATTCCAATCACATTATTTCTCATTTAGTCCAGTAAGTCTCAGAAAAATATTTAGATACTTTTTATATCTATCAAGAAGGACCCCCTTTTAATGGGTCGGCATGTTGTTTAAACAATTTTTTCAAAGAAATCCCAAAAATAGTTTTTTTTTCGCTCCGGCTATGGCTTTACTTATTTTAAGTTATTCTGAAGAAAAAATGATTCTTATGAACTATTTTTAAAAGTTTCCGAGATATAAGCGAACAGTGCAAAATATCCAATCGAGCCCTAAAATTATTATGAATAAACAATTATAGTTTAAGAATATAAAAAACATTCTTTAGTAGCAAATCGAATCAAAAAGTAGAAAATAATTTTCAAGTAGGTATAGGAGTGTGTGTTACTGCAATAGAAAGTCCATCAATCCTACTAATACAATACTGAAACTTTAAATCCATAGTAATGCATAATACAATCTCGTTAGCAATTGCTCCTTATCAATAGACTCAAATGCCCGCTTGAAATCCAACAATAATGTTACTGTAAAACTTTTTGCATCCATATTTTAAAAAAAAAGCATGGACTGATTGAATAGTTTTTTCAGTTACTATTTACAAAATTTGAGTTGTTATGAAAATATAGCTTTACTATAATTGATTTTTGTTAATATCTTAATTTTCATGTTGATCTTATTCCAAATTAATTTGTCATACTTGATAATTGGACTTTTTATTGTAGTAATACAAACTATATACCTGAACATTAGTTTCGATTTGGGTGTTTTTAGTTTTTAATTATTCTGAATGTTTAGTCTCAACTTATAATCAAGAGCTAGTCTTGATATATTTATATTGATTTGAGAATAAATCTAAATTTACACTACTACTATTATAAGTTTCTATTCGAATACCATTAAGGACCTTTTTTCTAATTTTTAAATCCAAATTTCTTTCGAAATTCGAAATTTTTAAAATTCTTTGAATAATAATTTTGAATTTTCCAAATTCCATACATACATCCAGGTCAGTACAATAAAAGCGTATTAAAAAAGAGGATTTTAATGTTGGCAAAGTTCCTAAATATTTTTCAAACATCCATTAATAAAGTCTCGGCATTTTGGGTGTGACATTGTTATTGAAAACCTTTGTTTTCTCTATTGAACTCACATAGTATATACATTGAGGGCGCTTGACTAACAATAAAAAAACTAAGGTTTACAATAGCACAACACAAAATGAAATGTTTGAAGATTTTGTGCATGACAAATATTTAGGAACTTTGCCAACATTGGAACTTTCGTTTTTTCATATTGTTTTTAAGATCGGAAACGGCATATTTCGCTGTTTTTCAAATATTGTCATGTTCATGAGAACCTGTCTTGACCATAACGTTTCAAAAAACCTAAAAACACATTGGAACAGAAAAAAAACAATATTCGGAATTTGTTTAGAAAAACTTTTTGAAAAATGTTTGTACGCAATTTTGAGCCTAGCTACCTACTTGCAGATTCGTAGAAGGAGCAAAAAGATCGAGTCAAAATATTTTTCCGAGCAGATATGAAGGTACTTCCTGGGCTAATCCGAAATATCTTTAGCATTAATGTCCACAAGTCTGCTCACAAATATAATAAATTTAAGCTGTAAGAAGGAACATTGAAAAAACGTTTGCGCCCTGTATAATACGATAACATAAACAAAATATGGCATAGATTGTACAACGCAATAAACGGAATTATTGATTACTATCGAACTTCTTGTCATTGCCTTCTTTTGGTACCCCTGAAAATGATTTTAATATAACAGGACGGATTCTATGATAATCAAAAACAAAAAGCAACGAGATAAATACCATTTCGAAGAAATAGCATTTACTTAGGAGTTAAAAATATTATTTTAACATTAAAATAAAGGACATAAAAACCACCTATGAAACTTCTACACAGTTTCCAAATCGTTGTTCTCATTCTCATTTGCTCGAATCTACGTTAAAAAAAACTGGTATTGATATTACTATTTTTTATAGTTTAAGTTTTAAGTAAATTTAAGACTCTCAGTAAAATTTCCTTAGAGTTAGTCCTGTTAAAATGAAATCCTACGGTTTTTTATCCTCTTTTTTATTTGACTAAATGTTATTTAGAGAAGTTGCTTGTTAGTGTTTACGTGACTTCAACATTTGCTCAAGTTTAGAGTTATGCTTGTAAAATAAATGTCGAATAATACTTGATTTTTTTATTTAATAAATTTATTTTCAATAAACAGGTAGTTTGGATAGTTGCTTGAAGAAAATGGTCCTATAAAATAATAGACACATCTGATTAAGTTTGAAAAAGAAATTGACAAAAGTACTAACTACTTCCTTACAAGATGGCAATTGTGCAGGAACTTTCTGAATGCGACATCAAATTTTCGGATGAACGCATGTGAGCATCTTCTCCAAGTCGTTCCTGACTGACACTATTGTTTTTTTTTTTAGTGATGCAACCCATCTTCATTTCTGTTGATTTATCAACAAACAAAACATGCGCTACTGGGCTAACACCAATCCTCGTAGATTACATCAAAGGCCTTCGCACTCGCTTAAACTCACAGTCTAGTGTGCAATTTCGACAGCTGGAATTATTGGACCCGGGTTCTTTGAGGCAAAAGAAGTCGCAGTGACAGTGAATTCCGACCGTTATGTAAACATGTTAGATGATTTTTTCCACGGCTAGATGAGTTGGAATTAGGGGACATTTTGTTCCGACAATGCGACGCAACGGCACAACTTCAATAGCACCGATTCCCAAAGCACCTCATCTCAATTAGGGGTGATTTCGAGTGGCCGGCACGCTCTTCCGATTTGGCTCCCGCGTTTTTATGAAAAATTGAAGGACCCTACAAGATTTGAAGACCAACGTTCAGGAAGAAGTTGATAACATAACACGCTATGTTGGCAAGAGTCATAAATTTTTCATCGGTTTATTCAATGTACGGAGAATGGAGGACCTCACCAGTCTGATTTGATATTTAAAACTATGCAAAATAAAGCTTTGGGCATGCGCCTACATTATAAAAAACAAAAAAGATCTGATTAATACACTGAGTTTTATTAAGTTTCAAAAAAGGAAGTTATGCTGCCACACCCTGTTTTACGACTTCCATAAGAAACACAATCCAGCAATTACTTATCGTCGCCTAAGAAAATATCACAAGGAACGACGTCTCCTCTTTTCCATAAATATTTTTTAAACAATTTGTCGGCAACTGTAGTACTAATCTAGCGATTAAAATGTCTAGTTCTATTCATTTCGTCTAGATATACATTTTGCTGGACGTAATTCCTAACTTCATATAGTTGTGCCTCCCATTCATAGCAAAACCACTCATCAAAAGTTGTCACGTCTCCAAAACGAAGTCCGTTATTCCAAAGACTTTCGCTGCATCTGTAACAAAAAGATATGTCGAATCTTAAAACTACCAGAATAGTATGTTCCATATGATTACAGAATAAAGGATACAATTGTTTTTATAAAGTTATGAAAGTATGCACATAAGCTTGTTCAGAAGAAGCGTACCCAACTAGCAAAGTGGTGATATAAGTTTTTGGTAAAAGAACTGTTCAGCCGTAAAAGCTCTCTATTGTTGTTGCCTGAACACCAAAATGATGGCTTAATGTTGTTTGTAATGTAAATTTGCTTTCTGCAGCATATTTGCTCTAAAATATTCTTGTAGCATAGTTATACAACACCTTACAGGTCTAAATTTGAACTGTTGCAGAAACGTTTATACAACTATTTATACGGCATAGTTAGACGGTAGTTAAAATAGTTGTGTTGTGACATCCATGGTAACATATATACAACAAACCCGAGCCTTGTTGTTTTGGTGAGCAAATTTATTAGTTTAGAGATCACATTGATCCCAACGCAAGCACTTAAACAACTGACGTTTAGTAACTGGGTAAAGGCTGTACATCTGCAACAATATCACAAGTTTTGTAGTACAATATTGCTATGTTCGGTATACACTTGTTGCTAAATATACCCTATTTCACGAGTATCCATCACGCTTTGACGTCTACTGAGGTGGCCCGCTGACCAGAAGGTGACATTTTTGTGTTAAACTGTAACATTGGCAATAATGAATCAGGTGTAAATATAGTAAAACATGTTTGTAGCATTTTTTTTCTTTGTATGCAAATGAACTTTTATAAATAAGAGCTTGTAGCAAGTACAAAATGAATCTGTAGCATACAAAAAGCCAAAACAAAATATAGCCCTGGCATTGAAGGATCCGTCAGAACTGTCCTTTGCCGATATGGGGAATTTTAAAATATTACTAGATAATCAGCTGTCATTCTAACATAACAGATACTCGTGAAAAAGTCTATATACCCTATTCCACGAGTATTCATCACGGTGGAATGACAGCTGATTATCTAGTAATATCTCAAAATTCCCCATATCCGTACAGAACACATAATTCTGACGGATTCGTCAACGCCAGGTAGACAAAGCCGAATTTTGTTTTGGTTTTTTATACGCTACAGATTCATTTTGTACTTGCTAAAAGCTCTTTTATTTAGAAAAGTTCATTTGCATACAAAAAACAAACGTTACAAACAAGTTTTAGTATATTTACACCCGATTCATTATTGTCAACGCCGCAGACTAACTAGTGACATTTTTGTGTTAGTCTGCAACGTTGGCTATAATGAATCTGGTGTTAATCTAGCGTTTTGTTTTTTGTATGAAAATAAACTTTTCTGAATAAAAGAGCTTTTAGCAAGTACAAAATGAATCTACAGCGTACAAAAAAAAAATATATATACAGGGTTATCCAAATTAAGTGTCCACCATTAGTAACTTTGTTATTAGTGAAAATACAAAGTTGTTTGAATTAGCAAACTAGTAGCATTTTTAACGCTGGTAAAAATGAGAAATAAAAAAAAAACAATTGAGAGTCGTTATTTTGATTTTTTTCAGTAAAATAACATTTTTTTAAATGGAAACCCCTGTATATTATATTTTTTTATGTTAAAGCATCAAATTTTAAACAAAAAAGTTCATAATGACTTCTCCGCTAAAGTCAAAAATAAAGTCAAAATAACGATAAATATTTTTAATTATTTGCAGTATTATAATATTAAGACGGCTATGAAAACAACACGGCGTTCGCGATTTGACAGCATTAAGATAAGCGACAAATTGTTAAACTGGACATACTCGCAACTAGAAGGCTTTGGAAAACAATGATAAAATCAAATAATGTCAAACATTAGTGTAAATACTTGTTTATAAGCTTTATTGTGTCATTAATTTAAAGAAAAATGTTCTCCCATGAAGAAAAGTGTGATATGTTAGAATGCTATTTAGTGTGCAGAAAATCCTCCTTGAGAGCAAGAGAATACTACAGTGAATTATATCCCGCTCGCATTCAACCGTATGAACGATATTTTCTGAAACTTTATCGAAAATTTATTGGCAACGAAAATGTTTTTGCTAAAACAAGGGCAAAAAAAGAATTCATAATAAGCGAGGCCACGGAAATTGCAGTTATTGGATATTTTGAAGCTTATCGTGAGAATTCAATAGCAGATATTCTCAAGGACTCTAATTTCAGTTATGGTACTGTTCAAAGGATTTTAAAAAAATACAAATTTATTCCGTATAAGTAACGACCAGTTCAAACGCTTTTGGCAGGGGATCCAGAGAGAAGACTTGTTTTTTGCCATTGGTATCTTAGCTTCTGTCGCCAAAATGTAAATAACTTTCGTTACCTTTTATGGACAGATGAATCAAATTTTTCAAATTCTGGAATGTTTAATAGAAAAAACCACCATTATTGGTCAAGAGAAAATCTTTTGTTAGTACATCCAAGAGGCCCACAAGTCCGTTTCAGTTTCAACGTTTGGTGCGGTATAATTGGTTCAAAAATTGTTGGCCCGTTCTTTTATGAGGGAACCCTAACTGGTGAAAGATATGTGGAATTTATGTCAGAAATTCTGACTAATTTCTTAGACGAATTGGATCTTATAAGTAGACATCATCTGCATTTTCAGCAAGATGGCGCACCTGCCCACAACTCCAGAGGTACTTATCATTTTCTAAGTACTACTTTTAATGATCAGTGGATAGGAACAAATGGCCCAATACAGTGGCCTCCCAGATCACCAGATCTAAACCCACTTGATTACTTCTTGTGGGGTTACTTAAAGAACCAAATTTACAAGCGAAGGTACGATAACCTTGACGCGTTAAAGACTGCAGTTAGGGAAAAGATAACCCAGATAGATGGTAGGACCATACTTAAGACAGTTCGAGCAGTTGAAAAACGTGCCCAAAAATGTATTGAAGAACAAGGTGGTGTTTTCGAGCATCTTCTTTAAAAAAAATTGTTATTGTATTTTGTAAGATTATAAGTTGATGTTGAAAATAAAGTTTGTCGATACAATTTAATTGTTTCAGATTGGAGGCCATAACTTCAACAATTTGTAACCTAGGAGAAAAGTTATTGTAAGCTTTTTTGTTTAAAATTTGATGCTTTAACAGAAAAAAATATAATATACAGGGGTTTCCATTTAAAAAAATGTTATTTTACTGAAAAAAATCAAAATAACGACTCTCAATTGTTTTTTTTTATTTCTCATTTTTACCAGCGTTAAAAATGCTACTAGTTTGCTAATTCAAACAACTTTGTATTTTCACTAATAACAAAGTTACTAATGGTGGACACTTAATTTGGATAACCCTGTATATATAGCTGTCTACCTGGGATTGACGGATCCGTCAGAATTATGTGTCCTTTGCCGATATGGGGAATTTTGAAATATTACTAGATAACCAGCTGTCATTCTACCATGATGGATACTCGTGAAATAGGGTACTTTAGCCATCACATTGCTCCCAACGCAAGTAACTTCAAGTAATGCTGAAGAACACAACAGACGGTTTCACTCTTGAAAAAGAATAACAGTTGAAAGTAAGGTTTGGTTTTCTAAGATAAGCATATGTGACATATTTGAGAGGAAATTATTTTATAACTGATGCAGCCGGCACATTTAAACCACATTGGCACATTTCGTTTTGTTGATGGTTTTTAAATATACTATTCAGGATAACTAAGTTGAGTAAACGTCATGTACGCGACTGCTTACTTCTGGTCCATGCGCCATCTGGATGCGGACGTTATAAGTACAAAAACAAGAATTTGTGAACACATATTGAGAGTCCAGAGGCGAACTTTGGACAATTCCTTCTCTTACATTATACCAGCTGTGATTCACCGTAGTAGCACATCCTCAACATTTTTAATATTTACGAAGGAAAAGTAAATAGCAAGCTTAGTAAATCATGTGTACTATGTGGTGCCGTGGGGATTTTAACTGATATATAGGGCGATTTCCAAGTATGCGAAAACTTAATATACTGTACAGTTCGATGGAAAATTTCCTCCTGATTCCAAATAATAAGTATTATACAGTTTAGTGGGTTTAATTGTACTAGTTCCAATTTTATAGGTAATCACTTTTATTTACCGTACCTACGTTAGATGAGCTCGCACATCTAGATATACTTGATGTTAGATAGTAAAAATTTGATGTATTAGCATTGCTATATTGGTAATCGATAAAGGTAAGGCAAACGTACCCCGTTTTAAGTTTACAAAATTTAAAGCCGTTCCGTAATTATGTTTTAATATTAATTTTTTTGTTAATTAATGTCTTGCAATATTTGTATGACTTGAAGAGATGTCTTAAAACGAATTCCACATCATCACAGCCATTTTTTCCCTTTACAAAATGACGTTTGTAAGTTTATGATCCAACGTTTCGTCTTCGAGCAGCCATCATCATCAACTTAATTTTTTCAAATGCAGTCCTATAGGTATCTTTTAGTTCTAATTTTGAGAGATTCTGATGTCCCAAAGCCAATGACGTATCGAAATTATTTGAAAACTCCTATTGTTGGCATTTTCCTCGAAAGTTTTAATTTTAAAACGGAGTTTGGTTAATCACTGGAATCCACATGTTTGACTTAGCTTATCCAACCTCTTATAACACCTTTCCCGTGCAATTCGTCTCTGTTTGATAAAGTATACACATAAATTAAATATTCTATTAAAAACGTTTATAGCGGCATTGTTATTTTATAAAAATAGTTCTGTAAACGTTGTTAGGACATTTATAAAACATAAATTGTTAGTTGGGGGTGTGCCCGTTGAGCTTGTATAACTGTTCTAAGAGCGTTTTGCCAATGCTCTCGCAAAATACTATGCTGTGTAAGGAATAATGTATAATCGTTCTTGCAACACTAATAGGAGTGATAATTGTTAGTTGGAATGGAGGACGCGCGTTATTGAAGGGTCTCTAACAACGGCAGCAGAAAGATAAGAGATAACGCTAACATGATACAATATAATAGCTATATTGTACAAAACGAGCCAAGGTACTAACAAATACCAAGGCACCGCAGATGGTGTGAGGAGTTTAGAGAAACTTTGTTCATCTGATTTTTGAACTGAAGAAGGTTAGTAGAATTGAGAAAAGACACCTCAGGTGGATTCTGCCACAATCCAAAATATCCCAGTAAGCCATGAAGGTTCCTCACCGGCATGTAAATACGTCCCAAAGAACGCAACCTACGCGGTATAGATACCACAGGTATTGAGATCCCTATGCATAAGATCACTGTATAGCAATAATCGGGGCAATTTAATCTATTTGTAACCGAAACCATATTTCTATTATATTTTGATCAATATGTCTTTAAAACTTGAAATTATTCTAATTTACAATTACTGTATTAAAGCTTTACGAATTCCGGCAACAGCGCTGACATTGTAGGGACCAAGAAGTGGTTGTATCGGTCAGTTCTGGATATATGAAGTTCGACACGATTATGATTGGAGGCCGAAGTCAGGCAGATCTGTCTGGCAGGCATATTGCGAGGCGGCACAGGGGAGGACAGCTCTGAGGAGCAAAGCCCGTTCACATAGCGGTAGAAGAGAGCTAGATCGCCGACGGCCCATCGGTGCAAAAGGTTCCAAAGTTAGACAAGAGTCGTCGATCAGTCGGACTGCCCTCTTCTGAACAGCATCTAGCAGAGATAATGCAGTCGAGGTAGCTGCACCCCAAACGTGTGAGTATACTCGATGCTAGATCTTATCTGGGCCTTGTACAGAGTGAAGAGGTTATGCCGAGAAAAGTATTTCTTAGCCCCAGCAGTTGACGAGATGAGTTCATGCCAGACCAAGTCCTCGCTGAACTGAACACCGACCAATCGAAATAAACGGCCCTTTGATAAAACTCGGTCATCCATCGAAACCGGGATGAGTGCTAGGGTGCTTCTTGTTAGTACGGTACAGTACTGTGTTTTGTAAGCATTGAACTGTTCCAGATGTTGCGTCTCCATGTCTCCAAGCGGAGATAACCTCCAGGTCTATCGTCAGAGAGAAACTTGCTGCTAGTCTTCTTTTCATCAGCTGATCGGTTGAGATTGGCTTGTCACTCTGAATTCCTGCATGCAGAATGCTGTCATGAGCAAAACTGATCGTACAGCAAAGGAGGTCGTTGATATGTGAGAGGAACAATGTCGGAGCCACGACCGATCCTTGGGGAACACCCCTGTTGACATTGTGGGATGAAAAGGAGAACCCGTCAATTACGACGGATATCCTGCGGCCAGAGAGGGAGGATAGAAAAAGAATGGGACGAGTATTGAAATATAAAATAAATGAAAAAAATTTTGATCAGTATAACTGAATTTCTTACGAGTGTCAATTTTGACCTATCTAGAAATGTTCGAACGTATCCTAAAATGGATCGTGTTACTTACACATCGAAATACTGCTGAAATCGGTCGTACCGCTCGATATCCCTATGCGCCGTCTGCAAAGCATATTGACGATGGTACTCTTGACTAGTTGAATCCTCAACTGGTTCCCACCTATCAAGCACCACTTCGTTATTGCAATCGTACTGTTCGTTTTCACCATCTAAGTTACCATGGCTGTTTTCATCTTCTTGAGTCTCTTGGTTCTGGTTCAGCACCCATAATGTTGTGTCTTGTTCAGCGTTTGACATCTGTCTGCTCCTACTTTGGTCATTCTTACCTGTTGTAATACAAATGAGGTTTTAAAATTCGTTCACATTCTGCCTATTTATACATTTAGTAGGTGTGAAAGAGAAACACCATGTTTTCGTGTGATCATTCCACCTAAGAAAATTTGCTCACTTCAAACAGTTTTGGGGGCAGGTACCTACACTCTCCAAACATTCCTGCTGCCATGGATGTTTATTTGCTGAGTTATGGGCTTCTAAAGAATAGCGAAAATTGAATTTGGGATTTTTTTCGAAGAAGTTCTTTGAAATAAAGAGGGTTGGATATATTCTTGGAAAATACAGCAATCAATGGATAACACACATTTTAAAACTTTTTTGTGAATATGTTTTATAAATATAGCGGGCGCCATCTGCAAATATCCCAAGTAGCATCATAAAAAACATTTTAGGTTTATTTGATGTTGAAAACGGTCTTTGTTTGTTTGTTTCAGATTTATTTAGCATTAATGCTACTATGTCCATAATATCCATATTACACAGTACATCACAAAATATATTATGTCTTCAAGACTACATATTTTTATACAAAATTTCATTACTATGAATTCTGGTTTTCCATGAGATCTGTTTTCAATTTCCCTTTGAACATTTTCAAACTGACACACATCTTGATATCATTACTTAATTTATTAAATTCGTACAATCCCTTTTGAAATACTGACTTGCTCGTTATATTGCTACTGCAGTTTTGTAAATGAAAGTCTATACTTCCTCTAGTAGAATAATTGTGGCACTCATTATTCAATACAAGAAACTTTTCTAAGTGATTTGGTAGAAGATGATTTTTCAACTTGAATATGAAAATGAAAACCAAGTAGGCTATGAAATTTTTGATATGTACCCACTGGAGTTTTTTCAGCATAAAATTATTCTGGTACATTTATTTTTATTTAAGATGATTCTCATAGCCTTATTTTGTAATATTTGTAATTTTGCAAATACCGTTTCATTTGCAGTGAATAAAATAGTCGAACAATATAACAAATGAGGAAGAATGATAGGGTTTTACACAATTTTTTTAGAATAAACGCTTAGGCTATGTGAAATTCTATAAAAGTAATTTATTTTCTTGGATATTCTCGAAACAATATATTCATAGTGCCCTTCAAATTTTAATTTACTGTCTACGTATATGCCCAAATATTTAAATGATTCGATTGACACAATTTTTTCATGATTAATTGTAAGATCGTATTTTGATCTAAAGATTTTCCTATTAGCATAGGTATATTTTGTTTTGTTTGTGTTTAGTTTAAGTTTATTTACATTTAACCAATTTATTACGTTTTTCAAAACATTATTTAATAGCTCTATTGCAGTTTAGATGTCTATTTGATATATATTAATGCATCATCAGCAAATAGTTGAATTTTGCAGTGTTGTAAAATATCAGGAATATGGTAATATATAAAATAAATAGTAATGGACCTAATTTGCTACCCTGTGGCACACCTACCGAAATGTTTTTAATGTTTGATAATGTATTGCCAATTTTAGTTCTTTGACTTCTATTGATTAAGTAATTTCGTAATAAGTTGAATACTGAACCTTGAAATCCATAGCAATGCAATTTCATTAACAATTTCTCGCTGTCAATAGTCTCAAATGCTCTCTTGAAATCTAAGAACAATGTTACTGTAAACTTTTGTTCATCCATATTTCGCCTCCATTCTTCTACTACCATTTGAATTGCTGTTTCAGTAGAATACCTTTTTCCGAATCCTGCTTGAAATTTTGCCAATATCTTATTTTCTTCAATATATTCAATGACTTGTTCATATATGATTCCTTCTAAGAGCTTCTCGACATCTGGCAGTACGAGTACATTATTTGGCCGCATGTTTGTATATAACTCAGAATTTTGCACTTTTGGAACAGGAGTAATTGTAGAACATTTTAATTTTGAGGGAAATTCGCCATACACTAAACAGTGATTCACTAACAATAATAACTTCTCTCCAATAATGTTGAAACATTCCTTCATAACCATACGAAAAATATAATGGTTTCAAACATGTACTGCCAGAATTTAAAAAAACTGTTTAGCATTTAATCTAACAAGATTAACAAAGAGATCTTCGAAGTCTATTAGTCAATTTTTCTTATTGTACTTTTAAAATGGTTTAGTCTCAATTGACTAAGCAAGAAAAAATACAAATTTTCCGGTGACTTTTGACACACTGTATTTCGGTGAAGAATGGTCATATCAAGACTTCAGAAAAGCATTTTGAAGATTTAAAATTCTAGTTTAGTTTTTTTGGCCGAAAAATTGTAATAGCACCGGTTCTCATGCAATTCTAACAGATAGCGCAAGGAACATTTTTTTGCAAATTATTTGCCTTCTTTTTAGTCCATAGCCTTGAAATTGTTTTTTCTGTTAGGCCATCATCAGCTTCAATATCCCGTTTTTAAAATATTGATACGACCATTTGGCGGCGATATCTGACTTTAAATGAAAAAGGTACCTTTGACCACTGATATCTTGGTATACAGTAATCGTGCCGAGAATATAAGGATATTTCCAAAAACTGGAATAAACCACGCATAAGACTTTATTGCAATCTTTTTGTTTCCTTAGTACTGATTTCGAAAAACGTCAAAAAAGTTACTTTCTGCATTGTTTTGGAAAATCAACCGCATTTTTGGAACTGCTAATGAGAAGGTTAACGTTATATTTTTGTATACCTGAACATACCCCTTATAACCCCGCACGTCGGCAGATTGATCCATTGTAAGGTCAAAGTTTGACAATGATTCAGTATCAGATCTTGCTCATTTCGGTCGGACGGAACACTGAACGCTGCCGAGCGGACGCGCGAGTATAAAGGCTCTATCGTAAGTCATTCCTACAATTGTAGGACTCCTTTACGGCCTCCTTGATTTTTATAGTTTTCTACTGTTCCGTATCAGCGCTCTATTTTGAGGTTATGTCACAAATATCTATTTGCATCAAATTGTTCATGCTTTTGATTCATATCATATGTTTAATCAGCCTGAAATTTCATACAGTTCAAAAAGAAAATATAACTTCACAATACGAGAGCGTTGACGCTGACACGGAACAGTATAGTAATCTAGAAATACCCCAGACTTCACTTGTTTTTTTTTTTTCTGTGCTCTTCTCCTTTTTTCTTCTTTCCCTTTCTCTTTGTCGTTGACATTGTCTGGGCAACCAGGACTGACAGATTCGACTAACGTACATTAAACAGTGACTAATGGGCAAAGGTCCTACGGACCGCCCAGACAAACAAATGACGAATAGCCCGCCTTTCTGAAGGAGAGAAAATACTATGAAAATCAAGCAGGCCATAAAGGCGTCCTACAATTCTAGGAAAGATTGACGATACGGCCCAAAAATCCGACACGGAAGTACGGAAGATGATACCCACAAGACGTACCCAGTATTATCGGTCTACGAATATTGGTGCATGTAATTTTTGACTTTTTCTGCAACGTTTACGAGTATCAAAAAGTAAATTCATCTTTTCTTGGCTGACAAAAAAAAACAATATAAACAGTTTTTTCAAAGCCAATCTTTTTTTTCTTTGGGATTCAGGGAAAATTAACAAACAGTTTTTGTTACCCACAATTCTTTACAATTTTTTTTTACCAATCAGTCCACAGAAACCGTACAATGGATCGATCTGCCGACGTGCAGTGTTATTAGAAGCACACTGAGGTATAAACAACGCAAAAAATTATCTTTCTCAGTAGTACTTCCAAAAAAGCGGTCGATTTTCCATATCACGGCAAAAATCAACCTTTCGATGTTATTGAAATCCATAGTAAAAAAAATTCACAAACATTGCAATCAAATATAGGAGGTTTATTACAGTTTTAGGAAATACCCTTACATTCTCTGTGTAATCACTGGTTACCGAGATATCAGTGGTCGATAACAAAATGATCCTTTTTCATTCAAAGTCAGATATCTCCGCGCCAAATGATCGTATCGAGATTTTAAGAACAGAATATTGAAGCTGAATAAATGAGCATTCTGATACCCTGACAGAAAACATATTTTTCAAGCCCGTGGACTAAAAAAAGAAGGCAAACATTTTTCAAAAAAAGGTTTTGCGCTATCTGTTAGAATTACATGATAACCGTTACCCCTAAAATTATCCGGTTAAAAAAACCGACTAGGATCATAAAACTTCAGAATTATTTTTTTTAAAGTCTAGATAGATACAGCCATTTCCACCGAAATACAGCTTGTCAAAAATCACCCAAAAATTTTGATTTTTTCTTGCTCCCCTTATTTGTTTTGAAAAGTGTATTAAAAGTATGATTATCTCACCTGGTTTCACTGGTACCCATTTCATGATCTCCACAGGTCCCGGATCAGTCTCTTTGGAATCTTCAGACAATCCATCATTCACCACCATACTAACACTTTCATTCACATTTTCCGGCTCTCCTGTCTTCTTCTGAAGCTTCTCCAAACACTCTTCCAAATTATCATTCGTTGATCTCACTATCGTATTAAACGCTATTTCCAATACCCTTTCTACATCAACACTTTCCGTTCCTTGAGAAGATGTGCCTACATTCTCTTTCACATATGCTTTACTATCTTTAGTTTCTTCTTCATCCGAAATCGGACGATCACTTTTGATAACATCCAAAATTTCAGCGGTATCCTTTTCTGAAAACTTCGTTACTTTTACTTTTTCATTCAATTTCAGGGTATCTAAGCAAGCTTGTAATGATGTTTCTTCAGGTTTTGTGCTGTCAGGATTTATCAAAATCTTTGTGATGTCCAATAAAGCTTTGTTTTTGCAATAGGTGTCTTCTAATTTTTGTTTCTTCTGGCACTGTTTGTTAAACTCGTTACTAGATGTTGGAGATCTGACATTTTTCTTTTCTTCAAAAGGCTGAGTGGTGTCTCTTTTAACCTCGGGAACAGTCAGATTTGGTTTGGGAGTGGCATTAAATTGAAAAGCGTCTGAAACCAAACTATCCAAAATTGATTCTCTGTTAAATCCAGCCATTCGTTTTTCAAGAAACTTTTGAAAATCGACATCATTATTTTTTTTTGCGTTATTAGAAGATGCGTCTCTTGACATATTTGCTTGATCCTTCGTTTTAAACTGAAAAGTGCCTGAAGCTAAAGATGCCAAGATTTCACTGTTGCCCACTTCAGAAACTTGTTTTTTAAGATTCTCCACATTACCACTATCTACATTGTCTTCTTGATTTTCGTTTGCTTTTTTAGAAGGCAAAGCTGTGGATTTATTTGATTCATTTTTTGAAGAAACTGACATTGGAAGTGAATTATTGTCTTGTTTTTTGTCAATGTTCTGTTTTGCCTGTTTCTTGGCTTTCTTAGCTTTATGTATATTTTTCTGTTTCATCTCTTCCGAGTGCTTCCCCTTTTTCAAATCATTTATCCTACTCCTGATATCAGAAGTAGGAGTTTCGCTGACGATTCCGCTTATGCAATTTTCTGGTGGCACTTCAATTCTTAGTAAATCCTGAATAGATCCAGCAAATTCTGGTAATTTCGGTATGGAGATTTCTGAACCACCAATACAGCCTAGGATTTTTTGCAACACTTCCAACTCGTCTATAAGGGTAATGTTGATACAGGCTCCAGTAGATCCGTATCTAGGATAGAAATGCAACAAATAATTGTCAAAATTCTAGAGGCAGTGAAAATGAAAATAGAAAAACAAAATTAATAAATGCTCGATACTTGCAGAGCAGGGTTGTTCTAAACCCAGGTTTTAAAAATACAAAAAAGCTTTTTGGTTTAAACCAGATTTAATTGGGTTAGGCAATTGGCGTGTAAATATTGACAAACTAATAAAAATTGGAAAAATACATAATTGTATAGTTGCTTTTAAACATAATTTATTTTGGACACCCGTCAAAAAAATTAAACTTCTGATAAATCTGATAAAAAATTAGTAATATATTTTATTGGTATAATTTCACTTTCAGTAATCTTTCTTATTATTTGAGATGCATTAAATTTTTGAAATAATAAAGATTTCGAGGGCTTCAGTACCCAACTGAAGATGCTTGTGCGGTGTGTAGATTTATTGATATCAAAGATTTTATCATTTTTGCTTTATCAATATCATTTTTCTTGCGTCTTCACCACTCAATTGAAGGTTACACTCAACATATCATATGAAAATAAGGTCACTACGTCTGATGGAAAAGGGTGTATATAATGTGATGTGACAGTGACGTGTTTTTGAACAGTCAATTAGACTAAAGTAAATTTTTTAAAAGAACGATGAAAAAAATGGACAAGCTACAAAACACCGGGTTTTCCCTAAAATACCAGTTGGTTTAAACCATGATTTAAATCAGGGTGGTTTAAACCTGCCAACCCTGTAGCACAAAGGTTATAGACGAAACTACATATGAAAATTGCCCCCCAGGGTATCCAACCTTAGACAAAATTTTAGATCGATAAGTAGCCCCCCCTAGCCCCAAAAGCGTGTTTTTCTAAATAATTTTTTCGAGCGCAAATTTGTCAAAAAAAAATTTAAAAAATCGTCGATACTACATTCTGATATCCTAGATAACACTGATTTTTTTATAGGTATATACATACGTGCATTGTGTTAGTCAGGCTATATGATATATTACTCTACAAATACCTAGATTTGGAGAAGTCGGTGAAAATACGGTTTTTACCATTTCTGGCAATTTTCCAAACAAGATATCGATATTTCAATAACGAAACTGAAAATAACGTTAAAATGCATATAGGCAACGGGTTTCTTGACCAAACGTGTCAAAAACTGAAGAAAATCAAAGAAAAAACAGTTTTTCCTATTTTCACAATTTTCGGGGGAACAAATCAAAATTTTGATTGCGGAACCTAAACGAATAGAAGAGAACACTTACGCGCATTGAACTTTTGAGTTAACCAAGTTATGATATCCTATTCTACAAATGCCTAAAATCGGAAAAATCGGTGAAAACGCCGTTTGTACGATTTTTTGGCAATTTTCCGGGCAAGAAATCATCATTTTAATACTGGAACTCAAGAGAACATAAAAATGCATATATACAATGAGCGTCTAACACTGTAGAAAATCACTGAAAAAGTTCGCAAATAAAACTACACCAGAATTTTTTTAACGAACCTATAAGTTCCATAAATCTATGAAAAATCATGGTTACACAGGATAAAGCATTAGAGCATCGCTCAAACTTGCTGAACAAAATAGCACTCGTAAAAAGTATTTTAGAAAAAATAAACGTTTTGAGGTTAGGGGCCCTTAGGGGCGACATGATATTTGGATTGATCCAGATTTGGATATCTTTGGGAGAATTTTCATTTTGAGCGAGTGGAGCTTCCATAAATGGTTGACTCTCTGCCAATTATGTGATTCAATAATAGGCTACTACTACAGAATTTGGCTAAGGAACACGAAATATATAATTTTAGTTTTCAAAAACGTAATTTACTTTGAAACGGTGAAAACCATGTCGGTCATGATTTGACGTGATACAAATTGTAAACAAAGAAATTTAAACCGTATGTCACTGAACCTTGTCTTCTTTTTATAATCCTAAAAAGCTCGCAAAAAGTTATCGTTTTATTGAAAAGGAAAACAATCATGGATTCATAAAAGCAGAGAACACAACTTTGCCAAAAAATTAACACACTGATTATATTATAGTATCAGTATATAGAATAGTAGTATATAGTAGATAGTATTTTTTGCCTTCAACCCCGATTTCTGCTCTGGCTGAGGAACATTAAGACATATGTAAGTACAGTGTATCTGACTCAATGATAGACATAAGAAACAATAAGTAATTCACTTACATAATCTCCCTTTCCAAAACAAGAGTACAGTGCATCTGACACAATGATATACATAAAAAACAATAAGTAATGCACTTACATAATCTCCCTTTATAAAACAAGTTCATACGTCATAACATCTGAATGATGTCATCTAAAATTCGATAAAGATTCAGGATCCCTTTGAGCAAGTCTTAGCCAGGTGTTGAGCATATTCAGTTCCCTGGGCTCAAATCCACAGCTTTAGTGGAACCTTTATCGATGTGTTTTTACATTCTCGTGACTGGTAGAAGTCATGTTTATATGATTAATTACCTTCCAGCTCTTCCCATCCTATGTAGATACGTCATGGCGTCGGTCGGAATGTCAAAATTGATGACCAAATCAACATTTGCCGCATCAATCCCTCTCGCCGTCAAATCGGTAGACAATAAAATGCGACACTTGAATGACTTGAAATTGTTGACGGCTGCTAAACGCTCAGGCTGCGTCTGATGAGCGTGAATACACGTCGCCTGAAACTCGGATCTATTCAAGACGTTTGTGATGGATTGCGTCCTGCGTTGGTAGTTGAAAAACACCAGGCATTGGGTAAAGGTAACAGTTGACAGTATGCGTCTTAATTCCTCGACTTTCTCGCATATCTGGATGCACATGTCGCCGGGTTTGTCTACTATCGATACAAACTGTTTTAAACCTAAAAAACAAAATTATTATCAAACTAACTACTATATTACAATAATAATAATAATAATTCATTCACAGTATTTATACAGTTTGTGAATATACAAGTGAATAAATTGAAAAAGAAAAAACACAAAAGATTAGTGTCCTTTTTATATGAATATTTTTTATATAATCTTAAAGTTATTTTTTTCAGTATGAGTAGGTGAACTTTGTTATTTTATAATTTCTTTGATTTGATATCCAATCTTTTATTGATATTTTATGGTTGAATGTTAGTGGACCCAGGAACATAAACGAGCTTCACTAGAATATAACTATAGAACAGAATAATTGTCTGGTAAAATGAAAGCACGTGAGTATTAATTACTTTTTACTGAGGTGTCGGCCACCTCGGTAGTCTTTTTCAAAGTACAAATATTGACCATATCAATATACCCTCCCGGACTTTTTGTGAATTATGATGACTGATGAGTACCCTTTTTTGCACCGAAGCAGCCGTTTAGGCATAAGCCTAAATACCAGGACACCTAGCTGCTATGAGGAGCTTAAAGAAACTTTGTTAAAGCCATTTTTCAACTGCCTGGTAGAAGAGTCTGTTTAGTGATAAAGGAGCGGTCATATCGGCCAGTTCTGGAAGTACGAAGTTTGATACGGTCAGAATGTGAGGCCGAAGACAGACGGGTCTGTCTGGTGGGCACGATGCGGGGCAACATCATGGAAGAGCGGTCTGTGGAGCAAAGCCCGTTGATATAGCGCTAGACGAGACTTAGATCGCCGACGGCCTGTCGGTGCGAAAGGGTATCGAGGCTGTCCGTTAGAGAAGAGTCATCGACCAACTGGACAGCCCTCCCCTGAGCAGCATCAAGCATCGATAATGTAGTCGGGGAGACAGCACTCCCAACGTGTGATTAGTACTCGAGGCTAAGGCTTATCTGGACCTTGTACAGAGTGAGGGGGTTATGTGGAGTACTTAACCCTAAACAAATACCCTAGCTTTTCTCAGCAGCTGCCGCTTTTGAGAAAGATGTGTACATGTCGAATCCAGGCCTCAGCGACCTGCACCCCATCCAGGCGAATGAACAGCTCTTTGGTAGAACTTTGCCAGCCTTTGAAACCGGATGGGCGCTATGGCGCTTTTTGTTCTTATTATATATTATTATTATTTTATATATATTGTACAGTACTGTGTTTTGGAAGCATTAAACTGTACCATAATGTCGAGTCCCCAAGCACTGCTAACGACCAGGTCTCTCGTCAGAAATGAGTCGCTGCTAGTCTTCTTTTCTACATCAGCTCACCGGCAGAGATCGGTTTGTAACTCTGCATGTAGAGTGCTGTCATTAGCAAAGCAGTGGATCGGATAGATCGTAAAGAAAAGGAGGTCGTTCATTTGTAAGATGAACAATGTAGGAGCTACGACCAATTCCTGGAGTACACCAGAGTGGATCCCGTCAATTACGGCGGACATCCTGCGGCCAGAGAAGAACTCAGTCTCCCATTTGTAAAGCTTCTCTGGGAGGCCATAGGATGGACGTTTGCATAAGAGGGCAGCATGCTAGAGCTCATCGAACGCTTATGTGAAATCAAGAGCAACGACATGAGCTTCACCATAAGACGAGAGACGATGAGTTTACTCCACAGTTGCGTTACGTAAGCTGGTACCTGTCATTAATCAACTCCTGAAGCTTCTTATTTATGCACCTCTCCATCAACCTAACTCATGACAGAAATACAGACTTGTAGTTGTACAGGTCAGTCTTAGATCCTTTTTTGGGATGGGCTGAACATGAACAAATTTTCGCAATTTCTGGGAAAGTGTCGGATTCGTAAGATATCTGTGAAAGACACGAAAGAACTGAAGCAAAAAAAACAAGCACTTGATATAAATCATTGTTAAAAATTAAATGATTTAGATTAAGCAGCTCTGATATCTAGTAATAAGGAAAAGTCCTAGTAAATTCCTTATAATAAAAACAAAACTGTGAAGGTCACCCTTAAACCTCCCTATAATTTCTCAATGAATTAATGCCATCAAATGTTTTCAAGAATGTGAAAGTGTGCCCCAAAAAGCGTTTTACATACCTAACAGAAGAGGAGTCCCCAATTCTGCAGTGATAAAAGTAGGTGAAACCATATATTCTGACAGATACTTCTCTAGTGAATTGGGATATGTGGCACTAGCAGTGATAATTTGTTTTTTTGATGGCAAACTGTTGTATATCTCGTTAATATCGCTTAGAAACGAGTCTTCCATCAATTTGTCCGCCTCATCCAATATGAATAGACTTAGATATTCTGATTTTAATACCCCATTGTTTATGAGGTGCTTTATTCTACCGGGAGTTCCCACAACTATATGACAATTGTTGCATTTATCTTTGTCCTCTTGTAGGGGAGTGCCACCTATGAAACTTTCTACCTTCAATCCTGGAACAGAATAGAAGAATGTCCCTACACTCTCTGCTCTGGTACCTTTTCTATAGTGCAAAAATACTTTTATAGAAGACTGTATTTACCTTCCATACAACATCCAACTAGCTGAATTACTTCTTGTACTTGAACTGCAATCTCTCGGGTAGGACACAATATCAAAACTGTAGGGAACTTCTTATTCGTATCTATGGTTTCTAAAGCAACAGTTGTGAACACGATCGTTTTCCCTGTGCCAGATTTTGACTTCACTATGATATCTGAAACGAAAAAAAATCTGCATTCTGCTGGAAAATATTCAACAGCCCTCGTAATAACCTTGAAAATCGCTGCTTTCATATTGAAGTACAGTGCTTTGTATCGTATGTCACTTCTTCAGTTTCTATGCTTGATAACTGACAGATTTGACAGTTGTCACAATTGACAAATTCGTGACACCTGACACCATTTTTTGAAAATATTTGTGGTTAGATATGTTTTCAAGTGTTTTCTGTAAATATTTACGTTTTTGCTCATTACGGAAAAACAAAACTATCCTATAGAAATACTGAAAAAGCCATCATCTACTACATATCACTTCTGATTCCGATGTTGAAGTTGGTTTGTCTATGCTGATTTTGAGTGTAGAGTCAAGAATCTGTAGACCAGTGGTGAAAGTTTGATACAAATCTGTTAAATAAAAACAAATAATGATGACATGCTTCATTAACAGAAGAAGAAAAAGCCAATGTCTAATAATTCACGACACCTAAGCACTGTTAATTGCTTTTGAACTACATAAGCAAAAAAACAAGGTACAAAAAAATGGGTTTCCCATTTAACAGAGATCAAATCACAATGATGATCCAAGAATATAGAAAATACCCAGAACTATATGACAGATCAAATCCACAATATAGCGATACAAGCAGGAGATACGATTGTTGGATTGAGATCACCCAAAAACTGATACAAACCTGCAATATCAATCCAACAATTGAAGATGTAAAACTTAAAATCAAGACCTTAAGGACTCAACTGGCACATGAGACTGATAAAGAAAAGAAAATGCGGAGAAGAGGCAAACCATACAGATCAACTTGGTATTATTATAAATATTTGATATTTCTGGTAAAAGGGGGTTTCGTAGAGAGAAGAGGAAGTAAACATAGTCAATTTTTGAGTTCAACTGAAGACTGTACTTCAGAAAATGCAAATGAAAGGTGAGGTTGTCTTATACATCAAGTTCTTTAATAATACGCTTGAATTTTTAAGCAATAACATAGAATTCCAAGATGAAAACTCAGGTATATCCTTTTATGACCCATTGGAGATAGACCTTAAACCTGATGTCCACTCAAAAATTGAAGTACATAATGTCATGAATGATTCCTCTACCACAAGTTCATATAGGGTAAGGCAAAACCTTTTTAAGTCAGTTGTAGATTGAGAACCAAATTTGTCTGATGGTTTGAGTTCAATGTGTATAAGAGAGAAGTGTGTATAGACACATATGTTAGAGAGAGAAAGAAGGCAACTGAAAAGCTATGCTCATCAATGCGTTGCCTGGCAACGCTGACGCGACTATCTGCTGTCATTGCCAATATTTTACACAAGTTCTTTGAATAGAAATTATGTTGGGAAATATGTGTTAGTTTATTCTTTACGCCCAAATAATGGTTTTATTATGAGCATACACATTTTCTAATTAAGTCGAATCTGTTTACGATCGATTCCGGATCAGTCCTGATGGCGCCACAAATTCTGCAACATTACATCATTGATCGCCTTGGCAACACTGCATCTCATACATTCCAAGGCAACGTTTTCACCTCAATAATCATAGATGAGCGATTTTGGTCAGCACTCATTGGAGAGTGTCATCCTGCTTCGAAATGGTTTTGACCAGCATTCACACAGACAGTGATAATTTGTATTGCATAATGGTATTTGTTATATTTTGCAATGGTGAGCTAACAATAACTTAGGATATCTAGATTTTATCACCATCAGTGGAAATCAAAGATAATTTTAAAATAAATTAAAACACTAAGTCTCATCAAAATTAAAATAATTAATTATAATCAAAATGAAAACAAAGTAGTACATTATATATTCAGACAGACCTCCTCCTTGAGTTTGACAGTAACCTAAGCTATTGTAGAAGCCTGTGCGAACATTTTCAGGTGTAAGATATTAGCAACGCGACAGATTGCACGACCTTCTGCGTCACCGTCGCTAGACAATGTAGTGATAACCTTCGCTCTTCAGCTGGCTTCTATCTCTTTCTAACGTGTGTTAATACACACTTCTCACGCTCTCTTTCGTACACACAACACCAGCTGTCAGACAAATTTGATTTTCCCTGAATATGTGACATTTGTTCAAAAACAACTTCTTATTTATTTCACACCATTTCCTACATCACAAAGAATTAAATTATCACTATTTTTCAGGACAATAGATTCCAATTCCAACGAGAGCACATAGAAGTTCTTATAGAATTATACAAAAGTTACCCTGAACTGTACAACCCTCGCCACTCTAGTTACTATGACAGAGAAAGGAAGTTAAACTGCTGGGAAGACATTACTGAAAAACTCTCCACCACATTTAACATCTCTCCAAGTACTGAGGATATAAAACACAAAGTACATTCTCTAAGGACTCAATATGCACATGCTCTAAAGATGGCACTCAAAAGGGAGGGAGTGGGTAAAAAAAGGTTAGGTCCGAATGGGGAAGACAAGAAGTCATACTGGTGGTGCTTCAATTTATTGACCTTTTTGAGCCAGATTGAGAGGAAGAAAGCTTCAAGAATCAACCATTCTGATTTTAGTACCATTCTGGAGCAAAATGGAACTATGGATGAAATTGGCAGGTATAAAACTAATAAGATTTGATTTTTTCATGTAAAATACAAGTAGTTAAAAGCATTATCTTTCTGTTCAATTTCAGCCATGATATGTTATTAGAAGAATCTCAAGGTGATGATGTACTCGATATAAATGATGTTGACTGTTCCTACTCTGCAAGTTTAGAAGAAACAAGTGATGAAGACTGTGAATCAGTCAGTACTACTCAGAAGTCTCAAAGCAAAGCACAGAAGACAGATTCTCCTGAAGATGACATCACAGCTTTTGCACAGTATGAAACAAATCAAAGAAAAAACTCGTTGAAATATTGGTATATAATTTTTTTTTTAGGTATATTGAGACTGAACTGAGGAAGATCAAAGACAAAAAGAAAGTGACTAGGCTAAAACGTGACATAGTTAATATGGTGTATGACACAATAGAAGCAGACATAGATACCTTAGAAACAAATGCCCTAGAACCAAATGAAGATAATCTAGAAACAAATGGAGAAAGATCTAAATAGTATGCAATCGTGAATGATTTATGTGGCCTTGTATAAAATGAGCGAGTTGTCTATTTGTCTTAAATTTTTTATATATTACTTCAATATTGACTATGTAAATGATTTAGATTATATGCAATCAAGTAATGTATCAGTTGTTATAGAGATATTGTTTTGAATCAATAAGAATGAATAAAAACCATATTCCAAACACACCTTAGTTTTGTTCAGAAACTGATCAGCTAAATATAGTGTGCCCTGTGTGTTCAATTACAAAATTTCCTTAAAATAATAAAAAAAACTATTATCTTGATGGCCATTTATGAACATTACTTAAAATTTGGTTCATGGATCCATCTGTTTAAATATGCTCTAAAATATATATGAATACACCAAAAACTGTCATAACTAAAATGCCACAACTCTAGAAGTAGCTATGACATAATTTATTAAAAGTGAAATCAGCTATTACACTAATTTCCATAACTCGGCTAATGTTAGAGGGCTTGTGACCATATAATCTGTGCATTGGAAAAAATTTACTACAGCTTTGCAATACAGATGTACAATACTGTTACTACAAAACACTTTTTTCACTATAGCTATAGAAATCATCCTTGTTTTTATATTATCAAAGAAAAACAGTTCTTTTAGCTTACCAAAGCCGCATCGGCCTACGGGAATAGCCTTAAGTTGTATAGGGGATGGCTTCTGGAACCCATTTCTCTTGAGACCCTCAAAAATATGTTTAGGAAGCAGCAAAGAATCAAACGTAATTTCGTCATCTGTGAGAACATCTTTTGTTCTGGTTGATCCTACCAGACAATGTGCCAAGTGTCCAGACATTTTAGCGAATGCTGCACAAATCGATTAGAAAATATCTTCTGTATTGGAATAAAAAACAGTGTTTTAATTTTACCGGTCTTGAAAATGATTTTTATAAAGTGGGGTTATGAATATGAATAATGAACAGAAGATGAACTCCATCACAAAATTGACAAAGAGATTAAGCGCGCCATCTATAGAGCTCAAGTTAAGCGAAGCTAAACAACAAAAAAGATTTCTGCAATGTGCAAAAGGCGTACATTGTACCTTCAACATATAAATGTAAAAATCCAAGATTACCAAGGAATGTTAAAGGCAGCCATGGATGTAGAATACAGTTATAACAGCGGAAGAAAGTTAAACTGTATAAACAAACAAAATTCTACACGATTTAGAACTACTAAATAAATTTAAATTAGGCTTTCAGAAATAAATTAACCACAATTATAATAGAGGCTAAATGAAATTTTACAAAAATCAAGTTGACAACCTTCAAAATTCTTTGAGCAAAATGTGGCATTTCATAGAACGAATGCAACATTCTCAAAAATGCTAAGGAATACCCGCTGTTCAAAAATAAAATGGCGAACTTACAGAAAACGTAATCGAATCAGGCAAAATTTAGTAAATATTTTTCTGAAATTGGTAAGAATCTGGCAAAAGACATTTCACATAAAACACAACTTATATGTACGAAGACGATATTGCAAAATTCACTGTATCTGACCGACCGACCAATATACGAAATAGGTACCTACCTAAATCATAGAAAGTCAAGAAATCACCGGATTTTCATAATATAACCGCATACACTCTGAAACTAATAATTTACAAAATTTTTAAATTACTAGCATATCTTAACACTTGCATGGAAAGAGGAATGTTCCGGACCCAATTTATTGAAAAAGGCAATAATATAACCTGTAAGTATTTTAAGATGGAGATGAACAGAAACCTTGTACCTACCTAATTATTGCCCACAATTTTAATATTGACAAACTGTTCAAAAATATTCGAAAAAATTCTTAAAAAACGCTTTTCAGATTTTATTGCAAAATACAACCTCACATCTGAAAAACAATATGGATTCCAGGAAGCAAAGTCAACTCAAGATGCACTTATTCAGTTAACTACTAAAATTTGGTAGTAATAAGTCAACAACATGCCTTTTTGTAGAGTTGACCAAAGCATTCGATAGCATATTAAGCATAAAAAATTATTAAAAGCCTTGCAAAATTTAGAATTCATGGAGCCGCTTATCAACTCATGAAATGTCATTTGGAGGGTAGGAAACAATGTGTGAACATTAACATTAAACTACACTAAGCACTTAGTGAAAATATGACAGTTAGGTGCGGAGGTCCAGAAGGAACCGTATTAAGGCCATTGCCGTTTAATTTGTGTATTAATGACTCTTTTAAGTTAAAAAATCGATGGAGGAGTTATTGGTTTCGCAGACAATGTGGAAATTATTTACTGGGACAAAGATGGGGCTTCTTTAAAAAACAAAATTGTATTAGATTTTCTGAAGGTTACACATTTTTTCACGGAAAGGATTTTAACAGTCAACTTCAACAAAACATATTTTATTACATTTCCTTGCGACAACAGGTCTTCTCCAAATTTTAATCAACTCCCAATTAAAACGTTGAATAGCTGCAAAAACATACAATTAGTTGAGAATTTCAGACATTTTGAGGTATTCATCGATAACCATCCAGATGGAAAATGGCGTTATTGAAAATTTAAGAAAAAAGATACCTTATTCCGAAAATAAAACCTTTCAGCAATTTTTTAAATAATATAAGAATACTTACGGTACACCTGATATATCATGCCCTTGTTCAATCATTGTTACCTTATGGAATCTTAGCATATGGGGAGGGGTCATGTATAATTATTATAAAAAAATTTAAATTACCTACCAAGAAGTGGATTTTGAAGGTTATGTTGAACAAAAAGAAATGTTATCCCACAGAAAATCTTTAGAGTGAATCTCAGCTTTTCCACTGCCGGCAAATACATTTTTATCATACAATAATGTATTTAACAAAAATTGTTACATTCTATCAGCCACAACCATCAAACCAATTCCTAGACTAAATAAAACTATTAGCCAAAGATCATTCTACTTTATACGCTCAAAATTTTATAATGTTATTCCTGTGAACGTTAAACATATAAAATGCAAACAACGTTTGAAAATTGAATTAAAGTTCTGCATCCTAAATCAACCGAGGCCTGTGCCGAGGCTATAAATCCATAAGTTTGTAGACATTAAAAATCAGTATCTTATTTGATAATAAATTGATGCAAATTTGGCATATTAGCATACTCATAGAAAATTTGTTGTATTCATATAGTTCAAGTCCGGTTAAAACCCAAGCAAAATGTACACTTTTTTTTGAGTATATTATGTTTATTGAACACCTTGGACACTGTCGTTATGATTTATACAAAAGTTTGTAGTTTGTGTTAGTAGTTAGACCAATAAACATTATCATTATTATTATTGGCCTCGTTCCAACAAAGCCGTGTACCGTACAGTGAATCATAATGAGCGTGCGCAGTACGTTTTTAGTGTCACTTAAAACGTACTGCGCACGCTCATGACGGTTCACTGTACGGTACACGAGTTATTTGTTGGAACGAAGCCATTATCAGCTTGATCTGTCATCTATAGGGCTGAACTGAAGTTAGTTTCAAATTATAGATAGCTTTCTCTATTTATATAGATTCTCCAGTGCAGTTTAACTGTTGCCCGCTAGATGACAAAGCTGCAGACCTATAGTGAAGTCATTTTAGGTATTCCATAGTGCGTATTTTAACCGAATCATGTGACAGCCACTATAGATATATATAATATTGTACCGTTTCTTCAACATTGGTCTATAAACGGAAAATTCCATTTATCCAGGAATTAGTTTTCCTGGAGTTACGTTCTAAAGCGTTAAAATAGCTCAAAAATCGCGCTTTGTACTGATTAACCTATGTCGACTATGGGAAGTGTCATTTAGGCAATGTAGATTGTGTCGGAAGCAAAATAGTAGTCCATTTGTTCTAGTTACAATTCTGATTAAAAACCTCTCCAATTTTTTTAATCTTAGCTGTTGAAGTAGGTAAAATTTTGTATATAATATCTTGATGAGTTAAAACACATATCGCTATAAGCTGGCTTTACGACCTTTTTAGAGATAAATATGGAATATGGATTTTACTGATATGAGATTTTAATATTTCACCCAATACCCAATTGTTTCTCTTACTCATCGCCAGATCTATTTCATAATTACTTTTATCAAAGATTCGATTAGTAAATCGATTTTTAAAAGCTCCAGAATAAACGTTAACAAAGCTACGAAATCATTACGAAATAAAAACCCTATATCGGATGTAAATTTAGTAAAACATGCTTGCAACATTTCTTTTATATGAAAATGGACTTTTCTAAACAAAAAGGTTGTTAGCACGTACAAGGTAAATCTGTATCGTACAAAAAACAAAACAAAATACGGCTCTGTCTACCCGGCGTTGACGGATCCGTCGGAATTATGTGTCATGGGGAATTTTGAAATATTACTAGATGATCAGTAAAAATTCAGCGTTTGTCTTGTACCAGAATTACAAGTGCAGTGTGGACAACAACCACCTGAATAGAACTGGTTGCATCTTTTTAGCCGAGGCGATCATTTAGGCCCGTATCGTCAGTCGTCCCTACAATTGTAGGGCGCCTTTATGGCCTCCTTGATTGTCATAGTTTTCCACTTCTCCCTGTCAGCGCTCTATTTTGAGGTTACCTCACAAACATTTATTTGCATCAAATTGTGCTTGCTTTTGAGTTATATCATGTTTTATCAGCCTGAAATTTCCTACAATTTAAAAAGAAAACATACCTTCACAATAGGAGAGCGCTGACGCTGACACGGGACGGGTGCAATCTAGAAATTTTTGAAGGAGAGAAAGGATTATGATAATCAAGGAGGCATAAACGCGCCCTACAATTATTGTAGGGACGACTGACGATACGGGCCTAAGTCGCGCCTTTGTATTAAAAAACTGTTTCATTTTTGCGACTAGGCGATCGTGCGACCGAAAATCGCATGTGCGCGCCTGGCCTTAGAGAGACGATGTATCATCCAGACGACGTACCATCAAGGTTAATAATTCAAATCATTAACTGTCAAATCAAAATTTTTGTGTCGAAATACCCGCATAGTTCCTTCATCTTTTCGTATCCAAAATTTATTGTGTCAACTGTCCATTAGCATCAAAATTTTCTGTTCGCAACATCCGACTAGCATCATGGGCATATTCACCAGAAAGAAGCAGTACCTCCATAAAGCACTTCCGGAAGGCATCAGTAACACGTCGACCCCTGCTAGCCAAGATGGTTGTGGCTCCGTTGACGAACTATGTTCATCTACTCACTTAGTTTCGCCAACGTCTAATCAGGTAATAATATAATGATCGAAGGCTTTCTTTCGATTTTCGAAAAACGGAATTCTGGTTAATGTAACATCTAATACTTAGGGGAAAGTAGGGTATGTTGTACCGGGTTTTGAATACTCCCTCAATATTTACGGAATTCTAGATTTCTAATGCCATCTAGTTAGCCACTAGATAGCACAGAAGGTCTTAAAGACGTCCGTTTTATATTACGAGTATATATGAATGACTGAGACATTAAAAAGACGTTTTTAAGATAGCTTTAGTGCGACGTTTTACGAACATCCCGACCCGACATAAAATGAACAGCTTTAAGATGCTCTTGTATTTCTTCACAATTCAGCTTTTTAAAGAGTGAAAAATTTCAGTTGAACATATATGAGGAATCCAATTGCTGAATACCAAATTAAACATATTATCTTGTTTATCCAACCAAGATTGAAAGTGTATAGTATAATTTATTTTTAACATTGTCTAAGACCAGTATATTTTATGATGAAATTTCATTATCTTAAACTATTCAAAAGAACAAGTTGTTAAAGTTTTTGAAACATAGATCACGATGCGTCATTTAAAGGGAATACATCCCTATACCTACCCCTACAACATCTCTAGCGCTGTTATTAATGTGTCAATCCATCAAAAGTTTCAGGCTTGCCATATTGAGGGATTTTTCCGCAAATTTGAAGGATTTTAAGTCTCTTGGGGGATGTACTCGGTGATTTTTTGGGAAAAAATAAAATCGTAGGGCATATTTTTAGTAGCTCTTTCTTTTCTCATGTCTCAAGCATCGCCACAAAACATCCACGGTGACCCATCTCTAAACCTTTATGTAAATTGTAGGTTGATGATAGGATCCCCTCAGATATCAACCCCACAAAAATTTTGTTGATAATGGGCAGCAGTGAACAAAAACAAAGTACACAACATATGTACATAAAAATACGTACCTCCTTAATTAATGCGCATATCATTTCGAAAATTCGGATGGATTCTAAGCAAAGTTTATTCCAAATAAAAATAGTACGGCCCTGTTTTTTCCGAAACGCGCAATTTTTTTGAATGTTACCTTCAATTTGCTTCAGATAATTTCGTTTATGTTCTTTTCTAGAGGGCACTGTTTTCGTAAAAATTAAAATAAAACCATTAGATCATTCATGAAGAGCCGAGATACAATTAGTTTCAATATAAAATAGGGGGCCTTGATTCCAACTTGACCTTCTTGGGAGATAGTTTAGTCAAAGTTATGTTATCGTTACTACTACCATTTGTTTTGTAAAAGTCAAGTCAAACGTTTCTTTTTTCTTTGAGTGTTCTGAAATGGAATTTAGCAATGATGAGAACGCCGATATTATTTTTGTGTACGTATTCTGTAATGGAAAAGCTTTAGCGGGTTCTCGGGAGTATCAACGTAGATTTCCTAACGACGCCAACCTATCCCAAAGGTTTTTACGCGTTCATTTCTAAGAGTTCGGCAATATGAACTTGAAAAACTTCCCGGAGTTGAAGACCATGGTGTCCAGCAGACCGTCCAAGAGGAGCTGGAAGTGATTAATTTGGCGTTGAATGATCCTAGTACAAGTAGTAGGAGGATTGAAGCCCAGTTACCATGTTCCCAAAGTCTTGCGTGGAGAATTGTAAATCGGGAAGTTTTACATCCTTACCATCGGCAAAATGTGCAACGCTGCACCGGCGAGGAAGTGCAACGGCGAAGTTTTTGTGAGTGGGTTCTGCAAATGCATAATCAAAATGTAGATTTTATTGATTTGGTTTTGTGGTCAGATGAATCGCTTTTTACGAGGAGTGGAACCTTTAATTCTTATAATGAACATATTTGGTCATTAGAAAATCTCGGTTCTGTAACAATCCACTCGTGTCAACACAGATTTTCTAGAAATATATGGTGCAGCATTTTAAATGGCCAAGTGTTTATGCATCTATTGCCGGAAACTCATACTTAGCTTTTCTAGATAATTACATAGAAAATGTGTTAGATGATTCTCTTAATGAACATAGAAGCCACTCGTTTTTTCAATACAGATTTTCTAGAAATGTCTGATACGGCATTTTCAATGGCCAACTGCTTGTACACCTATTGCCACAACATAGAAAATGTGTTAGATGATGTTCCGTTAGCAACGAGAGTACGAATGTGGTATCAGCCGGACGCTGCCCCACCGCATGTCCGTCGTGACAACCGCATGGCTAAATAATCATTTTAGAAAACGATGGATTGACAGAAACGGACCCGCACATTGGCCTGCGTGATCTCCTGATTTGAACCCCCTTTATTTCTTTTTGTGGGGCGCATTTAAACAACTAGTGTATGCTAACCTAATTAATACTGTTGATCAGTTACAAGAAAGAATAGATAATGCGTTTCATCAAATTCAAGCCACAACAAATTTTGCGGAAATACGTTTTTGTCGCACTTATTGTATGTGTCAGAATGGCGGTCTTTTTGAGCATTTGTTGAAATAAAGCTTTGATTATCTAATTTGTTTTTTTTTATTTTTACGAAAACAATGCAATCTAGGAAAAAACACATAAGTAAGTAATTACTTGTAGCAAATTGAAGATACCAAAAAATTAGTTTTTTATTTTTAAACTTCAACACGCCGTATCTTTTAATGAAGCCCTCGAGGAAAAAATGTCACATAGAAACCCCCCTTAAAATATGGTCCTATGATCCTATGATGTTTCAGTGTTGGTTACGACTTGTGAATCACCCTGTATAATGCTTACCAATTCGAAAAAATTTTTCGAAAAAATCTCAACTTGAAATACTTCTCTTTCAAAGCCCGCAAATTAACGTGACACGAAGAAAAAAATAACTCCAAAGTCCTTGATCTAGTCTGTAGTTTGCCAAGATCTACCGTTGATGCTATAAGAATAGGTAATAGGAAAACGGGACCGACTAATTGTAATTTAACATATGTTTGATGTTGTTATAAAATATAACCGGTGCTTTTACTAAACACAGATGGTTCCTCTACCCGTGTCAACGAGTAGCTACATCAGCAAGCCGTGGAGTAAGACCGCTCTGGGGCCCTTATTGTCAAAGGCGACGAGCAGTGTCCGTTCCCAGTCTCTATCCAAAACGCCTTCGAAGCCTCTTAAGTATCAAGTAAGGTCGATGACTAGAGCGGACGACCGTTCCGAGATATTAGAGACTATTGTCGATAACGTCGAATATCCAGAGATTGAAGAAGGTACCAAGGATACTGATCTTGAAGAATGTTCCAAAAATGCAGATCTTGGAGGAAGCTCCACCGATGCAGATGTCGTTCCACCGTTTTATAAGACCGGTAACTGGTTTTTCTGACATCATAATATTGAGTTTTTCAATATATAAAATTACATCGCTATGCATTTTGGGTATTATTAAAGTGATTTTTCAATTTTACGTCAATCATTTTTTAATTCAAACACTGTTTAATATTATTATTCAATTGATTAAATTCAATTACTCGCTTTCGAAATACAGATTTGCTAGTTACGATACTATTACAATTTTTGTAAATGAAAATTTATACTGCCTATAGTTTTTTAGTTATGATAGTGACTGTTTAATTTTGTGAAGTATTTTAAATGTGATGGTAATAAGTGGTTTTTTACTTTGAATATGAAAATGAGAACTAAATAACATAAGTTTTTTTACATTCAATCAATGTAGTTATTCTAACAGAGACTTAATCTTAGCATATTCATTTTCATTTAATATATATATATATATATATATATATATATATATACATATATAACCTGAGACGTGGTCATTGTCGTCTAGACCAGTTAGGTGAAAAATTAAAGCTTCCGCCTTTTGTTGGGTACGTCGACAAAATTTAAGCAAGGAGGACTCTTTATACTTTTTTTATTCTCTCTAGCTTTCAATGGTCTTTGCCATCATCATCAGGAGGTGCAATTACATTGATAACAGTAGCAACAATAGTGTAAAATGAATTTAAATTAACTTACAGTAGTATGTGAGGATGTGTATATATATATACAGGGTTGAAGTTGAGTCATTAATTTTCAGATAATGATTGTAGAAGGAAGATAAACCAAAATATGTGTGTAAAAATAAAAAAAAATAAAAAAAAAAATTTACCTTGTTTTATAAAGTATCCTCCCGACAAGTATTTTAGTGCTGACCTGTATTTGATCGTGAGGTCTTGGAGCACCGGCATGCCGTCCCCTGTGAGGTCTTAAGTCACCTGATTCACGAGCCCGTTGTACTACATTAACAAAGGCATGAGGGGTTGGTTGCACTCGATTGGGAAACCGATCCGCATGAACATGTGCCATTTTTTATTTCGTTTGAGCCACGCAACAGACACCACTATTCACTCACGCGTTACCGACTGATACTGACTGTATATAACTGAATAAAATAATTGTAAAAACATCGTTCCAAATTCTTTCGCTTTTTTGTTTCCGATGCGATGAACCGATAAGGCGGATTATATCCGTTGTTGCCAAAAACGAGCACATAATATTATTATTGAGACAGGGCGATACTGAAACTTCCAAAGGGCTATAACTTTGTTACTTTAATTTTACCAGAAAAATGATAAAGGAAAAAACATTTCTTTTGATCAGATCTACTCACTGTTAAAATAAATGACTCAACTTCGAAGTCACCCTATATATATATATATAACAAAAAGTAGAAAAATAATGGGCAGAATCCGCAAAAAGGAAGTAAGTGGATTAGAGTAGAAAATAGGACAGGTAACCCGAGCTATACGTATCATCAGGCCCGAAATGAATGCACATAATGCATCTACAAAGGCAGATACACATGTTCACACGTCCGGATACGGGTGTAACTTGAGGAAGCGAAGATGGAGATGGAAAAAAGACGACACACGATCATCATTTTTTTTTGTAGATCCTTTGGGCTTGAAGTAACACAGCAAGTTGCTATAACCGGCCGCGTGGTTGTAGTTAGATGTCTCCTTGAAAATTCGAGGTCTTCTAGCCATTTTATACTACAATGCTACAATGTGTGGGTTGGCTCTTGTTATGGACTTCGTTTGTCGTTTTTTTTTCATCTCCATCTTCGTTTCCTCAGGTTACAGCCGTATCCGGATGTGTGTGCATGTGTGTCTACTTTTGTAGTTGCATACGTGCATTCATTTCGGGCCTACCTTTTTGCGGATTTTGTCCATCATTTTCCTACTTTTTGTTATATACCTTCACGAGAAAAAAAGAACAGACAAAACATTGACAATTTTAAATAAGTTCACAACGTTTCTTATCAATTTAAACGCTATGAAGCATTTTATCAAAACATCTCACATTCCTGCCGACTAGATGCCTACTAGATTTTAAATTGATGTAAAAAGAAATTTTTTTAGAAACCATCTTCGAAAAACATTTTTTTTTCGCAAAAACTATGCGACCTGTTCTTATAAGAAATAAAAATGAAGTAAATAAAAGGATCACTCAAATAAAAAATTCGTTGGGAGAGTTGCGAAGAAATCTGCTATAATTTATATAGGGGCGGTGGTAGTTTTCACCCTTCTCAAAACCTTTCAGGTTATTTGTAAAATATTAGGATATTTAGCAGAACACACGTGTTCCAAATTACATTCAAATCGGACTATCGGTTCAAAAAATATCTGAGAAAATATGTTATAAAAACAAACATTTTAAACGTTCTCTAACGGACAGACGGAGCAGTGTCGCATATACGTAAATCACGTACAATCGACTTATTTTGAGTCTAAAAATACGTGGTACTTCTATGTCCAAGAAATATTGGGACACCGTGTATATTTCATTTTATTTTTAGTAAGTACGTTGGGGTTTGTTTTTGGTGAGAACAGTATGTCAATCTTTCCCAGGCATTCAATTCATTCCTCATAAAAATAACTTGACAAACCATCAAGTTGCAGAAACTCCAAAACCCAAAGCGAGTAACAACAAACCTGTTCCGTCTACCGCACCAAAACCGCTACCATACTGTAAGCCACAGTTGAAACCATGTTGCAAAAGAATGCCTCAAAAGCCAGCTCAAAAGCACGCTAGATCAAACATACCTCCGGTACCGGTAAAATCCTCAAGATCGGTAAACTCAACGATATCCAGATCAGGTTATCCTGCGAAGTCCTCGAGATCTGGAAGCATGGCGCTTCCAGCCAGGAGTTTGAAGACGCCAAATGGTGGTAACCCAGCAGCTGTGTTTTGTTGTGGTGCCGAAGCTTTCAGCAATTGTCCACCTAGGAGGGTGGAATTCCAAGGGTACCATCGTCCAGAACTTCAGGATGTTGGAGTGTCAGCCAGTTTACGTCTCGGTAAGGATAATCGACTTTGGTATTAGATAAGTACGCACTAGCTTCTGAATTGTTACAGTTTTTCCTCTTTGCTTTCTCCTTTTCCTCATCTGCTTACCTCTGTTCATTTCTTGACGTTGTTCGGCTTCTAGGTTTACATATTTGAGATATATGAGTTGGATCGGTCATGAATTTTCAATCTTCTTAAGACCAGATTTATGACATTTAAATACTCGCTTGGTTTTATAATTTGAATATCCAAAACAGGAACTATCGTAATTTTAGGACTGACCGTTGATCATAATTTAAATTTTACTAATCATGTAGACGAATTGCTTACTCAGCAAATATTTCCTTTATAATCAGAACATTTAGTTACAACATGGAGAAAAGCACAGCCTTATGCAGTTACTTTGCCTTATTTGAAATTAGATTGCGATATAACTTTCTCTTTTGGTAAGTCTGTTTCCAAAATTTCTTATTTCACAAAAACGAACTATTAGATATACAGCTTTAAGAAACCTTATAGTTACATGCAGACCTTTAACTTTAAATCTTAAATTAATGACTGCCATGCCATTGTTGATTACCTAAATCGTTACCTGCGAAAGACTCAATAATTTATAATGGTCTGAAAATTCACATGTGCTTCCCTGATGATATCAAAAGAATAAATAATGAAGATATTTCGCCGTGAACTTAAAAACTTCCTAATTTGTTAGCCATATTTTACCATGTGTGAGTTACAAAGCATATCTATCATTTCGAACACCACTAATGTCCATTTTTCCAACATGCTTTTTCACTGAAAACTCTTGATTGAAGGGGGATACGGATTCTGCGTATACACCTAGTAATTCAATATATCGTCAATAAACACGGTGAGTCAGAAAACTTACTCGTCGGCAGGTACGGTAAAACAGTGTCAGGATCCTTGATTTGTTTTGTTTTCATATTTATTTGCTGTATCCACTAAAATATCAAATTCGTTCAAAGCGCATTTTATAGCAAAATACACGAGTTTACCTTACCGATATGAATCACAAACCATTCCGAGAGATAAATGTAATTTTTATGCGATAAATAAATGATTACGTTTTGTCCTCTAAACAAATTCAAACATTTCGTATTTGTGAGTAATTGAACAGATGCGCTACGATATGCGAAAGACATCATACACGATGTGTCTATACCCTTTTGTTGTGAAGGAAAGTTTGTTTTCAAGATCTCTTCATACTCTTATGTATACTTATTTAGAGCTGAAGTTTTTACACAGTCAGAGATAAGCCTCAAAGTTTATAAAAAAATATTTTATACTGAAATGCACTAAACTGTTTATAAAGTTAGCACGCAAACTGAAGACACAATTATGTTTCAAACTGTCTTACCCTGGTTAGTATGCAGCATGTGCTAAATAGCTACATTATGCCTGATTGCATGACTTTCTCAGATAAGTAGGCCACGAAATCCAGTTTCTTTACGAAGAAATATAGTTCTCTGGACGTTTTTCTAAAAGTATTAGTATAGTACAGTTTAGTTTTCGATATCTCGAACGATCAAAATGACTGCGAGTTCAAAATGTTAGAAAAGAAACCCAAGAAAACAAAAAACTTTTTTTTATAAACTATAAGGCTCATTTGTGACCGTTTAAAAATTTCAGCTCTGAATATGTATACGAAGAAATATTTGGAAAAAATGTCTTCGCAACAAAAGGCAATAGTCACATCCGGTTTGTTTTAAAATGTGCAATAACGAGTGTTTTTTAAATGTCGTAGCATACCTGTTCAATTACTCATACGAAATGCTTGAATTTGTTTAGAAGAAAAAACGTAACCCTTTGTTTTTCACATAAAAATAACATTTACCTTGTGCAATGGTTTGCGATTCATATAGGCAAGGTAAACTCGCGTATTTTGCTGTACAATAACCTTTAAACGAATATTGCTCAATAAACTAGTAGAGATGTCCGGAAGACATGTATTTTGGGTTAAACAATTAGAAACTCAAAATTATCGTTGCATTACCAACAAGTGCCAAAACCTGCACTTTGCCTCGTGTTTCGGTCATAACATTTTTACTATTAGTCAGATCTTCTTACTAGGGTCTCATTTTGTAAGTCTTATAAATACCTGAAAATCCTGTGTGAACAGTTTGTTCGTTCCTGTCTAGACTTTTGATTGAATCCCAAAAAAACACGTTTTCTCATTCCTTGTCAAATAAAAATTTTTCCCAGAAAAATTGGTGTACCGACCCAGTTTATGCGTTCATGTTTTAAATACTCCCCTTGAACAACTAACACCAATAAAACCAGACTTTACAATTATTTCGGGGAAATTTGCTAATATGATAAGACTATTACGGATATAACGTCAATGATTATTTTTTCCAATAAAACGATAACTTTTACGTTGATTAAAGAACACAGCGTTAGTCCACGAGTGACATATGGATACTTTATTTTGTTTACAATTTATATGACGTCACATCATGGCCGGTAGTGTATTCAGAGTTTCTTATAAAAAACTAAAAAGTATACGTCTTTAAATTGTACTTATGTATCCATCTTGAGCTTTCGAAGATATCGATATATTTCGTTTTCCTAAGCCAAATACTGCGAGAAATACTAATTTATTCTAAGAAATAAGATGTAGATACAGTACTACAGTATGGGTGACCATGGGACAAGTTAGTAGGGATGAGAATTTTATCACTCCTAATCAGTTGCATCGTTCTCAAATTTATAAAAAAATCAGCGTATGTTACTTCTACAATCTATGTGTACCTTCTCAGACAACAAAAGCTGTTTAAAACACTTTTATTAAGCAAGTCTACAAGAATCTATTATTTCCTTCATAAGCTAACTTGCAGGAAATAATCTGTCAGATTTAATTCCAAAATAATTTAAATTTAAATTTAAATAAGAATAAATAGGCTAAGATTAAGCCTATGTTAGAAGAACTGCAGTGTACAATCATTATTTGTCACCACATTTGAAACAACTTCACAAAATTAAATAGCGAATATTTTAATTACAAAACTAGAGGCAGTATAGATTTCCATTTGCAAAATTGTAATAGTAGCATGACTAACAACTCTCTATTTCAAAAGGGAGTATGTATTTGAATTTAATGAATCAAATACTGATATTAAACAGTGTTCGAATTCAAAAATTTGTGAAATTAAAAAATCTCTTTATGAATACCCAAAATGTAGGGATGTAATTTTAACAGACAAGAATGTAATATAACAGAAAATTGAATTAAAAAAATGTGTGATAGAGAATCTATACAAAAATGACATTATAGCATTGATACTAAATATATCCTCATGGATATATGTATACAGTGAAAACCAAATATCACTCAGTCGTAATGAATACGAGAGAGAAAGGAACTCGATAAGCATGCGTTATGTATGTTAGAAAGAGTGCCCTCGTACTCGGGTTGTTAGGCAACGAGGTGATTCTATCTCTTTCTTACATACGTATCGCACGCTTATCACGCTTCTCTCTCGTACACATTGCGATGTCAGCCGAATTTTAATCTCAACGTTATTCGGTATTACACTAGACTTCTATCTCTATATGCTAAATATCTACCTTTTTCTTCCAAATGACAGTCATTGGCGTGGGCGTGTGACGTGTTTTGGCTGCTCTCTTCCTTTTCGGTGCCAGAGTACAGGTTCGGTAATAAAAGACCTAGAGTAGGATTTATAGACAATTCGTGAGGCGTGAAGCTTCCTTGGAATCAATGAAACATTGACGCTTCTTGAGGAACGTTCAAGGGAGGATTTAAATTTGGATTTGACAGTAAGCTGTAGCAACTGTCATGACAAGTTGGCATCGTGTCAGGAAGATTTTTCTTTGCTGACTGTATCTACTTAGCATTTTCATGATAAGCTTGGGACGATTTGGTTTATTTGTGCTAAGCATCAATAAAAAATGCAAAATAATAATGTGTTTGCTTCCTCGAATTATAGCGCAAATACGAGAAGTAAAAAATCTGAGTATATCCAACCGTTCCACCCAATTGCAGGTTGCAGGTTGTCGAATATTCAGTCAGATTCAACTACTACAGTATTTCACAACCAAGCATATTTCAAGTTTACTACCCAAACTTTATATTATTATAAACTATAATGTGTGATAGGTAAAAAACAAGTTTATCGAAGAGAAGATGCATTTGAACGAAATACTAGACAAATTTAAAGGGATTATCAAAAATAATAACACTTGCGCCTACATTTACAAGGCATTCGTGAGGCCAATTCTTGAATTCGCTGGCCCGGTATGGGACACTGTGCTTCTGCGAGATAGAACTCTCGTCGAATCAGTACAGCGTCGGGCTACTCGTATCCCTTTTGGGGCACGAAGACCAAGCTATGAAGATCGCCTTGAATTATTCAACCTGACCTCATTCTCTGAGCGAAGACTTCGTGGCGATCTTATAGTTACATTCAGGATACTTCATGGTTTGATGGGCACCAACCTCATGCATCTATACCGCGCAGCAATCTACGCGGACACCGCTTCAAACTGCATAAGGAGCCATTTAAAACAACAGTGCGTCAGTGGTTTCTTCCCAACCGCATATTCAACACCTGGAATAGTTTACCTGAAAGTGTGGTTGGTGCTACTTCAGTTAATAGCTTCAAAGTGCAGTATAATACCTGGAGGAGTGTACAAACTTTATAGCTATGAACTGTCTTTTTTTATTTTTTTCTATTTGATGTATTTGTGTTACGTGTCCGTACACTATATTTACTGCATGAGCTTATAGTACTGTGTACTCTGCTCATCTCAATTATCATGATAATAATAATAATAGTTCCTCAGTAGTTTTGAAGAACAAATTGCAGAATCCTTCAATGAAAATGACACTTAAAATAATTAGCAAACAACTAAAAAAAATTATGAGATAATATCAAACAAAGGTAAGAAGAACTATTTTGTAACAGATGGATGAATAACCATAGTCATAGTTAATATGAATTAATTCTTATAAATCCATCTTTTCCAATTGGTAACGTTCATAGAATGGGCTGCTGGAACCAGACATTTCATGAAGGCTTGTTTGCTTTAAATAGCGAATATTTGCTATTGTGGCATGGTTAATGTGTTTTGCGTGCACCGGTTTCATTGAGTGCTCCTGAAATTTGCTCCTCAAACTTATTAAGGAGCTATCTGATCTTATTTTCAATGAACAGTTTAAATTTGTCTAGTATTGCAAGCAAATTTATCACCTCCTCTTCGCTAAACTTCCTCTTTTTAACCAATCGTCCCAATTTCATCATCAAGGTGCTAAATAGATACCTACGGCTAGCAAAGAAAAATCCTTCTGACCACCGATATTAACTGCTACAGCCTACTCTGAAATGAAAATTAAGGTCTTCCCTTGACTTTTCTCAAAAACCGTCATTGTATCACTATTTCGAAGGAGATATTGATATCTATTGTTTCCAAGGAAGCCTCACGTCTTAAGGAAGGTCTATAAATCTGAATCTTAGACGCATTATTTCGTTAGATCTTCTTCCCTTATCTTACCTGGTATCGAAAACAAGCCTGAGGTGCTCTATCAGCGTTGTTCAAAAAAATCCATCATAATAGTTCCCTAAAAACAACGAGAATCTCAGAATAAAAGTTACTATTTACTAACTATTTTCAACTAAACTGGACGTTGTCTGTTACAAACAAACAACCAACAAACAAATTCCGTGCTGATGCTGAACCGCGGGTTTATTGAAGTGGTCCTGACAGTTCTGGTTCTGCATGCGGCGCCTTACAGAATAAATTGCTTCGATTAAGAATAAATGAAATAAATCAACTAAATCTTAACCGTCTACTGTGCCGATTATTAAACATATTCAAAAAAATGGATGGCGATGAAGATGACTTTGAAACATACCCAAGTGAAGATGTAGATGTTGTGCCGGTTATAGTTATTCCAAGTGTGAATAATTCTGATGAATTTGTTTCAATCATATTATTAGCAATAGTAATATTATGTGTTTATTTTGTTCCAAGTCAGTTAATAGCTTAGTGTTATTAACATTCCACTCAATATCTTCTACTGCTACTGTAGCAGAGCATGTGTTGTTTAAAGCTAAAAAAGAATACTTTCAAAACAGACAAAAGCTCATAACTACTATTGTATTAAAATATTTCACCAAGCTATTCATCTCTTAATCAATCTGCTATCTCCATTTCGGAATAAAAAAAAAAACGTGCAGTACGTCAAAAAACAGCAAATTCTCTCAACTTACAGGACTAGCATTATTTTGAATTTTGCTTCAGTTAAGGTGGACAACAGAAAGGCTTGGAGATGAGTTGTTGAATTCCTCTCTTGTCGCAAGATATCCGTTGAAATTAAGGGATTCTCCTCCTCATCCCACAATGTCATCACGGGTGTCCACAGGGATCCGATCCACAGCTTTGCTGATGACAGAACCCTATATGCAGAAACTCAGAGTGACAAGCCGATCTCTGCCGATGAGCTGGAGAAAAGAAAACTAGCAGCGAGTTTCTCTCTGACGAGAGGCCTGTAGGTTATCAATGCTTGGGGATGCAACAGATTAATGCTTGCAAAACACACTAATATACCTTAAATAAAGAAAGGACCCTAGCGCTCATCCGGTTTTGCTGGAAAAAGCTGGGCTATTTGCTTAGTGCTAAAAAGTACTTTTCTCCCCATAACCTCCTCACGGTGTATTAAGATAAGATCTACACTCGATTACTACTCACATGTTTGGAATGCTGCCGCCCCGGCTACATTATCCATGTTCGGCGCTGTTCAGAGGAAGGCTGTGCGACTGATAGATTACTCTTTTCTAGCGGACAGTCTCGGGACCCTTTCGCACCGACAAGCCGTCGGCAATCTAGCTCCCTTCTACTGCTATGCCAACGGGCTTTGCTCCTTAGAGCTCTACTAAATTAAACCGCCGCGCGGTGTGCCTGCCAGACTGACTACATGGGGAGGCTTTTATTAGTCCTATTAACCTTAGGCAACTCAAAAATTGGAATAACAAAGTTTTTTTGAGCTCGTCATAGCAACCGCGGTGCCCTTGTATTTAGACTTCTGCCTACGTGGCTGCTATGGTATAAAAAAGAGCCATGCAGTTCTCTGTTTCAAGAGAATAGTTCGAAATTGGTTCTGAACTCTACTTAACTCGAGCTTGCGCATGAAGATTCGGAATTAATTCTGACCTAGCTTAGAACTTGCATCTTGGGACATACCTATAACCAGAAGCATAGAAACGCCAATTCGATTTCAACCTGATTTCTATTTGGGTTGACTTGTTTTTGCGTTCTCACCGAAAGAAACTGGTCAAATCTCGTTAAGAGGTTAGGGATAATATTAAAATGACGTTCTAACAGCTTCCAAGTTTCTTATTGATTCCTAGTTTCAGACCCAGGCGATCCAGTCTTAGCAGAATCAACAGCATCCCTTCATTCAGCCACAATCAAATCTCACCATAGCCAAAGATCTAACGCGGGCAAATCTGGAACGAGTCTAGCAAATGATCATGATGTAGGTGACGAATCGTATGAAGACTACGAAAACGAAGATCAACTTGAATATAAACCTTCGCCGACGTGCCAAGTGCAGTGCTGTTGTGCCAGTTGCTGTCCTCCGCCAGATACTTGCAACTTTTTTAGGATGCCTCCGTTACCGCCGTGTCAGTATGCTGCACAACAGTATAGTAAGTACTTCAAGCTTTCAAGTGCTCTAGGTGCAGTCATTCGAAAAAAGCTGATTTCTGGCAACGTCGTTGAAGTTAAGACTGTTTTAGACTACACAATTTCTTGTACAAGATTTGGTTCAATTTCTTGTTCAGGATGTATTGTGTAGTATCATAGAGCAAATTGGTTGAAAAGCTTAAATTGAACAAGAAATTATTTGGAATATGGAACATGTTACACGTAACCTCACTTGTTTGTTTTTGTTTTGGTTGTGCGCGTTGTCATCGGGTAGTGAACTTTTGACTTTCGTTAGTTAATATCAGATTTCTTTTAAAACAGGTAAGAAAATATTATCTAAGTCTCGATCTTATCATTGTAATAACTGATATTCATTTAACGATGTCTTGGTCCAGCAAGCAAGATGTTGGGATCTTATCACCAATCACAGAAAGACCTGAAAGTGGTCATTCTGAAAACCCTGACATCTTACAAAGGCCATGCACAAATGACATTCACAAGCGAGCAATACCATATGCAAGAAGTGGCAAGAAGCACACCTGAAGGAATGAGGAAAAATGAAATTCAGACGCTCAAAGATGTCGCTGCTAGCCTTGGCAACCTATCTGCAGCTCTGCAGGAAGGCGAAACTGCTGCAACGGCCACAGCAGATGATCTCATGGGTTAGTTTGTGGCAGCACAATTAAAAAAAATGATGAATGATGATATTAAGCAAGATGTTTATTCAGACAAAAATTGTTAAGAGATGCAATGAAAAAAAGACAAAATTTATGTACATTTTTATTCAATTCCTATAGCCCTATTTTGAATAGATACTTCTCCGGTAGTACTGAAATACCTGCATAATAGGTTTCTAATGTTAGCAGCTTCAGAAGCATCTCCTGTTCCTCCTTGTTGATAAAGACGATTTAAGTTACAACTTTCATTATCCATTTCTATATAATGCTTACTATGTGTTGAGAGACAACACAACATGTTTTTGTCTCAACTTTTTATGGATCTAAATTTATTGTTCCTCTGAGAATTCTAAATCTGTACTAACATTCCAAAAGCATTCTCAACAGTTCTTCTTGCTCTTGATCGACGATAGATAAAAATTCATTTTTCAATTCATAATCTACATTGATGATAAGGCTTTATAGTTCTATTAGTCAGTGGGAAGACATCAAGCACAAAGGGAAATGCCACATGATGTTGAACTCATGCTACTTTATTCCATTCTTTAGTACTACTTGGGCGCTAAAAAATGTGTAATAGTTATGTAAAAATACATGATGCTGCCATGTATGTTACCTTTATGTATGCAGATCTCAAATAATGAATAGGTTTATCCAAATATGCAATAAAATTTGAGGCATTCCGTATAAAAAATCACAACTTTGATATTGGGTCAAAATTGGAACACCCTGTATAATTGTCAATATTTTAGAAATGTGCGCTCAAATGTCATGTGTAACATGCCATAAATAGATTTTCCCAAAATGTATTTATTTATGAGTAATATTCTGTCTACACATAGATGGGCCACCCTATATATATACGAGCCCCTTCCCACTTCAGTTGGCCCAACTATTGAAATCTTAGTTTTTTTCTTATCAAACACAAATAATAAAAGTGTAGCAGGGTGTTCTGGTTTAAAATATTAACAATGAATATTTTGACTTTGAAGTCGAGTCATTAATTTTCAGATAATGATTGTAGAAGGAAGATAAACCAAAATATGTGTGTAAAAATAAAAAAAAATAAAAAAAAAATGTTACCTTGTTTTATAAAGTATCCTCCCGACAAGTATTTCAGTGCGGACCTGTATTTGATCGTGCGGTCTTGGAGCACCGGCATGCCCTCCCCTGTGAGGTCTCAAGTCACCTGATTCACGAGCCCTTTATACTACATTAACAAAGATACGAGGGGTTGGTTGCACTCGATTGGGAAACCGATCCGCATAAATCCGTGATGCCGCGGCAGCATTTTGTAAAGACTCCCCCCCGTCCGTAAATAAGAATCATGTCCACAAGTTCAGCATTTTCGTAAACATGTGCCATTTTTTATTTCATCTGAGCCACGCAACAAACACCACTATTCACTCACGCGTTACCGACTGACACATTGACTGAATACAACTGAATAAAATTGTTGTAAAAACATCGTGATAAGCGTTTCAAATTCTTTCGCTTTTTTGTTTCCGATGAACCGATAAGGCGGATTATATCCTGTGTTGCTAAACACGAGCACATAATATTATTATTGAGACAGGGCGGTACTCAAACTTCTAAAGGGCTATAACTTTGTTACTTTAATTTTACCAGAAAAATGTTAAAGGAAAAAACATTTCTTTTGATCAGGTCTACTCACCGTTAAAATAAATGACTCAACTTCGAAGTCCCCCCCCTGTATAGTAGAAAACACCAACTTTATCACTCATTAATCAAATTTGCAGCATAAAAATAACATATGCTGCAATTACAGCATATCAACCTATAATCACAGCTGTCAGAATACGTTTAAAATAGTTTTGGGTAGTTAAGGTTTTCAAAATGGGTAGAGGAAGGATATTAGTCAGAAAATTCGGTTACTGATAATTAAATTTTTTAATTCTGGGAGATCAAACTCAGAAATTGCAACTTTGTTAGACTTACCGCGGTACAGTGCGAGAAATATTGTTAGAAGATATAACGTAACTGGTTCAGTTAATATTAAGCCACGATATGTGAAAAAAGTAATATCACAAATGCCGACCGAAGAGCATTAAGAAGAATAATCGTGGAAAACAGGCGTGCCAATTATTTACAATTAAGTGCTCTGTGGAGTGGCGCTGTTGGAAGGAGAATTTCGGAAAACTTCATTTTATTGATGAAAATGTGGATACAAACAAATATTTGGCAATTTTAGAAGAATCGCATTTACCAGTGATGGAAGAATGCTTGACATCCGGCCAAGGTTTTGTGTTTCAGCAAGATGGTGCAGCGTGCCTTACCTCAAATAAGGCTGTAAAATAGGTGGAACAAAATAATGTACCACTTTTGAAACGGGTTTCTAGCAGTCCAGATCTGTCACCTACTGAAACTTTGTGGCACGAGATGAAAAAGGTTCTACGACAACATCCTGCTCGTACAATCACCGAACTGAGACAAAAGCTTCAAGAAATACGGGATTTTTTTACACCAAATTTTTGCCAAAACTTGGTTGGCCCAAAAGAATTTCAGCCGTAATAAAAAATAAATGGTAATCTTTCAATTGTTGCTTTGTTAAAACTTCGCGCATTTATTCGCACATTGTTTATTTGTTCAGATGTTCTATTAGGTATATGTCTAAGTGATTTCAAATATACTAAGTGACATATAAATCCGAACACCCAGTTTAAATGGTTTTATTTTAATAAAATTTTGTATAAGTACTTAATGAAGCATAATAAGTAAATGATAAAAATTTCAAAATCATTGCACTACTTTAAAGCCCTTTGACCTTTAGTAATGTGTGGATGCACCCTGATGTGCTACGCATTCTCCAACGCGCCTAGGCATGGTTCTGATCAGGTGGTCAATGTCCTCCTGTGGTATCTCATTCCAGGCAACCACCAACTCCTCTCGAAGTGCTTCTAGAGTCTGAGGAGGACGTTGCAAATTGAGCAATCTCCTACCCATCATATAACACACGTGATCAATTGGGGATAAGTCGGGAGATCTTGGTGGCCATGGTAACAATGTGACATCATTATGTTGAAAGAAGTCTATTGTGACTCTTGCAGCATGTGGTCGGGCATTATCTTGTTGGAAAGTTGGATCTGCCAGGGTGTCAAGATAGGGTAAAAGATGGGGTTCTAGAACTTCGTGGATATAACGCTGCGCGTTCATGTTACCTCTGATGAAGATTAAAGGTGACCTGGAACCATAAGCTATAGCACCCCAAACCATACCTCCAACAGTGTGATGAACATGTCAACAAAAAACTGTGGATTCCTCCTTTCACCACGTCGCCTTCTAACCCTGGCACGACCATCGTGTATGCCTAAACAAAATCGAGACTCGTCACTAAAGACAATACTGTTCCATTCCTGATCCCAGAGTGACCGTTGTCTGCACCACTCAAGGCGATTACGTCGGTGTTCTCGAGTTAAAGGGAGGACCCAGTGTGGCCGGTATGAAAACAAGCCAAAACTTCTCATTCGTCGGTAAACACTTTGCATGCCAATAGGTCTTCCGTGTTTTGCAAACCATTCATTTGCAATGGACCTGGTAGTGGAGAAACGGTCCCTTAAGGCCAATAATCTTAAGCGGCGATCTTCACGGTCTGATGTTCTACGGCGGCGTCCAGTGCCACTTGCTCTTTGCGTACGGCCTTCTCGAAGCCATGCCTGATAACACCTAACCACAGTGTCTACACTTCTTTGCACTCTAACTGCAATTGCCCGAAAAGAAAGTCCAGCTTTCCGAAGTCCCACTATACGGCCCCTATCAAACTCACTAAGTTGACGAAATCGTACAGGCCTCCGTACTCTAGGCATCGTAACCGATCGTAAAGGATGTCAAGAACCAAAATCCGCCAACGTTGATTCTTTACTGCGGCTGAAATATTCATTTTTAGAGCGTTAGTGAATTAAAAAAAAGCAGTACAAAAACCGGAATGTCCAACTGATAAGGCTGAAAATTTTTTCACTTGTTATTTACAGTAAGATAAATACATTCACCAACTTTTATTAAAATAAAACCATTTAAACTGGGTGTTTGGATTTATATGTCACTTAGTATATGTATTGTTTACGACTAGAGTGTATCTAAAATGTTTTTGTGAAAATAAATTGTTTTAGAAGTAAATAGTTTCGTCATGTTTAATTTATAAAGGCATATTTTGGTACAAATCTTGAAGTGGGCCAACTGAAGTGGGAAGGGGCTCGTATATATATATATATATACATGTCACTCATTTCCGTCGGTCTGTCGGTATGTCCGCTAATCTTGAGAAGTACCGCTTGGATTTTGATGAAATTTCCACACAAGGTTACTGCTATGCCAAGGGTGGAAAAGTTCTATACTTTTTGAAAATCGGTCTAGTGGTGGCGTGGGCAATGTTTTGTATGGGTTGAAACTTGGAGGGATGGAGGTTTTTTGTTATATATCGAAGCAGCCGCGCAGGCAGAAGCCTAAATGCCGGAACACCTCGGCTGCTATGATGATCCCAAAGAGATTTTATTAATACGTTTTTTGAACTACCTAAGGTTAACAGAACTGGAAAAAGCTTCGTATTGTAGATTGTTCCACAATCTCGACACCCTCGGGACAAAGGAGCGGTCGTATCGGCCGGTTCTGGATGTACGAAGTTCCACACGGTTAGGATGGGACGCCAAAGTCAGGCGGGTCTGTCTGGCAGGCACATCGCGCGACAGCATCATGGAAGAGAGCTCTGAGGAGCAAAGCCCGTTGGTGTAACGGTAGAAAAGGGCCAGATCGCCGACAGCCCGCCGGTGCGAAAGAGTATCGAGACTGTCTATTAAAGAAGAGTCATCGATCAGTCGGACCGCCCTCCTCTCGTCAGCATCGAGCATGGATAATGTAGTCGGGGCGGCAGCACCCCAAACGTCTGAGCAATACTCGAGGCTAGGCCTTATCTTAAAACAGAAAGCAGAGCTATAGGCCTATAGTTGTAAGGGTCGGTCTTAGATCCCTTTTTGAAATGGGTTGGACATGAACAAATTTCCAGTTTTCTGGAAAGGTGCCGGATTCATAAGATTTCTGGAAGAGACGCGAAAGAACTGGAGCAAGCTCCGGTGCACACCTCTTCAGTACAATGGCAGGTATCAAGTCCGGACCCGAAGCTTTGTTGATGTCGAACGACAAGAGCACTGGTCTTACGGTCTTATGCCTGAATGTTACCTCCCGCATAGTGTAGGGAACCCTTTGAATTGGCGGCACTTGAGCGTTGGGGGGGACGTCCATGGTGGAGTTGGCAGCAAAGATCTTGGCTAGCACTTCCGCCTTGGCCTTTGAGTTGAATACAATAGTTCCCTCCTGACACCTGAGTGGTGGAAGGCTACTGTGTGAGAAGTTCTTTTCAATCTGCTTGGCCAGCGTCCAGAAAGACCGACTGCCATTGCGCTGCGACATTACCCTGTGCCTAACTTTTATATCGTGCTAGTTTTTGGCATTGCGAACCGCTGCTTTACGTATATATTTGTTTCTGGACTCAACGTCGGTTGTATGGGGTAAAAGGTTGTAAATGTAACGTCTTTAGTATAAGTCAAAGTCGTTCTATAATTGAAAAGCTTCTAATCCAGGTAACAACGGGAATCGATGGCGTTGCGTGCGCGACGCGATGCTGCATCGTCGTGTGAACAATGGGTGGCACACTCCAATTGGTCTGCGATGGTATCATTACTGACACACCGCAACAGGCGCAATGTTTATATAATTTAGCAATATTTGGATATTAGGAGTACGAACCACTTTAGCTTTATGCTTTTGTAAATGATATATAAACTTCGTCCAAATAAAAAGACCGTTATTATTATTATTTGTTACATACAAATATTTTTCTAAATTGTATGATCCTTAAGTGTTCAACCCATTTCGGCTAACTTTTAATTTGAGTTTCTCCGTCTATTATGGTTCTCTGAATATTTCGTCAAGTAGATTTACTGAGTTCTTATGACGCATTGATGTACAACAAACACGGACTGACAAACCGATATAAATGAGAAACACTGACGTGATGTAGATATCTTTGAGCAACAGAAAACTTGTTAGTCAAAGTTCGAATATTATTGCGAGTTTAATACTTTCTCGTTTAGGTAGTTGTAGATTTTGAAAACTGATTCAGAGGCGGCGGAATTAAAATTGCTGGAACATAGTAATACAACGTTTCATAGGTTCCTGCTCATTTTTAGATATTGTATGAAGGGGATGAAAATTGTAGGTTGGAAGCTGTATGCGGTAAGTGGTTGTAAATTGTTGCATATTTGGTATCAGTGAAAAACCTCGTATTATTAAGAAGCTGATCCCAGCGTTACTATGCACCTTTTAGACGTAATAAGTCACACATATTTTTCCTATATTTGCCATGGAAACAAAAATACGATCCCTAAGTGAACCCACCTAATCAAGATTAGAAACGATTTGAGAAACCCCCAACGAAGGCGTGTATATAGAGTCAATATATTTGACGCCATTTTTTATAAACAATGACTATTCAACGATCAACGAGGGGCAAATAGCCGAGGTGTATGACGGCCATCTGTCTCAGCAAAGTTTATGGAATAAATCGTAGTTTAGTCGCACCAAAATGTTCTTGGTACTAAACGTATCGAAACTTGCCCAAAAACTGCCGTCTTTGCAATCGCGTTCTTCGACCTGGTTTGACGAGTTGGTGCTCTAACCTGTATTTATTCTGTAAACTTTGTGTTTCAGGGCCCTGCTGCGGATGTTGCGGCGATTCAGGGCCAGGGATGACGACGCCGGAATGTCTATGTCGCTGTCAATGTCGCAGACCGTGTGAGGTTGAACCTAAGTGTCCATATCCGCGTCAATGTCGCAGACCGTATGAGGTTGAACTTGAGTATCCATGTCCCTGTAGATGTCGAAGGTTGTGTGAATGTGAGATATGATATCCGCGGTCATGTAGTGGCAGTGAGGGTAATAGGTGTTGTAGACCGAAATCGAGAGAGCTTAGAGGAGGCATACTCACCACGGGCTGTTTCTGCAATAGAAAAAATGGTTTGCAGGATGACTGCCCTAGAACTGGTTAGTTTTGTTTTGTCTTCCAATTCTGTAGTGATATACAGGTATCTCAATACCTTGTAATTGTAAAGTCATTATTCGCGACTTCATTGCCCCTGAAATGAGCAAGTCCAACAGTTTTTCATGAATGCAGTCATTAAGTTAAATAGCAGAAAATATAGAGGTGCTGATATTATTTATACGAAGTTATAACGTACAATCATCGACCCGAGTACTAGCTCCAGAGGTATCTCGAGTTGAATTCATTATAATTCAATTATCCAACTGCTGGTTGCCATACTCTTCTTTGGAATCATACAGGACCACATTTACAGTTGGCCCTTTTGAGGGCCCGATGCCGCTTGAGTGCTCCTAAAGTGAATGCATTTGCATTTCGCAGTAGGCTATAATAACAGTTCTCATCACGCGTTTACAGATTTTTCAAAATGTTTAGAACCTTCAAAAGAGTTATGAAAATTATAAAAGTTTTGAAATGTATGAAATTTTTGAGATTTTTGAGATTACAAAAATTTTTGAAATTTCTGAGATTCTTGAAATTTTTGAATGCTGAGTTTTTAAAGAATTTCTGAATGAAATTATTGAAATTTTGAAAATAAGAAAGTAATGAGAAATTTTACGATATTTGAAACTTCTGAACTTTTTGAAACTTGAAGTTGTTGAGATTACAGAAATCATTGAAATTTTAAAATTTTCGACACTTGAACTTTTTGAGTTTTGAAATTTATTTTTTTATTCTTTGATATTTTTTAAATCTTTGACATATTTGGAATCTTAGATATGTTTGAAGTATTTGAAGTTTCTGAAATTCTTGAAAGTTTTGAAATATTTAAAATTTTAAAATATTTGAAACTGACTGAATTTTTGACATTGAAATTTTGACATTTTAAAATGTTTTAGTTTTGAAATTTTCGAAGTGGTTCAAGTAGGTATTTGACATTTTTGAAATTTTTGCAGCTCTTGGACCTTGAAAATTGTTAAATATTTGAAATATTGAAAATTTTTAAATTCCTGATATCTGTGAAATTTTGAGATTTGAAATTTCTGGAATTATCCAAATTTTGGAAGTGCTTGGAGTTCTTGAAATTTCTGAAATTTTTGAAAATTCAAAAGTTTTTTAATTACTTGAAATCTATGAAATTTTTGATATTCATGGTAATTTTGAAATTTATGAGCTCAGAAATTATTGAAATTTTAGAATGTATTCGAGATGTTGTAAATTTTTAAAAACTTACGAATTATCTTGAAAATCTTGAAAATTTTGCTAATTTCGAATTTTTTGTTAATTTGAAAAACTCAAAAATTTTGAAGTTAGATAATTTTGAAAATTTGAGAATATGAGAGAAATTGAGAAATTTTGAAGTTGGAAAATTTTAAAATTTGAAAAAAATTTTAGAATATTGAAATTTGTGATACTTTTAAAAATTTCTAAAATCCTGAGAATTTTTAGGCAGCAGCGGTGGCCGCAGTAGTAGACTCTTCGGTCTCCTGATCAGTCGCCGTGCGCTGGGCGGGTTCGAATCCCGTTCCAAGAGTAAATTTTTCTCTTGGCTATGGATGTTGTGATTGTCCGTAGATAGTAGACGGTCTCTGACTGTCGAACGCGGAGGTACCACCCGGCGGATCTCGTAGGCGGAGCCAGAATGTGTGCATGTTGCATGCCCACGTGTTCCTTCGCCAGAGTCCGTGTGGCGTTCCCCCTTTCCGCTGTATCCCCCTATAGCCCCACGGTACCCAATGGGTGTTTAGGCCTTAGGTCTTCGTGGTAGTTGGAGTATAAAAAAAAATAAGAAAATGTTGGAAATTTATAAAATTTTAAAGATCCTGAGACATTGAAAATCTTGAGAGTATTGAAAACTTTGAAAATCCAAGTATAAGTGAAAATGTTGAATCTTGGCTTGATGGTAAAGTTTAGGGGCTGATCCAACCCTCAATCAGCCTAAAGCCCTCAAGGATTGACATCAAGGTGAGCCTCATTTTTCTGTTTCAGGCTGTCAAGGGGCGCCACCATGCATGACGCAACCGAATCCAACCTGTAAAAACCAGCAATTTTCCCAAGGGAAGCATCTGGAAGAAAAATGGGAAAAGAAGGAGAAAACTGAAACTAAAGTGTGTTATTGCACAACCTATCAATCTGCTTATGGAACGAAGGCTAGATGCGGACCTTGTTGCACTGTCCAGGTAATGTCAGCTCAAGAAAAAATGTATTAAACAGCATTGTTTAACGTATTATGTTTCTAGAAAGTAGTTGAGAGACAATATTTTCAGTCTCTTCACAACTACCAGTTAATAGTGGAGTCCCACAGTGCTCAATTTTTGGCCCAATTCCTTTCCTGATATATATTAACGTACCCAACTGTAGTCCAATGATCAACCTTATATTATATGCTGATGACACAACTATGACTAACAGCCATACAATAACTGAAGCCCTCTCAGGTAAAAGCATGACAAATAAATTGAAAACCTGGTTTACATCAAATAAACTAACTCTAAATGATAATAATGGTTATCAGTTTGCGAAAACAGAACATTGCATCACATGAATCTGCTAAATTTCTAGGAGTATATGTTGATGCACATAAGGCCTGGAAGACTCATGTATTACATGTAATGAAGGCTTTTTCAAGGTATACAAGGTGATTCACAAGTCGTGACCAAAAATGAAACATCATACACTGGACCGCATTTTAAGGAGGGTCTTCATCTATTTTTTTCCTAGAGGGCTTCATTAAACGGATACGAGGTGTTGAAGTTTAAAAAGAAACGACAATTTTTCTTAATATATTCAAAACCGTCAACTGGAATAAATTAAAATTTTGTATGTGGATTTACCTAAGTATTGTCCACATTCAGGAGTCTTTACTTAAAATTAACGTGCACCAGTGGCGAGGATACAGGGGATCACTTGCGTTATTTTTCCAAATGAAAATAGTAAGTCACTATTTTTTTTTCGAAATGCGCAATTTTTCGAATTTTACCTTCAGTTTGCTACAAATGGTTACCCTTTTCCTTTTTCTTAGAGTGCATTGTTGTCGTAATAAATAAATAAATAAAACTAGATAATCCAAGCTTTATTTAAATAAATTTTCGAAAAGACCACCATTCTGACGGATACAAGTGCGGCATCTTTTTAATAAAAAAAACGTATTTCCGCAAATTTTGTTGTGGTCTGTATTTGATGAAACGCATTATCTATTCTTTTTTGTAACCGATCAATAGTAGTAATTTGTTCAGTACGCTCTAGTTATTTAAAAGCGCCCCACAAAAAGAAGTCCAGGGGGTTCAAATCAGGAGACCTCGCAGGACAATGTACGGGTCCGTTTCTGCCAATCCATCGTTGTCTAAAATAATTATTCAAACATGCGGCTATGTCACGACGAGCATGCGGTGGGGCACCATCGTGCTTATACTACATTCATACTCTCGTTGCTAATGGAACATCATCTAACACATTTTCTATGCAATTCTCTAGAAGAGCCAAGTATGAGTTTGCATTCAAATGTTGTGGCAATATTTGTACAAGCAGTTGGCCATTGAAAATGCCCCACCAGACATTTCTAGAAAATCTGTATTGAAAAAACGAGTGGCTTCTATGTTCATTAAGACAATTAAAGGTTCCGCTCCTCCTAAAATGCGATTCATGTGACTACAATACCAAATCGATTAAATCTGCATTTTGATTATGCGTTTGTAGTAACCACTCACAAAAATTTCGCCGTTGCACTTCGTTTCGGGTTGGAGACATTACAAATTTTACCGAAGGTAAGAATGTAAAATTTCCCGATTTAGAATTATCCACGCAAGACTTTAGCAACATGGTAACTGGGCTGCGATTCGCCTAGTACAACGCCAAATTAATCACTTCCAGTTCCACTTGAACAGTATGCCGGATACAATGGCCTCTAACTCCGGAAAGTTTGGCAATTCCATATTACCGAAGTCTTCGAAATGAACGCGTAAAAACCTTTGGGGTACGTTGGCGTCTATTAGGAAATCTACGTTGATACTGCCGAGAAGCCGCTAAAGCATTCCCAAGAAACGTCAAGATGGTATCAAGGCCTCCTATTTTATTTTGAAACTAATTGTATTTCGGCTCTTCATGAATGATCTAATCTGCTTTATTTTTGTTTTTACGAAACCAGTGCAATCTAAGGAAAAAAACACAAGATTAATTATTTGTAGTCAATTGAAGGTAAAATTCGAAAAATTGCGCATTTCGAAAAAAAAAACTGTAGCGTACTACTTTTATTTGGAAAAATAATGACATTAAGCCCCTGCATCTCCTTCACTGGTGCACGTTAATTTTAAGTAAAGACTTAGGTAAATCCAAATACCAAATTTTAGTTCATTTCAGTTGACGGAGATTCTAAGAAAATTGTTTTTTAATGAAGCCCACAATGATAAAATGTTACACAAAAAGTGCGGTCCTGTGTAAGATGTTTTATTTTTGTAAACGATTTGTGAATCACCCTGTATACATGTGTTGAGAAAGTTAAAAAAACTATTTCCACTAATGTCTTTCTGACATCGTAATACGGGCTTTTCCATTCTAAGGTGTCCTACGCACTCTTCAGCTGGGGTCATTCAGCACCTACGCAAAAAGTTGTTGCAATGCAGAGGCGTTTTGTTAGATGTATTTGTAGCTTAGGATTTAGGGATCCATCTAGAGATGCTTTTATCCGTCTGAAAATAGTAACCCTACCGTCGTTGTACATGCTAACTTCCATATCGTTTATCCATAGAATTCGTTATTTACACAAGGTGAATTTACTCAAACAATGTCCCATATGAATAAAAGTGAGCATATGCTTATACTTGCGAAATTAAAAGTAAATGCTTCAAGGGATATGAATAAAATTATAAGTAAATGCTTTTGCTTATAAGTAAGAAGCAAGTGCTCATGATATTGAAGGATTTGCTTCAAACGTATGAATAAAGCCAACCTTTTGCTCAAAAGTGCGAGTATTTACTTATGGAAAACTGATGCTGCTATTCAGTAGCATCGGAGCTGCTAGTGGTTCCGTACGTTTTTTGCACGGTTGTTTGGTTAAAAGTAAAAATGGCTGAAATGATGAATCTTCGAAATATGAAATACTACAAACCACGGCGTACACCGCGAACTAGTGATTTTAAAAGTATGTTCCGGTTTGAAGAGGAAAATGTGAAGTGGTTAGCCCAGAACTTTCTAGGCGAGAGTGTAGAAAGGCGTGGTGGTGCATTATCAGCTTTACACAGAATGAAAGTATGTTTAAGGTGTTTGGCAAATCCAGGTTTCCAAAGCGGAATTGGCGAAGAGCTAGGCATTGAGCAATCCACTGTTTCTCGCACTGTGAGAGATGTGGTAAAAAAAATAACTCTACAGGCTAATCGTTGGATTCAGTTTCCTAAAAGTCACCATCATATAATGAAAGCCAAAGAACTCTGGGCAAGCTGGTTTAGATTTCCGACTGCTATTGGGGCACTAGAGTGCTCACATGTGAAAATAGAGAAACCCAACTTACATGGGGAAGAATACATAAACCGCAAAGGAGAAGTAACTTTGAACGTACAAGCTACACCAGCGTGGATGTGAGCTGGCCGGGTTCGGTACATGACAGTCGAACCTGGAAAAATTCCGACGTGAGAGAAGTAATTCGACGTACACAGAACACCGTTCTCATTGCTGATCAGGGATACGGAATTGAACCTTGGCTTATGACTCCTTATCGAGAACCTGTCAACATAGACGTGAAGAAGGCATACAATAAACTATTGTCAAAGGAAAGGGTAGTAATCGAGCAGTGTTTTGGACAGATAAAACGGCGCTTTCCGATACTGAAATATTGTTGTCGCGTGAAATTGACTAATGTTCCAGATATAATTGTAGCTTGTATCATTTTACACAACATTGCTAAGGCCTTGCAGGATCCAGATTTTGAGGGTAGTGATGAAGATGAAGACGGCGCCGGCGATGTTGTTAGTGGGCATGAGGAAGAGAATGACGACTTACGTGTCCGCGGTCAGGAATTGCGTGAAGTTTTAGCGAATATAATTCAAAATTATAACGCACCGTGATAAGTGATCTACTCGTATGTGTTTGTAATAAATTTGTATTGATCTTAAACTTGGAATAAAAATACATTGCAGAGTAATATAGTTTCTGTGATCCTCGAACCTACATATACATTACTAAAATCAACCATATGTCCCAGAAAAAAAAACAGAGAAAGCATCCTTTATGACTGCTGTAAAAATTTTCCGCCCCTTCTCAGAACCCAGCCATCATAGGTTCGCATACGTATTTCCGTTTTCGTGTACCATTTGCACGGCTTCCCTTTGCAATTTTCTCTCATAATACTCTCTTTGGACTCGGGCAGTCTGTAGCTGTTCTAGCAAAACTAACCGTTGCAGCTCTACGTTGGACAACTTTTCAGTTTCCTGTGTCTCGCCTGGTAGTGCAGTTGCTGCTCGCTGTCGACGTGGAGGCAGTGGCAGAGGAGTAGCAGTCATAGCTCTTTTTTCGGATTGATCCAAATTAGAAGAGGATGTATTGGGAGAGGACGTGCCATATGATCTTGCTCCTGCCATGAAAGAAAAAATTGATAAAGTAGACCTGACGACAACCATTGGCAGATCCAGGAGTGCTGGGGCACGGGGGGCTTGAACCCACTATCTTATAATAAAGAACAAACAAGCAGCACTAAAATGCACGCTGAAGTTCCATTTTAACATGTATCACAAATCACTTTGTATATAAAATACTTTCTTACAACAGAAATTTGTTAACCGGATAAAAATATTTTGATTCGGTTTCAACAAAAGACAATTTCTTTTTTTATTTAAATGAATCCGTAGCACTGATCTCTTTGAAGTTTGCCGTAGTCAAGACACTCAAAATACTAATATGTTCGTAAAAGTTACGAATCCCCCTTCCCCATTGAACAAAGCTGAATACGCCCTTGCACCATAATATATTTATTATTATCCACTCTTGTTCTTACCTGCTATTTTCGCCACACTTGGATTTGAGTCTCCATCCATGGCGTCGTACAAGGTTTTTTCCCATGGAAGAAGTTTAACAGGCTTGTTACCGGTTTTTCTTACATCGGTCTTCTTCTTTAAGCGTGCCTTCATATTATTGACTTTTTTCATCAGTTGTACGGTTATGGACTGCTCCATAACACTTTCATATAATTCTAATATTTTTCTTACCGCATCCTCTTTCTTTTTCTTAGATGCAGGCGTCTGTGATTTACTAAGGATCTCTGGATATTTGCTGACCTGATTTGCTATAAAGTCCAGCGCCTGCACCTTACTATCATTTTCACATGCAGCTTCATCTTCAGATGACGACATTTTTTACACTGGATAACCGTATGTGTCCAGCACGTCGCTACAACTGCGTAAACTGCAGGTCTAAACACGCAAAATTTCTAGCCCCCAATATTTTAGACATGATCATTTACTCGTTTTCATGAAGCATTTGCTTGCAAGTATAAGGTAATCATTGAGAGGTATGAATAAAATCGAAGAAGATGCTTATACTACAATTTTAAGAATCTACTTCAAAGTAAATACTTCGCCATGAAATATCCAATCAGTTCCGGTAGTATTTGCTTTACGTCGAAGTACTTACTATCGTGCCTGTAGTATCTACTTTTATTCCGAAGTAAATGCTTTAAATTGAGTAGCATCTTCTCATTTCCACAAGTTTCGACAGGTCACACTTGTTGTTTTATTTTATTTGAAATATTCACATACTTGGTATTGTACGGCACGCGCGTTAAAATGTCTTCCGACGAGGAAATGCCAAATCAAGAAGAGTCCCAAAATGAAGATTTGCAGTTAGCCTCTGTTACGATGTTAGAAGACTACAAAATTATTCTGGATAAAAAAATGACACCTCCCGTTAAGTCTGCCAAAGACAAAGCACTTAAAGAATTCACAGAGACGTATAAAAGAAATACAAAACAAAATTTAGATGCAAAACAGGTATTAAAAAAAGTAAATAATGTGAAAAGTAAAATTAAAAATATTACCGATATGAAGAAAACAGGAAATAGGAAAATTAAGTTAAATGAGTGGCAAAAAAAATTTTTCAACCTATGGAATGGGAGTGAGAATCCAGTAATTCAACAAGTGCCAGGTACTGTATTATTTGATATTATATATTTTTTCTTCAAACGTCAGTAAATCATTTATTGCTTGACTTGTATGCGGCCACCAAGTTTTATTTTTCATCAGCCGGAGCTTCACTTTTTACTTTTCCGCGATTAATTTCTTGACATTTGAAGAAAAACAGCATATTTTACTTGGAGGAAAAGTTAATTTTCATGGCTGTCTAATTCAGGCTCGTCATAAAATCACTTTTCCTCCATATAAAATCATAATACTATTGTGGTGCAAAATTTTTAATTTAATAATGTTTTAGGAGGTGTAACTGCGGGCACCAGTCAAGACGTTGATATATCATTGACCGATGAAGAGAATCAAATACCTTTTTGTGATGATAAAGAATTAATGGCTAAATTACGAAAGAAATTAGTACTTCAACAAATCAACACTGCCGCAGCTATAATCACACGTTCTCTTGCATGTATTCTGTTAAAATACTTTTGAATGTTTGTTATGGGATCTTTGAAAGGTGTAAGCATCCAAGGAGTTACACCATATCCAGAATCACCCAAAAGACAAACTCTTTTTTGATTATTATACATAATAGGGTAAATAGGACTATTGTACCATATTCTAGAATCATGAACAGACCCAGGCCAGGAAGCATTAACACTGGTAAACATTTCTCTGCTATTACATGTTGCTTGTACATTTATTGTAGAAACTCCTTTTCTGTTAATATATTCATCGCCATGTACATATGGTTTTATAATTTTCACGTGAGTGCAGTCAATGGCGCCAATGACATGAGGTATTGTATTATGTGCTGCCCATTCATCTTTAGCTCTGTTGAACATAGCTCCCGTAGCAGGGAATTTAACCCACTGATTTTTCTTGCTACATATTTCACGTGATACCTTATCAATAATTTTTGAAACGGTTGTTTGATGAATCCCAACATCAAGTCCAACGCCTGAAATCCAGGGTCTCCTGAAATAAAGATATAAAAATTAGATTATTTATCCTATTTCATTTATTGAAACATACCTAAGCTTCTTAAAAATACTTCCATTTGTTGGATGTGTGTAAGAGCACCGCCTCGAGTTTCATTTACTTCTGGGAGAAATATATTCGCTAGGTAAGATACGTTTTCTCTACTCTACTAATAAACAATTTTAAAAGTAATTAAAAACAATAATAATATTATTGTTAAATTACCGAAATATTTTATGATATAAAATATCATTATGATAGCGGCGTCTTGCATTATATATTTTTCTGCTGCGTATTCCTTCCATTTTCAGAGAAAACTAAACAAAACTAACCGTAGTATTCTCTCAGAAGTTGCACTTATACCAACTTCGCAAAAGTCAAGCATATACTAAATTCCTCTTCAAATTAGTAGCATCTACTACAAGAAGTAGGTACTTTCAGTAAATACTACTTGATATAGTAAGTTCCGGTAAAACAAAAAGTATCTACTTGAAAATGTAGCTTCTTCTCAGATTTGAAGTACATACTTTGTAGAAAATGCTAATACTTGTAGTATTAGAAGGTACTTCATTTTTATTCATACCACCCATTATTCATATTAAATGAAGCAAATGCTTTTACTTCTACCTTTTGCTCTGAGCATTTGCTTTTCCTTCTACCTTATGCTTATGAGCATTTACTTAATTTTTATTCATATATGGCCCAGTCTACTCACAACTAGAAACGGTATCAGTTACCACGGAATTCGCTCCTATAATGCAACTCCAGGGAAGGTCGCTCTTTAGTGTGCCTTTCAAAGTAAATATATATTGCTTCATGATCATGATCATGCTTACTCCAACTTTGGTCAGTTCTTCAACAGCGACTTTACAGAACTCCAGCAGACCTAATTCGTTTTCGCGCCTTTTCAATCTTTCGTGGCTGTAAACGTCTTGATCTTGTATATATTTTTTCATGTTTATTGATGCTTTTTTATTTTATTGCTGATAAATGTCACCATTTTCCTTTTTTGACTTCCGCAAAGACGCACTGCACTGTGTATTTATCCGTAAATAAAGAATTGATTTGAAATGAGTTTAATCTGTAGTGTACCAGTGCGATAACCTTTGTTGTTTAATTGTTATCTAAGAGCGCGCTGGGTTTATATTCTGACCAGGACTATCCTAGGAAAAATAAATAGAAACCTAGGTATCTGGAAGCGTTTGACATTTTTGGTTATTCGGACAGGTAACCAAGATCAAGGAACTTACCACCAAAAGCAGCGAGATTCGGAGACACAGTACTAGCAACACATCAAAGCCCAGCTTCTCTTCGAGTATCAGCTGCCATTCAACAGCTTCAGCTAGCCCGCAACAGCTACAACAGCAAAGGTGTCACATCGGCGACCATAGCGACCATTGTCCCAGCGGATGCATGGATTGGTGCAATTGCGGGAGTAGGATTGACAGACAAGTGACTTGTCATACGCCGCCTAGGATCGTGCCTAACATACCTCAATTGTCATCTGGTTTTGCGATACCGTGTGTTAATCCGTTGATCGGTATTCCGTGTCATACGAATAATTGTAACGCGGAAACGGGTTGTGAGACAAATGGAAATGGTTAGAGAATGTTTTTTTGAGGCTACAACTTAATGATTTTCTGAAAGTAGTATTTATACGGTTTAAAGAGGAGATCGATGAGAATGGAACCGATGCAAACAAGCATAGTCTGCAAAAATCAAAAGTTCGTCGCTTGTTAGCCTGCCAAGTAAGTATCAAAATTGCTTCAAGATCAACTAAGTATAAAATACTCTTCAGCGTCTTGTAGGGTAAGGTTCGAGCATTAACATAGACACTCGGTGACCTCAAACATAATGATATTTTCAAACCTATTATCGTTGCTATTTTTAGAGATCGTCGATACCATTGAATGATAAAGTGCTTGTTCATGTATTTTGAAAACTTTGAGAATTTTTAAAATATTGAAAATTCTGAATATTTTGGAAATTATTAAGATTCTGAAACTTTTGGAAATTATGAAAAATCTGATAATTTTGAAAGTTTCAAAAATGTTGAAAATTTTTATGACAAATTAGAATGAAAGCTACTTATTTTTCTGTGATATGCAGCCATAGCTAATATAAGGGTACAAGCTGTTCCAAAAACTAATATTAGGTTGGGTATGGGTAAAAAGGCATGCAGCCTGTATGGAAATTACCTTCAATCTGATTCAGATATTTGAAATTATAGGTACCAAAAGCATTAGCGACTCCCAAGCTGGGATTCGTTACTTTCATTTCTTATTAACCCTACTTTGCAATTACAATACCAGAAAGAATATTGCGACGTATGAATTCTAATATGTTGCCTATAATTACAAAATTGTACGACCGGAACCTATTTATATACTTGATTTTTCCGGCTTCTTTTTGGTTATCCTGCATGTAGCCACATTCAGACACCTGAACGTCAATTACCTTTGCTACTGGTAAAAACCTACATATATTAAAAATATTAATTGAAGGCCTTCTGTGCATAGGTCATCCTGAATGTGACTTTTCGTAATCTTGAAGTTGTCGAAATAAAATTAATGAATTCACCAATGCTCCATTACAAACACTGTAATTATGTCACTTCGCCAACACGTTAAGCAACAATCAGATTAAAATATCTACATCATTTTCAACGATGTGTACCATATTTTGTGAATAAATGTTATTTAGCTGTCTTATGAGTATTATATCTGCTATTTTTATTTTGAGTAACCTATTTGTACCTGTGAAACCGATCCTTTTTTGGGATGGGAGTGAATTAGTGAGAGGTGAAGTCAGTGCGTTTTTTATACCAAAACAGCTGCGTAGACAGAAGCCTAAATACCGTGGAACTGCAGCTGACATAGGGAGCTTAAAGACACTTTGTTTACACGATTTTTGAACAACCTGAGGTTAGTAGAACTGGGAAAAGCCTCATCTAGCAGATTGTTGCACAATCTCGAAACCGTATAGACAAAGGAGCGATCGTATCCGCCAGTTCTGGATGTCAGATCGCCGACGGTCCAGAGGTTGTTCCCGAGTCATCGATCAGGTGGTCAGCCCTCCTCTGAACAGCATCGAGAATGGATAATGTAGTATGGAAAGGAGGTTGTTGATATGTAATAGAAACAATGTCGGTGCCGATCGATCCCTGGGGAACACCCGCGCTAATATTGTGGGAGATTTTTGCCTTCGAGAAAAGCGTTTAGTTTAAAATAGGTGGAACACACCTTTCTGCTTTGTGTTAAAGCAGGCACAAAATATGAGCTCAAAAATCGAGATACCGGCATGGTTATTACGTAACAAACATGTAAAATGTCAAAAAAGTCGGAAAAATGTCAGTGTGCATTAGATAGCCCTAGTTCATTTTGCGCCTACTATAAGTCAGCATGTCAGCAGCTAGTTAAAACGTGACATTTTATAGGAAAACCTTCGTAATATCAAAAAACTACATAATGTCATAAAAAACGATATAGTATCACAAGTTACGTAATCCGGACGTAGATCTGGTGTGCAGCATTTGAATCCAATTTTTGAGTATGATTAGGAAAATTTAAATCCATCAATTTAAAACAGTTCCGAGAATCAGGCTTTGTCTCCCAAATTTTGTCTTTTACTTTCCATGTCTACTGTCGAAACATTTCGAATATGAGATATTATGTTTTTTGGATGTTATATGACACAAAAAATAAAATCGCTCTTACCTTGTTTTTTGGCATTTCAGGTGGAAGACGGTCTTTGACTGTCGAACGCAGATGTACCACCCCACCACTTGCCCCTGTATCTCCCTATAGCCCCACGGCACCCCATGGGTGCTTAGGCCTTATAGGCCTTCGCGGTAGTTGGAGTATAAAAAAATACTTCCAACCCTGATAATTCTACACGCTTATTAGATATATATCACTCATCATAGATTGTCCCGTACATTTGCCCTTCATAATATTTTCGGGAAGAGTCCCTGCATCTACTGACTTCAACGACCGCGGTCGACGTGTCGTTGTGCGTATGTGTTCTGCAAGACTGGTGCTCTGTAAGCACTCTGGACTCTGCCGCGTGTGACGCATCATTCTTTCAGATACTGTGGAGAGTTGACGCCACTTCGCTATATGTATGGTACTACGTAGGGCATGGAAAGGATGTTATGGACTAATTGCACGGACCTCTTTGAAAGACCTGGGGCCTGATTCTGAATGAGTTTCGACCGTTGAAATTAATTTCGATGGAGCTATGATAATTCTGATTCCGTCGTAGAAGATCAATATAATCAGATGTCAAAATTATCATCGCAAATCAAGTATATCGTCACGAGGCGCCATCGAAATCAGCTTCAACGGTCGAAAATCATTTAGAATCAGGACCCAGATCTGTTAGATTCTGTTATACATCTTCGTAACTAACCTTGTCTTAGAGGTTCTAACTTAAACGTGCTGCTTTCGTTTGTCCAACCATATATAGCCAACCAAGACCAGCTATTTCGTGCTTTTTAGCGACTCATCAGCATGGTCTAGGTTTAGTTTCTGGGTTAACGAACGAAAGCATAGCAATTATCTTCTATCTATGATATAAGGTCTATGGTGCTTTTATTTCGATAGGGTCTAACTTGAAATGAGGATAATCTTTCGATGACGGCGTTGCATGGGAAACTTGCCCGACGCCATTTTTGTTATTCTGCACCTCATTCCCTAATATTGTCCCCAAAAAAAACGCGTATCGGCCAAGCATTCCCTCGCTCATGGGTTTTCGTTTTATATTTATATTAAGCTCCGCGTATAGTGAGATTGAGTTTGAAACAAAGCAAATTTTAATATCGTCGGTTTCTATGCATAAAGAATCCTTCTTCATATCGGATACCTGGGCTGCTGGTGCTTTGCAAGACTTTCCTGCCTCCTTTCGCAGAAAATGAGAATTTTTATTTTCACCCTGAGGAGGATATGATGATATCTTATATCGCTACGTCAGTAGCTACCTACAGGATAGTCTGGTTAAGGGGGTGAATAGTAAGATATTTTCCATCTGAAAAATGTAGTTTAAATATGCCGGCTTTCGATTTGATTTTTTGGTGGAATACATGGTGTTTCTTATAGTATAAGTGACGACACAATATTATGTTAAGTGTTTCGACTTCGGCCCGGAATTTAAAATAGTAACTTGGAAAAGTGCTGTCAATTTCCGCATGCTTTTAAGTGAAAATACTCAGAATATAGATATTGAAAAACCTTTTAGCTATACAAAATGCGTCCTGGGGCAAATCCATCAATCACAAATTTTTGTGCTATGTGCTGTGTCTTAAATTCGACTCTCACCATTGGGATCTGTGAAACGGTAAGAGATACGAAGTCGCCTAAATTGAGGTAACGTTGGACATTTGGGTAATTAAGAACATGGCACTCGGTAAGTTTCGAAATTCTGGAGAGAGATTGAAGAAACTGAATTTTCCAAAAATAGCTTTTATTTTTTCGTGACTTTATTTGAGATGGGATTCATGTAAGATTACTTCGAGTCTTGTATTGCAATGCAGGGAGGCTCTGGATTGCCTCGCAGCGAGGCATCCGGTATCGTTAATATGGGTACCGGGGCACGCTGGGATAAGGGGCAATGAGACGGCGGACACTCTGGCGAAAACAGGATCAGCCAGCAAGCTCGTTGGTCCTGAGCCAGCTCTAGGAGTAACCGCGCATAAAGCTAGGAGGAAAATGGAGACGTGGGTTGCAAGACAACACTCTCAGAAATGGAGAAGTATCTCTAGACATCTCCGCCAGGCACGAGAGCTCATTGAAGGGCCCAGTGCTAAGGATGGACGCTTCTGCCTATCTCTGGGTAGAGCCAACCTAAGGTTGCTGGTGGGACTGTTGTCTGGCCATAACACGTTAAGGCGGCACCTGCACGTGATGGGGGTGGCTGAGGATCCCTTATGCGAACGCTGCGGAGTAGAGGAAGAGACCTCGGCGCACGTTTTGTGTCGCTGTGAAGCTCTTAGCTACTATAGGCAGACTATACTGGGGTCCATTACTTTGGACCCTCAGGACGTAAAGGAGCTTGGACTCAAGGCGATTCTCAACTTCGCTAAAAGGGCGAGGCTTGTGATTTAAGTATTGTAGAGGTGCATAAGGGCCCGCTTAAGCGGCCTATGCACTGGCTCCTTACGGTGGCCGGGATGCCTCTAAAATTCAAGATTCATTCATTCATTCATTCATTGAGATGGGATTTCAAAATAAAAAGCAGATTGACATTGTCACTTTTCGCCTCTACAAGATGGCAAAATTAGAATTTCGATATAACGTTTGGTCTCTTGTATATGAAATGAAATAATTGTATAACCGCCCACAACTTGAGAAGTACCCCTCGGATTTTGATGAAAACACGGTTACTACTATGCCAAGGATGAAAAAGCTATGTATGTTTGAAAATCAGACTGGTGGTGACGGAGCAAGGAGCAAAAACATGAAAGAAATAAAAACCGCTAAAACGTCATACTTTGGCGGGTTGTAGGGGGTCGAGGATTGTAATTGTAACGTTCTCAGTGTTAGTTAAAGACGTTATACAGCAGACATGGACTGACAAACCGACATAAAACAGAAACGCGGACTTGTGCGATGCAGGTATCTTCAAACAACATAAAACATGTGAACCAAAGTTCGATTCTTATCGTGAGCTTAATACTTCCATCGTTTATATAGACGTAGATTTTTAAAATTGACTCATAGGCGGCGAAAATCAAATTACTGGAATATAGTTCACATCGTTCCAGAGATTCATGCTCATTTTCAGACATCGGTTGGAGAGGATGCAAAATTGTAGGTTGGAAGATGTATGTGGTACGTGGTTGTAAATTGTTTTATATTTGGTATCAGTGGAAAAGCTTCAATTATTAAGAAGCTGCTGACCTCAGTGATACTAGGTACCTGTTAGACATAATAAGTCACAGACACACATTTTCTCTACATCTGCTACGGAACAGAAATATGATAGATTAGCTTTACATAATTTGATACGCAGAGGTCGAAGATTCATCATAAATAAGTGAACCTAACTAATCACGATTTCTCCTTTTGAAACGATTACTCATGTCTTTTTTTGAAACCTCCGCCGAAGACGAAGGAATTAGAGACTTAACCTAATTGACGCTATTTTTCTTACGGATGCCATGTTGGATTTTTGCATAGGTGTCATTAATTCTGATTCAAAAAGTCTATAATATGTCATATATTGTCTTTTCTAAACCTTAGGTATTTCAGAAAAACAGAATACCCTAAGTAGGTTCTGAAATTATTTATCAGACAGTCATTTATTTCATAATATCAGCTAAGCATTCCTCCAGTTTTTCCTGAACTAAGCACAGGTGAACAGTCCAGATTCCCGATTTTAATGATTTACAAATCATGACATGATTGACAACAAATGCTTACAGCACATCATGAGGTCACAAGATTTGCTACAGCATACCCAAAAGAACGATGAAAATTGATGAAAGAAAATAAATATTTTCAGAAAAACCATTAATGGCCGTTTGCACAAACTTGCTCAACTGAAGCTTAATCTAAGGTGGACCATATCCTACAAATTTGTTTTGCCGCCAGTATTTGTAGCTTTAAGTGAAGCTCAAATGACAAAAAGATCTTTGAAGACAAAGTTGCACATAACCTGGAAAAATAGGGAAACAGCTTTGCTTTGATTTTCAGAAAGGATCTGAAGGTTGTGAAGCAGTTTGCCAGGAAATATAACTTTTAGAAGAATTAGATGAAAGTAACCTCATTATACGAGTAGTATATGGAATTCTGAGAAGGGCGAATCAAGGAATGGACTATTTACAAAGTTTTGATGATAGAACGTTCTTCCAACGGTTCAGGACCAATAAAGAAACCGCTATAATGATATTACATCAGACAAAAGCAAATTTTAAACATCGCTACAAATGGCAAGCCTAACTGTGCAGCTGTTATAGATAGATGTTAATCAGCCTCACTTTATTTAATTTTACGAGCAATGCGGTAGCACCAATTAATCAACTATTGGTGTTTCTTTAGGCTTCAAGTGAGGGCATCAGTTGTTTTGATTTCTATTATGTTTATACTCAGCAACAGAGATTTCTCTTGTAGGGAAAAATTGGGGACTTTTTTGCAGTAGAACTCATGATGAAAAACAAAAAAGTAGAATTAAGAAAAAATATACATGGTTCAATACACCACGGTACAAAATAAATTGTATCTACGGTGTAACTTAAAGATATGCTCCCCCCTGCTAAGTGGTACCTATATTTAAGAAAGCCTGTGCAAACGGCCATAACTGAAGTATTTCATCTGGTGGAAAACATAAACGCAGGTCACGTGACCAAATACGGTTTGCCATATACTCTATAGGCTTTTCTATAACAATAATAAATACCTTTAGTTCATGTAACAACTCAAACTCATCCTGTGTGTTACATGTCGATAATCCTCCATGCTTGCCTGAACAATAAAGCCACATGTATTAACATAATTTTTACTGTCAATGTTTCAATCACAAAGGTGAGTCCAATCCAATTTTTTTTAGGTTGCAAAATATGGATACTCCTCCGTTGTTGAATACTTCCGGACTAGACTATGAGTCTTTGTAGTTGTCATCTACGTAGAAATGTGGATTATTTGGTTTTATTAAAATCTGATTGTTAATAACGTCTCCAAAATAGTAAAAATGTAAAAGTTGCTATATTATGTCTCGGAAATGTGACGGCGAAATGCATAAAACGTTCCGAAATGAAATTCGCTCTCTTATTATAAGACGGAAGGAAATTGAAAATTGTGGAAAATATGAATGTGGAAACTGGTTATTGGAGGTGACATTGTCTGATGCCGAGAATATCACTCTACTGCCTACTATATATCAGGAAAATGTTATTACAAAAGTTAAGTTGTTGTTTACTAATCATATTTACTGTCACGGACGCGCTCATCCGACAAATCGTATCCGGTTTGTTTCACTTGAATGCCGCTAGATATACATATATATATATATATATATATATATACAGGGTGACTTCGAAGTTGAGTCGTTTATTTTAACAGTGAGTAGATCTGATCAAAAGAAATATTTTTTTCCTTTAACATTTTTCTGGTAGAATTAAAGTAACAAAGTTATAGCCCTTTAGAAGTTTGAATACCGCGCTGTCTCAATAATAATATTATGTGCTCGCATTTGGCAACAACGAATATAATCTGCCTTATCGGTTCATCGCATCGGAAACAAAAAGGCGAAAGAATTTGAAACGCTTATCACGATGTTTTTACTACAATTTTATTCAGTTGTTTTCAGTCAATGTGTCAGTTGGTAACGCGTGAGTGAATAGTGGTGTTGGTAATTTTTTTTATTTTTACACACATATTTTGGTTTATCTTCCTTCTACAATCATTATCTGAAAATTCATGACTCAACTTCAAAGTCACCCTGTATATATATATATATATATATATGTATATAACAAAAAATCGGAAAATAGTGGGCAAAATCCGCAAAAAGAAGGAAAGTGCAGTCGAGCGGAAAATAGGATGGGTAACCCGAGCGATATGTATTTCTGCTGATTGGCTTCATCAGGCCCGAAATGAATGCACATACGAGTATGCAACCACAAAGGTAGATATACACATGCCCATACATCCGGATATGGGTGTAACTTGAAGAAACGAAGATGGAGAAGTAAAAAACATGACACTCGAAGTCCCCAACAAGAGTCAACCTACACATTGTAGTATAAAGTGGCTAGAATACCTAGCAATTCCGTTACCTCCAGTAATGTCATCTGTGAAGCATCACTTCAGAGCCAAGCATTGATAACTGAGGCCTTGTGACGTTAAGGCTGCACGTACAACTACAAAACGAGTTCACAACGTGTCCATCAGCTTGTGCTAAGTTAACATCTTGTAGAAAACCCTTCATAATGTCACAAAAAACCAATATAATGTCAAAAGAAAATCGACATTATTCATAATTTTCAAGATATGTGATACAGCTGATCTTGAAAGTGGGGTGTTCTAGACTAATTAATCAGGTCAACTTCACGGAGTGGACGAGACGCAGGTTAGAATCCCATCGGCGCCTTTATTTATTTCTTTCTATCAAGTTATTGTTTACAAAACATTTTTTTTTTTTTTTCTCTACTTTATTAGCGATCAGAGTGTATGTACATTCTATAAGCTAATTTGCTGGATGGTACAATTTTTAAGTAGTTGTACCTCATGACGGGATGAAGCAGACATCCAACGATGTCACCTCAGTCTTGCAAGTCTAGTGGCAATTTCCTTTTCAGTCTCCTGGTCTCAGTGGGATCTAATAGCGATGGCAGCAGTGGGTTTGGATGGTCGCTAAGCCTAGCATGGTGTTTGCAACTTCTTTCCATGATGACTTCACTGATGAATGGGATTTTCAGATCCCTATTGTGCGTTTCATTTGAGACATACCAAGGCGCATCTGCAATGCTTCTAAGGATTTTTGATTGAGCTCGTTGAATGATTGAAAGGTTTGACTTGCTAGCGCAGCCCCAGAGTTCGATCCCGTAAGTCCAAATGGGCTTGATGATGGCTTTGTATATCAGTAACTTGTTTTCTATGCTTAGTTTTGATTTGCGTCCTATCAGCCAATTTAACTCTTTACTTTTCAAGTCGATCTGTTTTCTTTTCTTGGATAAATGTTGCTTCCAGTTTATTTTGTTGTCCATGTGCAATCCCAGGTATTTAACACTTGCATGTTGAGGTATGGTGACTTGATTCAAGGAAACAGCTGGGCATTGTCCTTTGCGGAAAGTGAAGGTGATGTGCGTGGATTTGGTTTCGGTGACTTTGATCTTCCATTTGTTCAGCCAACTTCCTATATCGTCTAGGTGCCTCTGTAGTTTACTTGAAGCGTGGTCGGGATCTTCATCAGTTGCAAGAATCGCCGTATCGTCTGCAAATGTGCCAACTGTTGTTTCAGTTGTTGTGGGTATATCCGCTGTATATACGACATATAGTAAGGGACCCAGTATGCTGCCCTGTGGGACTCCTGATTTCATAGGGTAGTAGCTTGAAGTCTCACTGTTTACTTTAACTTTGTAGCAGCGGTCACTTAAGTAGGATTGTAGCAACTTGAGGTACTTGGCTGGCAATACTTTCTTTATTTTATGCAACAAGCCTGGATGCCACACTTTATCAAATGCCTGCTTCACATCTAGGAAGGCTGCCGTACAGTATTCTTTTCTTTCGAAGGATTTGGCGATTATATCCGAAAGGCGGTGACACTGCTGCACAGTTGAGTGAGCCGGCCTAAAGCCAAACTGATGATTAGGGATCCAAGCTAGCCGATCCAGTTGGCCATTTATTCTATTCAGGATAAGTCTTTCCAAAAGCTTAGAAATTACTGGCAAGAGGCTGATCGGGCGATAAGAACTAATATCCGTTAGATTTTTTCCTGGTTTCGGTACCATAATTATTAGCGCACTCTTGAAGAACATGGGCCAGTAGTCTAGCCTTATAATCGCATTAAATATATAAAGCAATTTTATCAAGCCTTTCTTGGGAAGTTCTTGTAACATTTTGCCTGTGATCATGTCAGCTCCGGGAGCTTTTTTTATATTTAGCCTGTTTATTTCATTTTGTAATTCCTTCGGAGAGAAAGGTGCTAACCGTTCTTGAGTTAAAAGATGGATGAGATTGGCTTCATCTACTTCCTGCACTGGATCGTCATTGTGTGGGATGAACACTTCGGCAAGGAGTTGTGCAAATGCGTCAGCTTTTTCTTTATCGCTTTTTGCCCATTGACCATTAGCTACTGTTTGGCTACGGATTGGGGGTGATGTAGAATGAGGTTTTCTCTTAGCTTTTATGGGCTTCCATATGGAGTTATCTTGTCTCGTGAGTTGAGATACGTAGCCTTCTACGGAGGCATTCCTCATTTCTTGGAGTTTAGACTTTAGCTTATTACAGCAGGTGTTGTACTTTGTTCGGCTGGCTGGCGTGCGGGTACGTTGCCAGATTGATCGTGCTCTTCTCTTCTCTGCAACTAGCTTCTTTATTTCAACGGGGATATTTTTTGTTTTGTAAGCACAGTCTATGAATGGTGTGGATTCTTTCGCTGCCTGTTGGAGTGTACAAATAAAGCTATTGCAGTCGACCTCTATATCATTTGGCTGCTTCAATCTGGTTGAGAGATTGATGTTATCTACAATTATCTGTTTGTATCTATCCCAATTTGTTTTGTTATTATGCAATCTTGGAGTGGGTTTCTTACATATCACTGCTGTGCTCAGAGTTAGGGTAATTGGGCTGTGGTCTGATGTGAGGTCAAAGCTTGAAGATATTTCTGTATAAGATGAAGATATGCCACTGGTTATGAAGAAGTCTAAAAGATCGGGAAGTCTATTTACATCTGTAGGCCAATAAGTAGGTGCTTCTGGTGAAATAAACGTGTAGTTGTTTTCTAATATGACTTGTATCAGTTCTCTTCCTTTTGTTGTTGTGAGCCGTGAGCCCCATGTGGTATGCTTGCTATTGTAGTCCCCCCCAACAATGAATTTTGGACCAAGAGTTATAAAGAAATTTTTGAATTGCTCATTTTTGAGGTTATGACGTGGTGGACAGTAGACAGCTGATACTGTTATATCGTAAGGAAGACTGTTTACTTTTACAGATGCTGCCTGGATATGGTTTTCTTCATACTTAGGCATTTCGTGGTGTTTGATTGTTTTTTTAATAAGTACTGCAGCTCCTCCATGTGCTGTACCATCGGGATGATTTGTATTGTAAAGTATATAATCGGGTATAGAAAAATAGCTTCTTTCAGTGAAATGTGTTTCACTGATTAGTAGGACGTCTATATAGTTTTGCTGTAAAAACAATTTAACTTCTTCTTTGTGACTAGGGAGACCATTGGCATTCCACTGGGCAATTCTTAGAAAATTGGCCATTTTAATTGATTTTGTTGATTAGCGTGGCAATCATATTGAGGATCAGACTGTTTTGTTGTAGGAGCTGGTTGAACATATTTTTAAATTCATCTAGGAATTTATTCATTGTAGAAGTTAGACTTACCGAGTTTTCAGTGTTGTTGGCTACTGCATCTGCATACGTTCTTGAGTATTGGCGGTTAGTGGCGGGCTCAACATTGTTAACATAAGCTGGTTCACTAGTTATAGGTGGTAGGGGTGTTTGGAAGGTGGGATTTTTATTTTTCAATGTTCTGTGGTAGTGTTCGCAGCCTCTATAGTTTGCAGTATGACTGCCACCACAAAGGGCACATTTTGCTGGCGCATCTTTCGGCTTCTTGCAGTCCTTAGTATTATGGGGACCACCACATTTCACACATAAGTATGGTTTGTTACAGTATGTTTTAGTATGTCCAAATTGTTGGCACCTCATACACTGGATGATATTGTTCTTTCTAGGTCTGGGTGGCTCTATTTGAATAGTTTTATTCTGTAATCCTCTGATGTTATATATATCTTTATTATTTTCGGCTGGCTCAAGATCTACAAAGAATAAGTTTAGTGGTTCTTTGGTAGTCCTATGAAGAACATTTATTATGCTGCGAACTTTGTGACCCAGTTTTACCAGCTCCTCTTTTATATCATCGATTTTTGTAGAGTGATGTAGATACCTTATCACTACCCTGTATGATCGCTCTTCTTTCAGTTGGTAGGTATGGTGAAAGATACTATTTTCTTTGAAGTTTCTGATGAGCTTACGGTATGATTCTGGGGTTGCGCAGTTTATTTTCACAACGTTGTTTGCGAGGCTCTTCGTGATATATTGCTCGTCTTCTAATATGTCTCTAATGGTGTTGACCATTTCCTCGTAGTTGATCACTCCATGAACAAAGATTGGGTGTGGCTTTGGAATTCGTTGAGTGTTATTTCCGACATTATCATCTGTTTTTGTCTGCTAGGATACCAAATCTGTTGTTTACAGTTACAGTTTCCGTTGTTTCTTTGTTCTGCTCTTTGGCAACTTTCCTCCTTTTAACGCTTCTCATCACTTGCCACGGGTTATTTCTATTTTGTTGTGAGTCCTCTAATTCTTCTTCACTTGTTGATGACATTCTTAGTATTTGATTATGCTCTATTACTGACACATCCTGGCTATGAGACATTGTTGATGAAATGTTTTAGACCACCTGCATAACCGGTGCCACCAGCTCTTGCACTGCTAACTAACGACACTTATTTTGTTTCACGTTTTTACAGCTTTTGTTATGGAACACTTTTTTATTATTATGATTATATTATTTGTACTCGTACTCGTACTCGTCGATTCGCTTATCAGCACGTCCGTTTGCTACGAAATCCAAACGAGAACTGTTTACAAAACATACGCGCTGTTACGGTTACGCTCATCCAAAAAATTGTATACAAATAACAAGTCTGCGTGTTGCACTGTTTCATGCTTATTGGAAATCATCAGCTCGGTCTAAGTCTCTATGTAGGACAACGAACGAATGCACAGCAAGTGTAGCCACTATGGGAGGTCTAAATCTGTCGGAATACAACCCCACGTGCTGTCCTTTATTAGAAATCCACTGCGAAAGTGAACGGAGCTTCCTATTGTGACTGTAATGTATAATTCGACTTAAGTCCCCGATGGCACTGCAGACTCTTGGGATTATTGTACCTTGCTCCTAGAATTACCAGCCTAATCCAAGCAGTCTAGTGTTCTCTATCAGTTCGTTTCGGTTCGAATGTTGGTTTCCCAAACAGTTGACGTCTTTTGTGATCCAGCTCCTCGAACTCACGTAAGACGTGTAGGCTTGATTCTGTTTCTTTTCCGCATTGTCTGCCATCGAGGTCTCCAGTTTTGTGCAGGCGCTCTTTCAGGCAATTATGTCATCTTAGAAGGCCTGTTACTACACAGAGTTGGTTTCTACCCATGATACACATACACTGAAGATAGGATGTTGCGCATGTGGGCGGAGCTTCGTGACGTCACCTAGAGAGCCGGCGGCTCGTGGTTACCAGTGGCGGGATTGTCGTAACGTTAGTGCAGTGCACGTATATCGTGGTTAATACTATATAGTGCGATCTGTTGGTGATTCTTGGTGGGTTTGTGACTTGTTGTATTAGTTGTACATACTGTATATACACTATGATGTTAGTAAATTGATAAACATGCGGTGTGCTGTTGTGGGATTTAATTCCGACAACCAATCTAAGCGGAATCATTGCAAAGACATGAAGTTCCACAGTTTTCCTCAAGACCCAAACCTTAGCAAAAAATGAAGACATCATACAAAAAGAGAAACGAAAGTCAATGTAAAAAGCGCTAGGATTTGCTCGAATCACTTTAGTGAAAGTGTCTATAAGATCAATTTGAAACATACCCTTTCCATTCTTATGGAAAATTTACCCAAGTCTTTATCATCACCTGGACCATTTACATCAGTTGATGGGGAAAAGCGGAAAAGTGCTTACGAAAAACAGGCAAAGGGCTCAACTTATCGCCTAGAGTTTAAGTATAGAATAAGATCATATACTATGGGGCGAAACGAAGGCGCATACTCAGAGTATTGCAGCGTAGAGGAAGAGGATACTCCGCATCATAAACTGAATGCACCTGAAGTATCAGCTGACTATAACGAGGAATTTTTAGTGGAAGAAATAGATGAGCTCGAGTATGATGGTCTGAAAAAATTGGCCTGCTTTGTTTGCCATAAATTGCAGGATCAGAGGTTGAAAAGTTCCTCAAATGAAAC